TCTGCACCACCCTCATGGGTATCACTCACAACTTTGGCGGCTTCCTCGCTTCTCGTATGGCTCTTGGTCTTGCTGAGGGTGGCTTGTTCCCCGGTATCACGTACTACATTACTCTCTGGTACAAGCGTCACGAGTGCGGTCTTCGCATGGCCATCTTCTTCTCTGCTGCCACTGCTGCTGGTGCCTTTGGTGGTCTCTTTGCTCGTGGTATCATGGAGATGGACGGTGCTGGTGGTCTCGATGGATGGGCTTGGATCTTTATCATTGAGGGTCTTTTGACTTTTATCTTTGCTGTCATGGCTTTCTTTGTCATGCACGACTACCCCGACACTGCCAAGTTCCTCAACGACACTGAGCGCAAGGAGGTTCTCCGCCGTCTTGAAGAGGATCGCTCTGTTCTGTCCGATGCCTTCGATATCAAGTTCGCCAAGGATGCTCTCAAGGACTGGAAGATCTGGGTTCACATGGTCATCACCATTGGCATCTACACCCCTCTCTACTCCATCTCCATCTTCCTTCCCACCATTGTCAAGGGTCTTGGCTACACCAACGAGGTTGCCCAGCTAATGTCTGTCCCTCCCTATGTTGTCGCCTGTCTCTTCACCATTGGCGGCGGTTTCGCTGCTGATAGACACGGCCAGCGTGGTATCTACATGATTGGTTTCTGCATTGTCGCGTAAGTCATTCTATTTCTCCAATATGCCAAGCTTCTACCGGGTGGTCTCCCGACTTGGCATGCTTGTTTGGGACAACAGGTTCACTAACACTTTCTGAATAGTATCGTTGGTTTCATTATCCTCGCCACTGTCGAAGCCAACGGCGCCAAGTACTTTGCTGCTTTCCTCATCACCTGCGGTATCTACCCTAACGTTCCCCAGGGTGTCGCCTGGAACGGCAACAACATCGGTGGTTCTCTCAAGCGTGGTGTTGGTATTGCTATGCACGTTGGTTTCGGTAACCTCGGTGGTGCCGTCTCTGGCTTTGTTTACCGCAAGGATGACGCCCCCAACTACCGAAGCGGCCACTGGACCCTCGTCGCTACCACTACCATGAGCTGCATCCTCAGCATCTTCATGACCTTTTACCTCCGCCGCGAGAACGCCCGCCGCGACCAGACTCACAAGGCTCCTCACGAGTACACCCGCGTCGAGAAGGAGTTGGAGCAGAACTCTGGTGACAACGCTACCTTTTTCCGATATACCGTCTAAAGCACAGGGCTTGTATCGGAGGCGACATCTTGCAGAACATCTTACAAGATAATCGTACTATTTATATATATTAAGCGTTTTTTTTGGATATCACAGCGAAATGGGTTATGAAATCACGAAAGAGCCTAGAGTATGAAAAGGCTTTTCATTTTGGGAAAATATGTTCTCTAGAGTTTGTTTGGTCGGGTTATGAAACTTAGACGTTTTGACATCTCAATATTATAAATGAGCCATTCATGGCTAGAGCTCTTGACAATGCTGTTCCTCTGTTTTCCTGCAGTGATATTTGCTTATCTAGTGAGTCAGTCGAGGATTATCCTGCAGGAGGCTTACTGTAGCCCTGCACACGAAACACACAATTAAAGCCACAAATTAACAACTCAACCAACAGAGACATAAAAAGACTAACCCGTCGGAAGCAAAAGCCACTCACTCGCATCGTACAGGGACCTTTTGCAATACAAAAGCAGTCTAGATCCTGCAGCAGCGACAAGGGTGACCTAGATCAAGATGAAGATCTGCCAACCAAACCCCAGTCGCAGCAAGAATGCCGTCTTATCCGTTTTGTAAGATTTGGATAAAGTCGATCCTTTGAGACACGTCGTCGCAATAGCCTAAGAAGTGGCACTTGGACATTCCAGCAAGTGGATGATCGACAACCAACCTATAAGCTTAAGTACAAGGTATTAATTACGCTTACCGAGTCACAAAGTCGAAGGTTTATTTCTGTTGACATGTTGTGTTCTTGTCTTGCAGGGCTACTCTTTCAGCTCCAGCAGCCACCCATTGATCGTCGTATTTTCTTACCTGCGTCGCATTAACTTTGTATTGTATCACTTCCTTTTTCAAGACCAGGGTATCGGAGGTGTATTGTCCCATGTCGATCCTTTTAATATTGCGTTTTTGCGAATTATCGTGATGGCTTTATTGGGAAATGCCCACCAACAGACGGAACAGTCTCCCTGTTCCCGGATGATTACTGCATACAGAAGTCAATAGGCAACCTAGTCATGGGTATGAATAGATGGCTGTCTGCGAACTAATCTTGGCATCTTAACAGCAGCAGCTATTGCCATGTCTGGTTAATCTCCCGAAAGCTTGAATTAGAATGCTGCCACCAACGAATGGCATTGGATACGAGACAATCTAACCTAGACAATGAATGCATTTAGCCGGTCGTGAAGTAAAGCTTGATCTTGGAGAATAGTCTAGGCGGGTATTCAGACCGGGTATTGCAAGATTAAGAATGAGATTGCTGGTTTCCCCAAATTTGTTTCTCTTTCTTATTTTGACTCCCCGCATAACGATATCTCCAACTTGACTTCCCATATTTCGGCGCTGTGTGTTTCAATTATGTTTGTCTGGCTTTAGGAATGCATACGTTACAACAAGTGATTTTTTACCTGACGCATCATCTGACTCAACGCCGACATAATAGATCTTAGTTGCCGGCAATTATTTCCCTCATTCAAGACGTGGAGGCTGTAAACAGGACTTACCAGGAACAGATAGTCATGCTGATGATCGAGTGTCGTGTGTGGTAACATTGACTCGGATGAAGCCGAGGATCTGCACCTATATAGTCAACCACCTGGTCAAAGGGTCGCGTCGCACTCTGCCAAGTTCAAGTCAGTCTTGCATTGACTATCAGTTCAATGCCTTCGTCAACACTCAACTCAGGCGTAACTCCTCAGAGACATAGCTTTGTGAGTACAACTAAAGCCGTATCCAACATGTCCATCCAGTCATAGGGATGATCTGGGTCCTCTTTATATCGCCAGGCATGTAAAACGGGCAGCACGCGACTACTTTGAGCCAATGGGAAGTGTTTAGAATTAAAATCTAAGTAATATTGATTGTAGGAAGATAAACCTAGCAATCATCCATCTCTTTAGACACTTAATCTGCTAGCGGCCGACATGCCTGACTCTCCATTTAAGCAGTAATGACACCAGTACCAGCCTTGGCCTTGACAAGCTCACAAATGCAGTCAGCAGGGTCAGTGGTGTACTCATAAGGAGGCGTAAACTCCTGCTCCTGTGTAATAGCCGGCTCGCTGTTCTCAAACAGGTTATCCTTCTCAATCGCGAAACCATCCTCGCGAGAATCAAGGTTAGTAATGATGGGCTTCTTGACATTGACAAAAGCAGTCGCCTCAACGAGAACCTTGGCGCCCATGCGAGAGTTGACTCCAGAGGTGGGAAGGTCCTCGTAGCAGCTGCTGTAGATGTGTGCGGTTCCGAAGCGGATAGAAGGAGCACGGCTGTTGATGTTGCTCCAGTAGTTGTGGTGGTATGTAACATGTAGTTTGCCAGTGTCTTGAGAGCCATTGTCATCACTGTGGCCGATCAGGCTGGCCTTCCAGTGGTCGACGAACTTGTTCCATGAGAAGGTGAGAAAGTCGGAGCCGCGCTTGGCGTCGAGGAGACCGTCAAAGTAGTCCTTGTCGCCGGTGATACCCTCGGAGGAGAAGACGTTGTGGTCGATCCAGATGTATGTTGAAGTCTCAATGTCTATGAGGTCCATTCCCTTAGGGGGGTTGTGCATGTTAAGGTTTCGCACGATGACGTTGTTGGCCTTCTTGATGCGGAAACCACTGTCGGTGAGACCTGGGGGTGTCTGTCAGTATACGTTTCTTTGCTTTGGGACAGTATTTACTTACCAGAGTTGGAGCCAACTCCAGCAATGGTGGTGTCGCTGGGAACCTCCATGAGGTCACAGCCGCTAAGCTGGCCATCGATGTGAATAACACCACCGTTTCCAAGGGCAGACTTGAGCTCCGAGCAAGACTTGACGACGACAGGCTCACCGGAACCTCCAGTTGTGCCATCGCCATAGCCAACAAGCTGATCGACCTCAGCAGTACCGCAGCTACCTCCAGCGACAGCGCCACCAGCAGAAGGAGCAGACTCAGCAGGCTTCTCAGCGGTAGCCTCAGGCACAGCGGAAGCAACACGAGTAGCAAGGGTAGTAGAGGCGGGAGCTGGCGCGGGAGCTTCAGCATTACCGCCGGCGGTGTACTGACACTCGCATTCCTTGATCAAGCTCTTCTTGGAGCAACCAGAAGCCCACTCGGGGACAGAAGAAGAATCGTTCACGTCGGCACAACCAGCGACGTTGGCTGCGACGGACATGGCGCAAGCATTGGACTTGATGTTGGCACAGCCAAGAACCGCAGGGATAAGAGAGATGAGAACGGATCGCTTCATGATGATGGTTTCGGCACGGCCGTGTTAACGATAGACTAGATAAAAGAATGAAGGTAAAAAAACAAACTGATCAAAAGAATGGATAGTGAAAGACAGTGAGATGGCAAAACAGCGACATATCGGAAGAACGAGACCATATATAAACAAACGGATCTTCTCCACGGCCAAGAAACTGAAGTGTCCTTAAAATTAACTCTAATGTCCAGGAGCCTCACATCTCGGACTATGTTTGGAGGACAGCAATATTCCCGCCTGGGCAGCCGACCAACCCGGCGCCAAGAGAGCGGTTCTCCATATTGTACAGATAAACAGTGGAAACAATGAAACGTCTGGGCGGTTATCGCTGAACAAGCGACTCTTGGCTATGTTTCATCATGGTAGTTTGGGCTTATTACCGGATGACATGACGTGGAGTATGTGCTTGGCTGAAGAAATGCTGCATCGCTTTAGACGCCTATATAGGAAGTTGACTCGAAATACACGAGAAATATGTTACTAAATTAAGTGATATTTCGTCCCATGTTCTCCCAGCCTTATTGAAGCACGTCCGTATAACATGTCATGATAAATGTCCGAGTCCCCGTCAAGATCCACACTTGAAGCAATCCCTATCATAAAACCGATCAGCCGATGGGGGATGATAAATCAACTCCAGCTCAGCAGTTCCAGCTGTAAAAACATTGCACTTGGTAGTGTCCTTCTGGAAGACAAAGCCTTTGCATTCAGAAATCTTCAGACACTCAAGAGCGCATTTCTCCAATGTTCCTGTAACCTTGATCAAGTAGCCGTCGATCTGTTTGGATTGTGCTGCGTTGCTCACGCCTGGGAGACCGCACGTAACACTGTCGTTGAGAGAAGCCAAGGGTACTGCGCAAACTGTTGGCTCGGGTTGTGGGGCGCTTGATGTAGTCACCTCGCTGACAGCGGACGTAGTTCTGGTTGGAGGTTCTTCGCCCGCAGGGCGGGTAGAGGTCCTCATAGTCGTAGGAGCCTCGGTAGGCGGAGGGAAGAAAGGAACGCTCTCAGTCCCAGTATGTTCCTCTCGCTGAGGTTCCTTGCACAGTCCTGAGCAGTCAAAGCATGCGTTGTCGTTATACCACACATTACTACCGTCGCGGAACCTATACCCGGCGTCTTGAAGAGAGGTGCTAAAGAACTCGCAGCGGAGAGTGTCTCTGTTGAACGCCGAAGACTTGCAGTTCTCGAGTTGCAAGCATGTCTCCGTGCACTGGATCTCAGACCCTTGTCGTGGCCAGGTTGCGGTATCTGCTGAAAAGGGTTCTCCGAGTGTAACCTTTCCGTTGCTGTGACAGGTATAGCCAGTAACTCCCCTTCCATTGTTACCAATGGGCCACTCGCCATTCTCCTTATATCTGCAGCCAGCATTGATACTCAGAACCTCGCAGCCCAGCTCAGGTGGTGAAGGCGTAGGATCATTTTCTTCCTCACCGCACACCTTGCAGTCCATGCACTTGATATCGTACCACATAGCATTACTACCAGAGTTCTCATCGACGGAAGCATCCTCCAAGTCGGATGAACTGAGCAGACACTTGAGTCTAGGCTGGCTGTCGTCGAAGCCAAAAGCCAAGCATCCGTGATCAGTTTTGCAGATGAGGGCGCAATCTTCGACTGAGCGCTGGTTGGGGCGGTCGTCAAGGCCATAGCCGTAGGCGTCGATAAATTGGGGCCATCCACGTTTTCCACAGAGAGCCTTTGATGGCGCTGGGTTGGCGCTAAAGCAGAGGCCTGGGGATGGAACGCCGTTGGGGCAGATTGAAGTCGTAGCAGAAGGAGATGCGATAGTAGTGGTAGGCGCGGTTGTTGTCGCTGTGTTGTCATTTTCTGTTGGGCCTGCACTGGTGGTTGCTTCCGCACTGGAAGTTGTTACAACAGCCGGCTTATCAGTTGTCGAGGCAGCCAGAGTCGAAGTCGTCTTCTTCTCTTCGGAGGGACATGTCCACTTAGGCATGTTGTCTGGATCTTGACCACGAGTAATGTAGTCAAAGTAAGCATTGCCTGCTCCACAAGCATGACAGTCCATGTCGTAAAAGAAACTATACGCATTCGCAGGCTCCGCAACCTCGGAAGACCTAGCATCGTACAGACTACAGCTTCCAAAAGTAGCTGAGTAAGACTTGCACGAAGGATACTTGGCGCAAAGATCGCGACACTCGTTAGTAAGACCGCAAGCTCCCCTGGTGGGAGCTGTGAGGAATGGTTTAGCACACGCCTTGGCTACACCTTGCATCTGAGTACACGACTTGGCGGAGGTATCAGCGTTGACGTTAACACACACAGTTCCAGCAGGTTGTTCAGAGCACTCGTCCACTTGAATGCAGGTTCGGTCGTAGGCCCAAGCAGCGTCGGAACCTCCGTTGGTAGGTATGTCGCCTAATTCCGTGGCAAAGAGATTACATGTGTTTGCGCAGCCGCTACCGTAGTAGAGCCACTCGAAACTCAGACATTTTGTGTCTGCAAGACAGAGAGCAGCGCATTGCTCCTTGGTGATCTTGCTTCCGCCGAATCGTTTATAGCCCTGCTTACTGCTGTATGGTCTCTTGGCGCAGCCTCGACCAGCAGCGCCAGCTCCGAGTTTTGCGCAGACCTTGGGACCGGATGGAGTAACTTCATCATCTGTACTGGTAGGAGTAGAGGATGTTGCAGTTATCGAGGTTGTGTCAGTCGCCTTGTCGGTTACTGAAGCTTCATCCGTGGTAGTGGGTGCTTCCGACGACTGGGTTGCAGGGATATCTAAAGTCTCAGCGTCGTTGCTGCTCGTAACAGCAGTGTCAACAGGAAGAGCCGTGCTAGTCTGGACTGGACCAACAGTAGCCGCATGCTTAGAAGTAGGGAAGAACAGTGAAATACCATCAACCCATTCATCACCAATCTTGTTAGACACAAAGACCTGGTCAAAGTAAGCTTCCGCTGAGCCTCCATTGATGCAGACGAGTTCAAATCGGATCATTCCACTGTCTGTCGTAACAGCCATGTTATCGACAAACTCCAGCCACTTATCACCATTATCGCTAACAACAGGAAAGTAAGGAGTTGCGCCAAACTGCTCGCCACCGTAGTAACCCTCGATACGGCATGTATCAGCCAAATCGTTCTTGACAACGGCGTACCAGAAGCGAACGGTGTAATCGCTAGGCTCTAGCTGTTCAAGCTGCTGCTGGATCCACGGGTTTTCGGGAGGTGTTTGCCGCTTGCGGGTGGGACTCGTCTTGAGCTGGACGCAGTTCCTTTCTTCACTTGGGCCCGGATGTCCGGGGCCTTGGAGAAGTTTGGCGTTGCCGCCTGCTTGGAAGGCATAGATGCCGCCGTCAGCGGAAGGGTCGTAACCTCCAAAGTCTCCGTTGGTCACAGCGTTGGTGATGATGATAGGGCCCTCGGTAGTTTGAGAGGCGGGTATCGACTTTGTCGCTGTTCCGCCGGTGATGATAGTAGACTGTGCTGTTGTGTCAACCGGAAGAGATGAAGAAGGCTTGCATTTGCTTGCCGCCGCAAGTTTAAACGAGCCTATAACAGCCAAAGCCACGAGGGCAGACAGTGAGCGCATCCTGTAAGTAAAGAATGGATAAGCCAAAAAGAGGCTAAAAACAACAAAAGACAGGTGAAGAGATGAATGCATTCAACATTGAGCAGCCCACGATATATATCGCCATCGAAAGGCGTCTGCCTTCCGCCGCCTCTCCCGAAGACCCTGGACCACCCCTGACATTATTGGAAATTTCCAACGGCCTTGGCCATGATGTTTTGGTCGATTTATTCAGCTGCTGTTCAATAGCTCCGCTGTGGTTTCCTTTTTTGCTTCGAAACCGAGTCTAGATTGGGTTGGTCTGTGAAACTATTGAACGCCTCGTGAATAAGCGAAACAAGAAAAAAACTGCCGATGGGTCCAACGTTGGTTTTTCTCCGGCCAAGTGGCGTGTTCGGGTCGGTTTTGCTTATTTGCGCTGGTGTTGACTTTGCTGTTCGAGATGTCGAAGCCTGGAATTGATGGAGCTTCGGGGAAGTATTTCAGGGTCCAAGTTTTGGTGCCAAAGATCCCTGTAATCTCCCACCATGGCAGTGGTGTAGGTTAGTAGGTAGCTGAGTAATTCCAAGAAACAGCAAAATATGTGAAATAATACCAAAGTCTCTCAATTGACTTAGCTTGAAGAACAGTCTACATGCAATATATCCATAGCATAGCATTTGTGATAATTCCGAAGCTATCCAAATCGAGCAATACCTTAGAGACCTTTTATCCATTCCGCTCATATTCCGCCCCCGCATCCACCCCTCATACTCGCCTCAACCCGAATCACCTCCCTCACTCATCATCATCAACAACCTTACGTCAAATAATTACAAAAATGGGCACAATCTCTATAAGAAAGTTCATTCGCTGGCTCCCCGACGAACCAAGCGAACCAACAACAACCCTCGTAATCACAAGTCCACGACTAAAACGCTTCGTCGATCTCCGAATCCTCTTATCAGACAATGACTCGACCGGTATAACGCTTTCATCCCACACTTGCAGGACTATAGCTAATACATACCCAGATAAGATACCATTTTCCCGCCTGGACTGGGCTATAGCAGGTACAACAGTGGCAACTCGTAAACCCGATCCTTCAGGTGCTCTGACATCTCACTCAACATTTCTCCAATGGATATCCTCTCGTGAATTGGTAAACGACTCGGGTTTCATGTACCCGCAAGCCGGTGAAAATCTTACACTGGAGAAAGGAAGTATGGTGAATCCGGACACGGGTGTTGATACAGCGTATGAAGAGCTTTGGCATGATGCCACACCGACTGCTGTGCCGGGAGAAGCAGACGTTAGAGCGTTGGTTTTGCAGACCGAGGATGAAGAGAAGGGTGTGAGAGGCTGCGTTGTAAGGCTGGGAAGATACGCGCAGGGATTGATCAGAGTTGGTGAGAAGATTGCGTTGGAGAGGTGGGAGTGGGTAGAGGGTGGATGGAAGAGGACGGTTAGGATGGGCGATGAGGAATTACCTATCGCGAAGATCTTGGGCGAGGAGATGCTGGAGGAGAATGATAGTGTTGATGTTGGTGGAAGAACGTGGAATGTTATTGAAGCAAGTGGCAAGCCCATTTCAAAGTAATACTCCAAACACACAATCTACATGTTGCAATCACACAAAGGACCTTAATTATGAACGAAAACTCTCGATTCTTTCCGACGAGAGTAAAATCTATTGTCTACACCCATCGTGTAGCAGGACCTAACAATTAGAGACTCCTCCAGTCACAGCAATGTCCTTTGTAACACGCCGTCTTCCAATCCAAGCCTCTTCTTTCGTTCTATCTTTCCCCATTTCAGCCTTTTAGACGATTTTCATAATGTCTAGACAATCCACCTCAAATCAAGTCTTGCAAAGTGCAGCTTTTATGTATCTCAATCCTCCTTCTAGGTACTCTTGAACCTGCAAACCCCGCTCTAGGGACATCCCCGTCCCGCCATGCTTATTGTAAATGTTGAAAGACAAGCATACGTACAACCTCGTATGCTGCGCAAACACAACGCCCATCCATGGTCGAAACAGTAAATCAATCGATCCGCTTCCTCGGTAAGTCGAGGACTTGAACAAAGCGCACGCAATCGGTGAAAGTGCAAAAGAAATGGAAAATGCAGCTTAAACAGCCCAGCTGCCTCGTCGTTCTCGAACACCCCATCCAACAGGATCCATGCTGTCTAGATTGGGGTGCTGTCTGGCCCACTCCTTGATATAAGACTGAAGAGCATGCCATCTGGGGCATCTCTGGTCGCGAGGCTTGTCCTCCTCGGACTCAACAAGGTGACCTTGAGCAAGTTGCTTTTCATCATCCTTCTCGAGGTCATCAATGCTCATAAGACTAATTCGCGAGAGCTCGCCATCAAAAGCGCGAGCCATAGCCGGGTAACCTAGAGACAGGTAGTTGTACACTTGAGTAACGAAGCTGTCGTCAAACTCGTGTTCAATCTTGTCTTCTCGCTCGGCATGTGCCTTTTCTTTCTGTAGACGCTCATTGATACCATGCAACATGTGGAGCCCCTTGGGAGGACCGGCCCGTGCCCGGCTGTCTGCAGTACCATTCACTTGGCCATTGGTTGTGCCGTTAATGGAGACAGGCTCGTCTGTAAAAGGCGGAGAGCTAATATGCGAGGCATCACCGGGTGTGACCACCGGTCTAGGCGTAGCCAACATTGGTGGGGCATGCAGGTCTGCTGGCACAAGGTACGGATCGTTCGAGTCTGATCTGAAGCAATAACCTCGCCAGAGACCATTCTGCTCCGAAACGTCCCGGAACTTCTCTTCCCTATGTCGTTCTGCAAATGCGTGATCGGGCTCAAGCTTGGTCTGCTTGGGAGAGGGACACTTTCGGAAAACGAGATCTTTGCCGAGCATTGGTGGAGTGACACCGAAACGCTTCTTCTGTGATAATGGAGCAGGCGATGCACGTCCGTAGCCTCCAAAGGGTCGTCCAAAGGGCCTGGCTGCGCTGCGCGAAGCAAAACCGCCGGTGTCTGGGGGTATTTGAGAAGATTTGCCAAAGGGAGTATCCGCAGATCCGACGGCCGGGGCCGATGGGATGAAGGGCATGGTAGATTCACCAATATGCCGGGATGCTGCAGGTGCCGGCGACGCGGCCTTGTTGCGTTGCTCGGCTGTCAGATACGACTCAGTGTCAAGCAGCGGCATATGCGTCTCTCCAATTGGACCACTAACTCCAATCGATGAACGCTTGCTAGGACTATCACGGGGCGTATTGGAGGTGGTCCACACCGGATCCGGGGGAAGTTCGAGGTCCATCATGTCAAGTTCCGCTGTGTCGGTTCTGTCGTTTTGCATTATAGTATCCTCGTCTTTCTTAATTGTCGGTATTTCTGGCTCTTCGACCACAACGTCCATCTCGCCAGGCTTCTCATCGATAGCCATAGCATCTTCATGTTGCTGTTCCTGCTTGGACTCGGCATGCTCTTGCATGTGCTTGTGCCACCAGCCGAGATTGCTATCGGACGACTGCCGCCGCACCTTGTGGTGTTTGCCTGAGTGGTTATGGTGCTCGTGCACAGGAGAAGTGCTCTCGGGGGACTGATCACTTCCTGAACTCTCGCGGAAGTAGAAATGGTCTACATTTCCTTCGCGCACGTGGCTGTTGGGGAAAGCAGACATAGCAGCTTCCTGCATCTGGCGCTCTGCCTCCTTTGCGGCAATCTCGAGGAGAAATTGAACGACATTTTCGTCTTCGGACTCGCGACGTCTGGGGCCGTTGGAGGGGGAATCGTGGGCATCATCTCGTCTCCTTCCGCGATGTTTTGTGGCGGTGTAAATGTTTTTTGTGTAGGGGGTAATGTCGGTCTTGTCTGAGGGCTTGGTCGCGGGGCCTGCATCTCCAACTCTGCGACTTCTACGAGAAGACTCAATCAACTGGGGAGCGAAGCGTCGTTTGGGTCGAGGCTGCTGGTGCAGTTCGTGAAGGCCAGGGGATGGCGAGCGAGGAGAAGGCTCCGGTGTCGGTTCTGGATTGGGTCGCATTGTGTTTTGGTCATTTGTCTTTTTGCTTGATCGGCTTGTCGAAAAGGTAGTCTCAATGGGCTCTGGAACAAACCGTCGCCGAGGTTTCTCTGGCGTGGTCATGATGAAAGAAAGAGAAAAGACAGAGGGAGGTCAGGGATCGGATTGGATGACTCGTGCGCCGGACTCGACTGGGTTGTACTTGGTTCGGTAGGTCTGCTATTACGTTGCGTTGCTTCGCTTTGCGTTGCACCTGGCCTGGCCTGTGATAGAGGGGCAGGGGCGGACAAAAACAAGTGAGTAGTGCTTGTTTCAAGTTTTGGACAAGGGCGACAGGCGGGATTGACCTCGACAGCAATAGACGTAAAAATTGAGAGGAGTAGAGAAGATTTAAAATTGTGAGAGGAGAGAGAAAAAGGTAACGATAGGGATTAAAAGTGTGATGGTGGTTTGCTAAAGTTAAGTTAGGCTGGTCTCGTCTGGTGTGGTGGTCTCGTGTAGTGACGACAAGACAAAGTATGGAAAGAAGCGGTAGGTTGGAATTAGAAAGGTATGGAGACAAAAAGAGAGACCAACTGGGTGGGCGACCTTGGGTATTTTGGCTTTAAAGGGTCATGAGCATCTCATCCGATAAGACTGGGCGGGCCCTGCAGTGGCCTGGTCTTGGATTTGGTCTGGTTCGGTCTGGTCTGGTTTCGGTAGGCAGTGGCAGTAGAAGTGGTACATGGGGTAGATTGATTGATTGATGATGAATGAATGCTTTGATCTCTATGTCTCTCCCCCATCCCATGTAGGTACCTCTACGAGACTACTGTACGGATCAAATCGAAAAATGGCTGGCGTCCGACGCCGGCGGTCACAAGTTCACATTTCAGTCGAGGACCTAAACCAAACATCCATGTCATTTATTCATCCATTCGAGTTCGGTCAGTCTCAGTGTATTCTCAATGGATACCGCCACAAAACTATTGAATCGCCGAGTGCAAGCCATCCATCCACGCTGTTATCTATTATTCCACCTACCTCAAATAGTTGTTGGGTTTTAAAACATGTCATTGAACAAAAATGCCAAGTGAAAAAAATAACCACATGGACAACTCTCACTATTTCTGACATGCCACCTTTGAATCTGACGACCTAGGTAGGGCGGGCTTCAGTTCCCGAGGCAAAAAAGAGCGTGTCAGAGAAAAGAAGACCCCTGGAACACAAGAAAAAGGCTCTGCACCAATAGAGCCTATCGCCTGTCATACCCCGAAAAAAAACGATGATCTGAAGGGACCTGCTGTACCTGGAGTGTGTGGCGATGCGGATCAACATGTGCCTTGAAAATGGGGCCATGAATATCATCGTGTCTGAGAATAACAATCCCCTATTTCTTCTCGCTTATAAACTGGGCAACAGATAACTATCTGTGCAATCTTCACATGAAGCTCACGATAGTTGCCATTACCCCAGGCATCAAAGCGGATTCCCCGTGGGAACCATGTCTCATTATTTCTGTCACCGAGAGCCCAGGCCAACTCTTGGTGGGGGTGTCTTGGAATCTCATGGTGGGGTTTTATTAACATGGGGATGGAAGAGTAGAGGTACAGTGTAGACCAAAAAAAGTCGAGTAAATACTGTGCTGAGGTCATGATTTTACCGTTAAAAATACAGTCTGACTCAGGGTCTACAGTACTTTACTCTTCAACTCACACAGGCTGGTGACTTTTTCAACAAGACTCAGATTAATTACAAGCGCAGATACCGAAGACGGCTCCCCACGTCCAACAATTCCAACCAAACTGTGACCAGGTGTTCGATGATCTCATATCATCCCTATAATAAGCTGTGCGATAATATGTACAAAACCTGCTACTGATACTGTACTGTACATAACACGAACGAACAAAACTACGCTCGCCACCCGCTTCCGCGCTCACCGGGGACCCTCCTGTAGTGTTCCCGCCCGGCCCCGGAAGCCGCAAGCCCCCGGAGGTCCGCTGAGCTCCTCTGAAGTCTGGTTCCTGCAGTTGTCATCCTCACCGACTATTTACAGCATCCATCCACGATCTTGGAACCAAAGTGAAGCGAAACTCTGATGGCCACCTACTAACCTACTTGCCCTCTTGTGCCTACAGTAAACGAAGACTCCATTTCAGTCCAGGCTAATAGAGTGCAGCAAGCCGTCAGAATAAACGAAAACTAGCCATGCACAAAATTTCAAAAGAGGTGAAAATGAAACAAACTAGACTTGAGGGTAAAGAAAAAGACTCAGAAACATGCAGCTAATTCGTGGCGAGTCAAAGAATAGCGAAGCTATCAGAAAGAAAATTCTCATTTCTTTCATATCTGGTCTTTCTTTCTGGATGGGTGGATAGATAAGTGGCATTTTGACTGTAACCCTCCATCGTCAGGTCCGTTATCTCTCTCACTGGGCGTCCTTGTATTTGTAGGCGTCGTACTTCACACCATCTTTCGGAACTTCGCTTAAAAAGCCAGAGCCTCAAGAGAACAAAAAAAAAAAAAGCCCCCTTTTCTCTTGTCGCTGTGAGATCTGATTCTTCTGATGGTTGCAGCGCAGCTAGATGCAACCACTGTTGAGGTCTTGTGTTGCACAGCAGAACAACGCCATAATTGTTGTGTATTTCGTTGAGGTGGAATTTAACAGAAGTCTCACTCAATGGCTGATTTCCTTGGTTTGAAGGAGATAACATGAGACTACTGTGAAATGTGCATGGCATCAATTACGTGTCGTTCTATTTTTTATATTTTTTATTTTGAATGACAACATATACTCAATTCGAAAGAATTTGAAGCTATCGTGATCAAAGTTCAATAATAGAAACATTAACTTTTTTCTGGTAAATCTACCAAACTAAAATCCCCCACGCGACACACTCATCCCATCCCATCCATCCATCTCATCCGATGCACTCGTTTGCTTGCTGCATGCATAATACGCACCATCAATCTTATGCCGTCACATCCAAGACAGCCACTCATTCTTCTCAGCTTTCCAACCCTCCATCACGATACGATCTTCCCAGCGGCTTCCAAGAGCGATCACTTTTGAGAGACAACATCTGACTGAGCAATGCTTACTTTCAGCAGCCACAGCAAACCGTTGCATTCAACAGTTCTTCTCCACCACCACCAAATATGCTGTGGAACAACGGGACAGAAGCCATCCCCAGTTTCATCTTTTTTCAATGTCTATCACCGCCATAAACAGTTGGTGATACTCGTCTCCAGGTACCTTTTTTTACCGTGAGGTACAGTACATAACCCTGTTGATCCCCCGCACTCACCGCATCCGCCCGCCCTTGTTCTATCCCCGGAACCGTCCCTGTACACGGGACCCTCTGTTGATCAAGGATCTAAACCTCCGCCATTTCACTTCACGATAGAACCAAACGTCCGCTCTTTTATGTATCGGAATCAAGTTTTCTCTCTGTCTCCTGACACTGCCAAAATCGGATTTATCCCTGTCGAATCAATGCGGCTCTAATCCTAAGCCCCGGGCACTCGGGTGGCATCCGCTTGCTCTTGAATTTATCCTATACGATCCGGCCTTGCTTTTGACAACCCAGTAGAACCAACATCAATGAATAGACGACCAAGATGCTGATTACTAGACGCATGCATGGATCTCTTTGTCTCGTAGTGTTACTACTTCATGCACACCGCTTGCAGACTGAAACCTTTGTGTTTCTTTGTCTTGTTGTCAGTGTTGCATCGTACAGAGCCTCCATGTCATGCTAGCTCAAGGTTTCTTCGTCAGCTGTCTTTACCCTTCAGACCTCCCTTGTGGCATCTTAAACCATGGCAACGAACCTTGTGCTTGTGTTATTATGTATCACTTCAGCAATCGTGGTACCCCAGATGGCATCCCACTGTCTCACTTCCCCATCATTGATTCTCCGAAGTCGGCTCATACCGCAGTGCATTAGTTTTCTCTTGAGGTGCCGTTCAGTAACATACTAACTGCAAGCCTCTTTTCACTTCACATCAATGGCCATTTTTTCTTTCCCCTCAGATCTTGAAAGATTAACTCCACTCGCCATGTGCTTTGATACACGTCCCGTTCGCTTGAACTTTGTTTGACCTCCTCTCTTGCCTGCCGGCGAACATCGAATCAGGTTCAGCCCTAGATTTAACTTTTTGTGTAATCCGAACTTATTGTCTTTCTGGAATGAAGGTCTGTCGTCTTAGCCAACAATCTGTCTCCAATTCGTCGATCACTGGTAGCCGATTATGAAGGTCTTGTCGTGCATGTAGTCACATCTCCACGACGTCAGTTTGTTCTCCCCGAGTCGTGCGGCGAGATCTGCAGGTTGTGTTTCACGTGCGCGACTCGCCAGGTTGATCTTATTGTAACTCTGCAGTTACTCGGCAGACCTCAGGAGATGAAAAAGGTTGGGCCATTTGAGCGCAAGAGACAAAATGGTCGGGTGAATTCATGCCATCCAAGTCTACACTCTTAGATCATGTTCTTTTTAGTCTCAAGCTTGAGGCCAACTCTCGTTACCTCTAATGGGTTTATCTAGGATATCATCACTCAGGACAAGTTGTTGCGTACAGCATAGCGGGAAAGTAGCAACTGCATTCGAGGTGTAGCTGTTCCGCTCTGTAACACAATGAGACAATATGTAACACAGGTGGTGGCAAAACTCCACTGTCGATCGTAGATCCGAAAATGGGCTTCTTGTCAAGATCAACATGTCATTGTTCATGGCGATCTTAACCTTAGCCGACGTCTATGGAACGCTACTGCTTTTGCGGTCGTGGTGTGAGCGGCTGTTTCTCCAATACCATGTCCAGGGTAGCCTATTTCAACCACATACGATATGACAAACACGGGTTTTTGGATGCTGTTCTTGGCTTTCATTAATTGATGTTTAATCCAATTTCTTGGGGATAAAGAATTAAAGATTTATGTTCCTCTCCAGTGAACTGCCACCATGTAGTATGAGAATGTCGTGGTGTCGCTCAGTTGACCCCTAGTGTGTACTCACGTCCTCATTCACCATTCACTGACTTACGATTGAGATTCGATGAGCGTCCACGTAACAGGAAATATCGACAACGGACTGATTTCGACTGACCGAAGCCGACATATACCAGAAATTCAGGGTAAAGAAGCATTGGCCATTTCCGGAACTGGATCCAATATTGCCTATTTCTGCTCTGATCATAAGACCATCAGACTGCTGGGCCTGGTGGGCGGGCATCACCAAGTATTAGATGGTCCGGAACAAGCGTTCGAGCTTCGTGGCATCTATGGTTCTGAAGCACCACCTGTGCAATCGGTGTTGATATTCTCAGAGCATGCTAAGCGGCTGGTCGCCTTATATTCCCACCTACCAGAAAGGTTGACCTTGGCGGGACAATGCATTCCATGTTTGAGGAAAGGCGAGACAAGGTGTGGATATATATAATTATGTACCGGAATCTTAGTGTACAGGGAGATCGAGTCTTGACAAGCGGAGGAGAATATCGGTTCAACTTTATATCGGAAGACTGGAATCTATCCTCAGAGCCGCTGCAAATCTACAGAGTTGGCTATCAACTTGGCGACAGATGGATCTATTTGAACGATGAGCCAATCCTCTGGTTACCGCCGGATTATCGAACCGGAGCTCGAGCGGCAAGTGGCATATTACTTGCTATGAATACCAACAAACACGGTCTAATGGTTATACGCTTCGACGAATCATGTTCTTTCGAAAGCATTCACTGATGAGTTGAGGTTCTGAGGAAAAGACCTGTCAACGATCAGGCTGGTTCTTTGATATAGGCAAGGTACACAAGCGAGCGTTCGCTGATTCGGTAGCGGGGAGAATCACCCTATACAAAAGTTGGGAGCATTTCGCACTATCTATTTCTATAATTAGCTAGACTCTGATCAGATTGGTCCCAACCGAGCAAAAATCAATTCTGTTTATATTTACAAGGTATAAAGGTTTCCTCGCCTTGCTTTACCGACTCCAACTCTTTAACACCTCTCACTTGGTCAGTGGGGAAATTTGGGAGTAATGATCGTGAACCATCTGTTTTTGCTCCTGTCCGAACAGAGTGAGACCATACTCGAGCTCATTGTCGTTACCTGCATACGACACATACATCGCTGCATCAAGAAGAAGTAGCAAAGCCCGATATTCGTCATGTCTCGAATGCCAAAGCGAAGCCATCTCGTATGCAATAAGTCCACCAAGGGAGTACCCTCCAAATACAAGAGTGCTTCCAGACCTGTTGCCTAGTCGCTCCTGTACATGGTCCAGATAGATCTCGGCCCATTGCTGAATCGACTCAGGCCCTTGAGCTTGACCAAAGAAGGGGTCGTCGAGAACCAGGACGTCAAATAGAGGATCAAGAAAAGGAACCATGGGTGCGAAGACACTGCCCTGACCCCAAAGGCCATGGATCAGGACAATGGTGAACTTGGACTGGGGTCGACTATACAGTTCCGAGAACACTCTCGGTGGCTCCAGGTTGTTATTGATTTGCCCGTTGATACCTAGCTTTGTCCCATCACTCTTGTCGCCCTTTGCTCCATTGCCGTTGGAGATGTTGGTCGGCAAGTTGGCTATCAGCGAACCAAATGCCATCGGTGTCGGTGAGCGGACTAGATCCGACACATATAGTCGACAGCCAAGTCGCTGGTTTAAACGTGATACCAGTCTAGTAGCCTGGAGTGAGTGTCCGCCAAAGTGATAAAAGTCGTCAGAAATACCAACATCATCCTGGCTCAGGCCGAGGACACTTGCGAATTCATCACACACTGCGCGTTCAAGTCCAGTCCGTGGAGGATTCCTGGACTTGGAGGCTAATGAACTTGCAGAGAACGACTTCGAAATCACCAGAGTCTGTGCTTTCTTCGTCAATTCTCGACGGTCGACTTTGCCGTTGTCATTTAGGGGCATAGCTTCCAGCACCCGAACGACAGAGGGTACCATATACGATGGCAGACGTGCTTTGAGATGTGACCGAAGTTTCTCTTCAACTTGTCTCCAGTGCCGTTGTTGCAGTGGGTTGTTCGTGAACGACTTCCAGTCCCGTCCTTGGTGGTCGGTCGGGAAGTTGAATCGAATTCGGGACACTCTTTCAGGAGAAGGGCCGCGGTAGAAAACAGCATCAATGTTACCATTTTGTGACGCCTGTCGAGCGCAGCTGATTTGGATGAAGTATCCTGTAGAACCAGCGATTTCATGTAGGTCCACAGCCGAGAGGGAGCCGCCAATGTCTATCGAAGTAGTAGCAGAAACGCGGCAAACTTGGACCCAGTCTGCTGAGTCGGTGCTTTTGCGGCCATTGCCATTATCATGGTGTTCAGGAACACCACGCTCAAACACGATCTTGCTGGATGGAATGTTGCTGATTGCAACAATGTCAAGCTCAGGGTCAGAGTTTGTCTTAGCACGACCGTCCAGCATATCAAGGAGCGACTGGCGGGTCAACTGGTTCTTCTGGAAATCAATCCACTGGCCGTATCTAAGCTCTCACACCAGAAGTTTATTGGCCGATGTAGAGACAGGCTTGCCATGTATCACAACGGCATACCGATAACAGCTCAGCTCGTTGGTAGCCACCATACGCTTGGGCAAAATCTCAACGTGTTCAACCAGATTCGGTAGTCTCTCCTTGAGAGCAGTGAAGAACGCCGGGTCGACAAGTAACTCCTCTTCCGCACGCTCGATAGCCGCCATACTCTGCCGAAGAGAATCGAGACTGATTCCGGCTTTACCACCCCGTGAATAAGATTTGATACCGTGAAGTGCTTTGCTGGTTTGGAACTCTCGATACATGGCATATGACCGTATGTCACCGATAAACAGTCTTTCAACATTGCCCAACTGTAGGAGATTCTCGATCGCCTTCAGGAGATATTCTGGTCCAGGGAAGCACTGAACTGTGGAGTTGATGACGACCAAATCTGGGTTATTAAAGCGAGGGCGATCGATGGAGGTAAGGTCAGTAACTGTGCCGACATGCACATCAACTTTCCCTCGTAAAGCCGGAATCGTATTGGCTGCTTTATTCGCGAAAGCGGCCGCCTGCTCTGCCAGTTCTAGACCAACGTAGCTTTGTATAGACCGGGGGAGGTTGAACAGGATCATGCCACTTCCTGTCCCGATCTCAAGAACATTCCTAGACTCCCCCCACCGAGAAGTGTTGTCATGGTATCGTCCAACCATTCGTTCATCTCGTTCAGGTTGATTGACTTCCCATCATACATGGAAGTCCACCCGACAAAGTCCCTTCCCAGCTTGTCAGTATCGATGTGGCTTTCGATGTCAGTGTATGATGACTTGTCAAAGTGTTCTTTCCATGCGTCGACTTGTCCCTGCTCCGTTTTGTCTTCCGCAGCCAATGCGCCTGAGGTCTCTTCATTTGTGTAGCCACTCTCGCTCACATCCGCCTCGGAGATTGTGACGAAACTGACAAGCTCGACATCTCGATCACTCTCTCCTCTAACTTCACGAACGACTGTCATAGCATCTATGACAGTCTTATCTGCCATCATCAGGGCCTGTTCCACCTCCGGTAGCTCGACGCGGTGGCCCCTGATCTTGACTTGGTAGTCCAGACGTCCGAAGAATTCCAGCTGCCCATCAAGAGTCCAAAGAAAATGCCGTCTAGATCAGGGGATGTCGAGAAAGATCTGACCCTTGGGGAAATATCTGAGAGACGAGATCCTCGAACGAGATTTGTTGATTTAGATATGCATTCTTTAAAGTCTCATCGACTAATCGTACAACTTGCTCGAATGCGAGCTCGTCTTGAACCTTGATTCGAATGCACTGCAAGTCTCTCGAGGATAGTCGAGTGTTGGGAGACTGCTCAATATCAACATCTTCCCAGCATGTCATGTTTCCACTCATGTACATGCTCGAGACGACAGACCATCAGCCATTCGGCTTGTCGAATGGGCCGGACCAACCATCCATGGGCATCAAGGAAGCCTTGCGAGCCAACATCAACAATCTCATGGACCAAGGATTCTTCGTTGTCCCAGGATCATATTCCTGCCCGACGCCATCTACATCCACAACAAACACGACGACCGCGCAGGACGCTTTAGACGTTCAGAGTTTACGAAGACAATTCCCAACTCTTCATAGTTGCTTAATGGCATTCAACAACGCGGCTGGCAGTGCAGTCTACCAAGGGGCACAGATCTTGGGCATTATTTTATAAAGAGCTTCGCCAGATACATTCTGAACGATTCCGGATTGATTAATACTTCCGACGGCATAACACGAGATTCCTATTATTATTGCCTTCTCCGGGATAGCTGTACATATATCGGGACCGGGCTATCATAGGGCCAATATCTAATCAAAGGACCTGCTAGAAATATATCTATCGATATACTTGAATCACTTTTCGATAAGCTACCTCTCGATTGGGGCACCTCGACAGAATTTGCCATTTTATGTTATGACTTCGGGACCGCAGACACAGTTAGCTCAAGGACATCTACTGGATCAAAGTTTATCAAGGGCAAAAAGAAAGAAACACCAAAAACAACATACAACAGCGGGGATTCGCTGGTCGTCACCGACCCAACTACTAATCCGCCCCTTACCAGCTTATCTATGGGAGAGCGGACGGGATCCCGAGTTCTCTGATAGGTATGGTCGTATGTATTTGAATGGTCTTCAAATTTGGTATATATCATTGACTGCGACGATCACGCTGTAAGCTATCCCTCATCAACGTTGAACTTTGCAATAAGATGAATAATTTGTATTCACTTGCAGTGTTATCAGAAATTATTATTAATCTCAGATCAAGCCCCTCAACTTCCCAGTCGAGGTCGTCATCTTACGTGCTCAACTCCACGACTCGGTCGTCATGATAGCAAAAATGCCATCACCTCGGGCGTCACTCTCATTGACATCTACCTCCATTGGGTAGGATTTCGGTTTGTAAGCGGGTAATAAGGTAAATGGGCTAATCCCAAGGAGGCAATTTTTTCCACATCAAGATCCACACCAGTTCGCCAAGAACATCACATCCATGACTCTAGAGGGGGCAACCGAGATTTGGATACGAAACTGCAAAGCAAAGATGTATATCTTTTTCTTTTCTTCATGGTTCGAGACATTGGTGCCGATTTTGAGAATATCAAGTTATATTCCCTCTCTGTTTCTTGTTCAGGATGGCAGACGTCATGAGCCGGCCCGACGAAGAAAACTCCGGTGTCCGAGCCGGAGATGGAAGCCGGGATTCGTCAGTGGATGTTGAGAAACTCGGCCGTCAACGACCAGAAGTGTTCAAGTCAATATGGTCTGAACTAGGGTTCGGTTTCTCAGTATTCTGTTCCATGTTATTGGCAGTAAGTTATATCCTAATGACCACTTCTCTAGAGGACTCAACTTTTCCAGACGCTGACATCATCAGGAATTCTTCGTTAGTGGATTTCATGTCATTCTTCCACCTTTATCTGAAGAGCTCGAAATCCCTTCTGCATCGCAGACATGGCCTTCAAGTGTCTTTTCACTTGTCACAGGGGCCATGCTGCTTCCAATGGGTCGGCTGGCAGATATGTATGGTGGCTACCTGGTGTACAATGCTGGTCTATTGTGGTTCTTCATATGGGCTCTTATCGCAGGCTTCAGTAAGAACTACATGATGTTGATCTTTTGCCGAGCTCTGCAGGGTCTTGGTCCTGCTGCGTATTTACCAGGTGGTGTTATGCTCATGGGCAAAACCTATCGCCCTGGACCTCGAAAGAACCTCGTTTTTGCTCTATACGGTAGCTTTGCTCCCCTAGGTAGGTCGAGCGATACATTTTATGAATGTAGAATACTGCTAATAACACTAAAGGATTCTTCTTGGGCATATTTGTGGGAGGTCTATCTGCAGAGTTTCTCGATTGGAGATGGTACTTTTGGATTGGCACCATCATCTTTGCCGTTGTATGTGGTATTTCACTCATCGCTGTCCCCTTCGACTACCGCGATAGAAAGGTCGATATCCCTATGGACTGGTGGGGAGTTGGAACGATCGTGCCAGGCCTCCTCCTCGTTGTATACTCTCTGACCGACAGTTCACATGCTCCTAACGGGTGGGCGACGCCGTACATTATCGTGACATTGATTCTGGGTGTCATGTTTCTGATAGCTGCATGGTATTTTGAGACCCGCAAGGCTCAAGTCCCGTTATTGCCGGCCGATCTCTTCGAGCCAAAGGGTATGAAACGTTTCATGGCCGTTCTCTTCATGGCTTTTGGTACCTTTGGGCTTTTTCTCTTTTACTCGAGCTTCTACATGGAATTGGTGCTGCATAGATCACCGCTCATCACCGCTGTTTGGTATATCCCCATGTGTGTAGGTGGTCTCATCATTGGCACTGTAGGAGGCTTTACATTGCATTTCTTACCAGGGCGACTACTCCTTTTTATCTCATCCATGGCCAATGCCATCTGCATGTTATTGTTCGCCCTCATGCCCGAGGATCCGAACTATTGGGCCTGGGTATTCCCCAGCATGGTGTGCTGTACTCTCGGCATTGACATCACCTTTACAGTCAGCAATATCTTTCTGACAACCAACATGCCGAGCCATCGGCAAGGACTCGCAGGTGCTTTGATCAACAGCGTTCTTTTCTTAGGAATCAGCTTCTTCCTTGGTATTGCCGACATTGCCGTTGCAGAGACGTCAGACCTGGGCCTTCGAAAGAGCTACAAGGTGGCATTTTGGCTGGCATTTGGTGTGGCAAGTATTCCTCTGCTCTTTATTCCGTTCCTCAACATCGGGTCTGCTAAGAGCGAGCTTACGATGGAGGAGCGGCAGAGATTAGAGAACCCACAGCGGTCAACGGAAGAGCCGGGAAGGGATCCAGAGGCAAAGAATTCAGCATGAAGGATATCTCGGCTGGCGGGTTGCTCGGGAATTGAGGACCCAGCTTTGGGGCGATGAATAATAGGGCTGCATTTGATACAAAGCCGGCGTTGAATAGAGCGTGTTATTTGGTTGCAGTCTATATCACGGATAGTCGGTGGAATAATATTACTTGACATATTATCGAGAATAGATAAGCACAGACCATTGAAATTAGTTAAGGATCATTGGTGAGCAAACAAGACCCTGAGTATCACCGAAATTGAATAACAATCCTCAAATATTGCATGGGGACCACAACTGCCGCTGTCGTTCGTTTCACAACTCCAACTAACAGGCCGGATATTAGACACGATGCCGGATACAGCATTAAAATCACGATGTTACTCTACATTTTGGAGCGCCTTGAATTGTTTATGCTGAGTTTTCTGTTGTTTCTTGGTTACAGCGTCTTCCATTTTAGAGTGATGCAGAGGACCACATTCTCCTGCATAAAATGACTAAATCGCTACGTTTCCCCTGCGTGTTCACTCATTTGATGAACAAGGATTTAACGTGGGCACCAGGGGTCAGAGACGCCACAGAGTATGTTTTGTGCAACAGTGGCTGACATAGAGGTGGTGGTGAAACCAGCGGGCGGCAGATACAGTTGTTGAGAGGGGGACGTTGGGGGAGAGGTTTCTCGTTTTCTTGAGGCTTAACCACTGGTGATCAATAGGGACGCTTCAATGTTGAGACCACTGTAAATTGACCCCTGTCGAAATGGCCCAGAGCTTTGGTGTGTCCATTTAAACCCCTGTCGATGATCGAGATATTGCAGCATTTCTTGGTAATGATAAGACAAGATGTGACTTGGCGCTGATTCACTTCGCCTTGGGCTGGCCTTGCGAGCGGCACAGCAGCTGTTGGAAAGCTCAAGGCTGAAGCTTGGGGATCGTCATAGTTGACCAATATCTTGGTATCCTGCATAATACACCGTACTTTGGTACAGATCTATTGCTTCAGCCAAGCCATACTCCGGCTTATGGAAGCAGATAGGAGTCTAGCGCAAGGGCAAAAAAACTGGAATAGAGTCGCATGTGAACCTATGGGAATGTCTACAAGCCATGAGTTACAGGGACTACAAACCTGGCTAAAGGTGGGCTCCGGTAGAGTTGGCGTTTTTTCCATCAAATCCATCTTCTGCCGCTTCCGGGGAACAGACCAAAAACAGGGCAGAACGTGGCCCAAGATGGTGGGTATTAGACCAATTGAGTTTTCAATTAGACAAGGCTATTGGATGTTAAAGAACAGTACTTTGGTGAAACTATTGGGCAAGTAGCTTTGATGGTTACATCCATTTTGTTGATTATGATGAACGATGAAGAGACAGAGAATCTGGGGGATGAGCAAAAAAGTCTCCGCAAGCGAAACGTGGAAAGTAAGACACGGCGAGAGAAAAAGTCTTCGCTTTGTTCGTTTCTTTTTTTACCATGTTAAATCATTGGTCACTGGTAAAAGAGAAGGATGATTTGTGTGGATACGGAGATTGTTTCTTGGCAGTTTCCGATGCTTGTCAGGTTACAACGATCGAATAATAGGTAATAAAAACTGAAGAAAAGAGAGAGAAAGACCCATAGTTTGCATCGCGATCAGTGTCTGCCATTTCTGACTTTGTAGAAAGTAAACGCGTTGCTTTTCGCCATGATCTACCTGTCATGTACACCGGCAGGTATGCTGATCGAAGTACCGTATTGCTTCTTTTCAGCTGAAAGTATTGTTGTTTTCCGATCCAAAATATGCAGTGGCTTGCTTTAGAAAGAGTTGTTAAAGTTAGGCTTATTTATTTCAGGCGGCTTCAGGTAAAACGAGAGTTAATTACAGAGAGTAGTTTGGTTTAGTGTAGATTGTTGAGTGTGTGTGACATGGCAATCTACCAACCCCATCCCAAAAGCTCCCTCTTCTCTTTTTTAGAGTTTGCCATTATTTACTTTCTCCTAGTCAACAACCGACAGTTTCTGATGCAACTGTACGACTCAAGTGTTGTCAAATTGGGAGAGAGACAAGTCTTGAATCGTTGATGAATTGTCCCACTTGAGTCAACGGGCGAAGCAAACAACTTCCAACTTTTTTCCTCTTCCCCCACGACGACATCCACTTCCTGTCACTACTTCCTCAGTCTTTCTTGTCCAACAATCAAATTTCGCTCTCGTTACCTGCTTTCGTAACACTTTGACCAACCCTTTATTTCATTGTTTGCTTTTTGTACGCTTTGGTCTTGCGTCTCGTCCAACCTGACGATCAGACCGTGCACTTGTCAACACCTGATTTCTGGTTGGTTGGTTGCTTTTATCTTATATTGACTTCCTTCAGTCAAGCTTTATTGCAAGTCAACAGTCTCTTGTTACACAGCGTATGCAAATGCAAACGCGAATGATCTCTCTGTCAGGTACAGTCTCTTCTCTGATTGCCACGTTTTCCCTTCCGTTTCATCTCATCTCATCTCATTTCACATCTGGCTGTATGTCTTATGTTACGGGTCTTTCCGCCTGTGCCTGGCTCGGCATGTACCTGGGATCATCCTGTCTTTCCATGCGACGCGCCCCGGTTGGTAGCGAAACACCAGGATACCTTACCTTGGCTTGTGCACGCTACACTGAAAACTACAATTTGATGAATCGTCCTCTTTGTCAGTACAAGTCCGTGCTGTAGAACACCAATCCGTCTTGTTATACTTTTCAATCATTCCAGTCTTGTTTCTGTCTATATTGACTTTCATTCCTACGACTTTCTTCCTTCTTTCCTTTTCCTTTCCCGCTTTGTTCCCGTTTGTACACAAACAAGGGTCCCTTACTTCCAATATCCGTCTTCCGTCAGACTTGGGTATAGTCTAATCCTACTTCTAGTCACTACCGTGCCGTCTCGATAATCTCGACAGCTTCTGGGGAGTTGCGCGCGAACCCCTCAATCCTTGACACCGGTTTCCCGCTATCAACAAAGCTACTCTCAAAATTGCGAGGCCTGCAGCCAGCTATCATCAAAGCTCACACCGACTTAAACTCACTATATCATAGGTTGCTCGCCCGTGACCTGACATTACCACACTTCCAACTGCAGCTCGATAACGCTGTGCCGTTCAGATTCGGGTACTTTATACAAATCTCCGCCAATCTTGCCCATTTACATCCACTTGCTTGCCTGTTCCAGCGCAATCTGGATGCACACGCATCCTTGTTGATAAGAATCAAGACAAAGGCGCCAGTTTCCCTGCCTCGTTCGGTTGGCGCAGGATCGCATCGACTTGTGCCCTCACCAATCAGTCATCATGACTCCTTCAAAGCCTACGATATCCCACGACAGCCAAGAACTCGATGAGGCCCGAGACGCATCCTTACTCCTCTCTTCTCCTCTTTCAACTCCCCTCACCACAAGCCCCGAGCTGGTCTCAATTCAGTCGCTGGCCGACCAAAACCCGACACCACTCAGCATGATGGACGACTCATGTTTTCTCGACATTGACAAGTGCATCTTGACTGGTCTCGAGGCGGGCAGTGTTAGTGCTCCAGCTAGTGTCGACAAGACCACATCATCTTCCAACCAATCACCATCGAATTCAGTGGGGTTACCTGCTACAAATGAAGACCCCAGCACTCACAGCCAGCGCAGTGCAGATCTTCCTGGACCTAAAGAGACTGCAGATGACGGAAACGCCGAACCGACACGTGCCGCTGACGATGGTAATGTTCTTCATTCATCTAGGGAGGATTTCATTTTACAACCAATTCTAGATGGTCAATCGAGCGAAAAGTCTCTAGAAATCACCCAAACAGGCCAACCGAAAAACGGTGCATCGCAAGCGCAGCCAAAAGTCATTTCGCCGTCTACTTTAAATACGACAGGCCTGTCTGCCCAAAATAGCAACGCCCCATCAAACGCCGTCGACCCTGCTCTTGGTTTCAGGGGCCATCATTTCGATCAGCACGAGTATCGAATAGATAATTCGACAAGACACCAGCAATACGAGACGATTTCAGCACCACCCACTGGGCCCTCATCTGTGGCAGCGCTCCCTGCGCGAGGGACAGCCACAGCACCTACTCAAGGTGCCACTCGGGCCATGTCTAGTACTACCTCCTCCACTAGCAACAGTTCTGTCCCCCCTGGGCATCAAAGACACCGCAACGATCATTCCTCACACGACAACGGTTTTCCTCCCTCAAACAATACATCCCTTTCTTCTCGATTAAGTGGCATCAAACTTGATACAAGTTTTATACGGCCTACGCCAAGACCAATCGTCCGCACCGCACCCGACTCTCCATCCCTTAATATCAAACATCCAACTCCCGACATCACCTCCCAGGCACGATCCGGAGCCTACGTTGGTAACATCGCACAACTCGAAGCGACTGCCGAACGATTGTCTATGACAAGTTCCATCGACGATGCGATCCGAGATTTACACACTGAACTAAAGCGATCCGACAGTAGACGTTCCTCAATACTCGCTGCCAGTCTCAAAGCCTCAGGGTCTATTGACGATTACAACGCTCCTGGTTCCGCTGTCGAACAATTAAGACGACACCCATCTATCGCTTCCTCCATTGTTTCAACAAACAACGCTGCACGCCACGGTGGTTATTCCCCCGCTGGATACGTACTTTCTCCGAACCACTCCTTTACCGGGCGACTCAGATCGGGATCCAAGAACTCGGCAGGCCGACCGGACTTTGACCTCGATTCTGTCTTATCACGACACGGCCCGGGCAAGGCATCTGTTAGGAGTGTTCGCTCTACAAAGGTTTCTCTGGCCGAGATTTCAGAATCCGAACCTATTGCACTGACCCAAGACGTTCTCGACATGGCCGACAAGACCCCTGCCAAGAATCCCGAGGGCGACTCCCTATTACCTGAGGAGCTCCGCGACGCCAACATGCCCGCCACAGATGTTTTCCAGAACATGATGGGAGATGATGATTTTATGGAGAACAATCAGCACTCGCATGCCGGTGCAAAAACTGGTCACCAGGCGTCCCGAGATCCACAACGACCTGGAAGTTCGCACTCGGACACGACTTTCCAACAATGTCAAGATGCGTTTGGTGATTTTGATGGTGTACACTGGGTTCCCGACCAAGATGACCCATACGCTCCCCCAGACGGCGTAGAGCCCCAATCTCAAGCTGCACACCGACCGGCTCCACGACCAGACACCCGGCCCCAATCGTACATGGACCCCGAATCTGGTCAACAGATGCTCTACTACCCAGCTCGTGTCCCCGCTATGCTCAACTTGCCTCCCAAGCTTTCCAACAAGCCCAAGGCCAATGAAAGGAACAAGCGACGCTCCCAGGTAATGAGTGCTATGTTGGATGGCGGCAGAAAATCACAGGTTCTGGATGCTCCTGTTCCAGAGCGGGATACAACTAGAGACTCCTGGCTGCCCGATCCTCTTGCTGGCCACCGAGCATCATTCATTGCCCTGACATCTGATGAGCTCAGGGAACTAGGTCAACAGCCAGATCCAGCTCGTTCTTTGCATTCGGATCAGGATGTCGCCCCTGTTGTGCAACCTGAAGCCACTGCCGATTCGTCAGTTGAGACACTGAGGCGTCCTCAAAAGCTGTCTCGCAAGAACCAAGACGAGCGAAAGTCGAGAATGTCAAATTTGCCACCGCAACTGAGAGCAAGTGCTTTCTTTGATCTCCCTGACAACACGCAGCCGGATATCGAAGTCAAGGACGGATCGGCGATGGCCACTCTGGAAAGTATCCTGGACGCTTCCGCCAATGCCCCTGTCAGTGCATTCACCGATCATGAACGTGCCGGCAGGCTCGGAAAAGAGGTCTACGGCAAAGAAAAGAAGCGCACGTCGGTTGCTGCGTCTACCGCTCTTCAACCTGAGCCTGACAAGAAGCATGCTAGGAAACGCTCTTCTTTTCTGTGGCTCGGTAAACGTCATAGCCATGTTAGTGACGACAACAAGGATAACAAGGATCAAAAGGCCCAATCTGAGTCTGGGTTGGGGCCAGTGAACGCAGAGACCAACGCAGGCGAGAACGATGGTTTGGCTCGTAGCGTTAATGACCTCGGAGACGTGCATAGCGATGATGAGCAGCAGGCTGCCAAAGAGGAGGCCGAAGATGTTACTGAGGAAGAGGACTACCACGGCCCTCCGACAACACTACTTGCTGAACTACAGCTCCGCAAACAGCAGCAGAAGGAGCGAACCCAACGGACATTTGGGCCGGGTGGCATGCACGCAACCTTGCTAGAGATGGACGCTGTTGCAGAGACCCAAAAGAAATCAAGGAATACCAAGCGTATCAACTTGGCCTGGGAAGAGGGGGGTCAAGTACAGCTTGTCGATGAGGACTCTGATGACGAGGACATACCTTTGGCCGTCATCGCAGCACGCAACCAGGGTGCAAAGAATGTTATGGATCTGAACCGTCCCATAGGTTTGATGGAGCGTCGTGAGATAGAAGAGAACGAACCCCTCAGTCACCGCCGAGCCCGTCTACATGGCCAAGATCCTCGATCTATGGTTATTACCAACCGACCAAGCATGAACAACCTCAGCGCTAACTATCTCCCCACAACACCTCACTCTGTCGCACCGCACTCTGTGCAGAACGCATCCACCGAGCCCGATGACGAGTTTGAAGGAGAGACACTTGCGGACAGAAAGAAGCGCCTTGCTGCCAAGGAAGAGGCTGAGAATCTTTTGCCCAAGGCCCGCCCTGTCAGTAGTGCCTTTTCCGTTGAACTCCTGAACCAATTTGAGGATCCTGAGGAGAAGAAAAAGAAGGAAGAGGAGAGTAAGCCCAAGTCTGGAGAGGAGGAGACTTTGGGTCAACGCCGCCGTCGCCTGCAAGCTGAGCGTGAAGCTCGTGAGCGGGAAATGAGCTTCAACCAGCTGAATGCAAGTTCTGAGGAGGCCCCAGTGCCAATTCCCGGCGTCAACGGGCAAATGCATCAGATGTCAAGTGTCCTTTCTGCCCATCCCAAGAGGAGTGTAAATGAGGCCATGGCAGAGCGCGAGCGCCTTGAGCGTGAGAGGAGAATGGTCAGAGAAGGTGACGTGAGGATGGCAGCCTATAGAAGCCAGATGCCTCAAACCCAGGGAGTTGCGGGTAATGCCCATTCTGGCGGTTACCGTGGTGGTACTTTCAACAATGGCCTTGGCGGTCAAAACTCTCAAGCTGCTATGTCTTCACCAGCTCTTCACACCCAGCTTCTTAACCAGCCCGCTCTTAACCATCGAAAGAGTGCCGTGTTTAATACATATGGTGCCCCGATACAACCAGGTCCGTACGGCGCCGGCGGTATGAGCGTCTATGGCGGGAACATGTTGCAGCCCGGTATGCAAATGCCTGGCCAGGCCGGCCCTACCAACAGAATCGAACAGTGGCGCCAGGGTGTTCTCCCTTAAGAACTTGACGTATTTGTTTCACACCGAAACAGTCATCAACCCAACCGAGAGACATCTCTAAAACGCAATATTGCTTTAATACATTTGGGGAAACATAGAAAACGGGAAATAACTCATGGCATGGCTATCGATATGGTGTTTGGTGTATTTTAATAGAGGGCCGGAGATGATGGACGGTATTACATATTCAGGGACTTTGCTTTTTCTCGTTCAGCATGGCACCTAGCATGGCATGGCGCTGGAAATATCTGTAAAGCTGAAAGGACAGCGATTTTTAAACAAGGAAACAATTTATTCATTCATAATCTGTTTGTATTCTGGCAGCATCTACTTTGAAGATCAAGAACATGAACGATGACATGCTTTCAAGCCCGTGCATTAGAAGTGAATGCAGAGAGAGTATGGGGAGGTATCAACTCGTCATATTGCCAAAACAAAGATACAGAAAAATTAAAGCAACCCAAATGTCTAAAAGACCAACGCCAGGATGTTAACAAGCCGTTATCCCTCTCCCCCCTTTTTCACTCTTCTACATGCTTTTCATTCCAGATCCGTTCATCTCCTCTTGCCAAAGTTGGAGGCAGTCTTTTGCAATTTGGACGGTGGTGCGGCTTCGACATCGCTCTCGTCATCCTCGCCCATAGACTCGTCTACATCGTCGTGGTCGACCTCATCCTCATCGAGAGACTCCTCAGCATCGCTGTCAGCCTCCTCACCGGCTGATTCCTCCTCGTCGTCAGAATCGCCGACAAAGCCGTTGGTGATGGGAACGTCATCGTCTGAGTCGTCGAAATCACCCTCCAGGGCGCGCCTTCGGCCAGGTGCGCGCGCAGCCTCGTCTTCACCCTCAACCCAGATAACATCCTCATCGTCAGAGTCCGAGTCGCCGCTGTTGTTGAGACCGCCGCTGTAGATTCTACGTCGGAGCTTCATCTGACACTCGAGCATTTCGAGCTTACCCTTCAGGGCGAGAAGGCTTGACAGACCCTTTGCGCGCTCAGCGAGAACCTTTTGCAGACCGCTGAGGCTCTGGAGAACCTTGGGCTGCGATGCGAGAGCACCACCGTGGGCGATCAGTGTCCAGTTGACCCAAGCGACAAGAGCACCGGCGCGACCAGGGCGACGGTACAGACGGGCTGCGAGCTTGGTGAGGAGAGTACCGGCGAGAGCGCTGTCGAGGCGCTCAATAGTGTTGTGGACGGTAGCGAGATCGGTGGTGTGCAGACACGACTCGAGAAGGTCTGTGTCGTCGGTACGAAGGGCCTGAGTAAGGACGGTGGAAAGAGACTGGTGACTAGGAGGAGCAATAGCGTTTCGCGTAGGGTGGGAAACCATTGCGCCGTTAAGGGCTGAGGGTACTTCAATGATATCGTTCTCGGCGCGGAGAAGCTCTCCGAATGAAGGCGATGTGCCCTCGGCGTCCTCCTCCTCGTCCTCGTCATTGGACTTTTGCTTCACGAGCTTTGTGTTGGAAGTTTCCTCAGCGGTCTTCTGTTGCCCCTGCTCCTCAGTGAGGCTCTCAGCGTCGGAGATATCTTCGTCGCTGTCGGCATCGGACGAGAGCTCAATGGCTTCGACCTGGGAGGATCCGTAGGCATCGGGGCCGGCGATGGTGGCCTTTGACTCGTCAATGACAGACTTGTTGGGGATTCGAGCGCTGGTTCGAGACACAGGGGCAGCCAGCTTAACCGGCGCCTTGCGTTTTGTTGTCGACATTATGATTGGGGATAGAAATGTGAAAGTTGTTTAAGCGGGCGCAGAAAGGATACGGCTGGGTCGCGTGCAAGGATAGAATCAAAGACGTGTGATTCAAATCGAGAAGCGAATCAAGTAGTTTTGGCTCTTGCGTCGCTAATAGCGCGGTTTCTCTGTATTATTGAGAAAAAAGAATTATGTTGAGCGTTATCAATTGGAAAATTTGACGAAGCCGTCGCTCAGTCTCGAGTGAAGGAACTTTTTTTCTGGAACCTGAGCTTAACTCGGTGGTGCCCCACAGAGCGATAAGATTAGAAAGTTGTCACGTGCGATAGCCACAACAAGCGCCACAAGCTGAATCATGTGTGGCGTCCAAGAAGTCCTAATCTTGAGTTTGGCAAGCCATTTAATTACAGTGATTGGTTTGCTACACAGAAGTAATCTTGATTGGACTATCCTTGACTAGTGGACTCGAGGAGAGGCTCTCATTGGACAGTATGTAGTTTCTCGGCAGGATCAACCTATCATCCGTGACCTTAGGAGGAAGAGTCATGCCAGACAAAGCTGATTTCGAAAGGGAATGCGCATTGAAGTATTGGAAACAACCAAGTTTGGGTAACACAAGCCATGTGAATGCCCGTTTCTCTCGTTTGATACGGGAACGCAGGGTCACATGACGTCCATCTCTAAGCGGACCCGTGTTTCCCGGCTGGACCATGATGCGGCCTAGCTTCGATATTAGAGTAAGATCCGCTGATAAGCTATGGTGTTTTGTTGCATAATGACTTGGTGACGCGACGCGAACGTGTAAGAGAAGTGTCGCGAGAAAGTTAAAGTACGTGTCCACAAGTGAAAGAGTTCAATCTTTGATATGTATTATTTCGTATGGATCTATTTTTGTTCATTTGTTAAAATGACTTGGAGCTCACATATACTTCATCTTAATGAGTCGACCTCTTCTTTCTCTTGTTTTACTCGGATCATCTTGTAAGACGAAACTCTCGGGAAACAGTGGCATTCCGGGACCGTCTGCAATCTTATCCGTGTCCTTTCGGGATAGAGGAGACCTTCCCTTTCTGATCAGGCTCAGACTCTGCCACACTTGTTGGTTTGTATTGGTTTAAATGGAGCTACCTTCCCGCATAAGATCAACACAATGATTTATCACTTCAAGGCAAACATCTGCCTGATATTTCTAGTAACTACTCTACCATCTATGCTAAACATGATGAAAATCTTATGAAACAAACTCGATGATAATGATACCCAACCTCGCAGCCATAACGTTCCCCACCAGCGATCATCACGATGGGGGACAAAAGCTGGCCCGTGCGTTTCATCATCCCCTTTCAGTGCAAACCTCGGACAAATAAATTTTTCCCCTTGCCAAGTTTGCACACCCCGATAGACACAAATCAATGGTTCGGCGGACTTTGCCTTCTTCTCTCATAAATACCACCGCGCCTCCGACCGGGCAAAATTCACTGACGTGCACGCGCTTTTCCCTCAGAGGCTCCGAAACTCCCCTTAAAGCCAAACCCCCCCTTACTCACCCCTCTACGTTCTTCCGTTCCGGTTCTCCGTCTGAGAAAGAAAAAAAAAGAGACAGAGACTCCTACACTGCCAGCAGGGACCTGACTGCCCTGCACTGGCCACCCTTTCCCCCCTCTTGGCAACCACCTTGCACCTTTTGAGGCTACCACAAAGCACAAAAAGCACCTTCCGCGCCCCGATCACGATAAGAGCTCCTTCCAGTTCTTGTTGTTCTCGAAGCCGGCGATCACCACCAAAAAAAAGTCACTGCGTCTGCACTTGCACTGCACCCACCATTGACTTTTATAATCAATAATAAGTCTTGCGACTACAATAGCTCAACGTCGCTTGTACTGTTTTTTATTATTTATTTCTTGATTTGTCTTTTTCTTTGGTCTTTTTGATCATCTTTCTTCCTTCTTTACTCCGCTATACGTACAATACTGTACCATCTGCGCGCGAGACCTATCGCAATCGCTCTCCAATTATCAGCGTCATTGCTTCGGGATTACAGCTTGACCTACCTGGCTCTTACCTTACATCCGGGTTACGACATCGGTCCTCGTTGTTGTTGCCTTCGACTCCGCTTGCGCCTGCCCACCACCTGCCGCTAGGCCGCCAAAAATCCAAAGCCGAGAAGCGCATAAAGGATCGCGACTCCCCCCGCCTTTATTCCAACTTCGCACTTGCGCGACGCGCCTCCATTCCAAAGTCCCCACCCCAACCATCTCCATCGCGCATCAAAATCACGTCGCTTACCTTTCGATAACATACGACTCACATTGATACGTAAACGCATCGCTATTTCATGTCGCATCGGGTCAACTAGGATACACTTAATATTGACGCGCATTTATCGCGACCAGCCATTATGGCTTCACCCAACCCCGATCCTCCCGCCGCCGATTCTCCATCGCGTGATGTCACCACAGAGAAGGAACAAAAGTCGGAAGTTAATGGGTAAGTTGTTCCCAAGTCGTGCTGGCGCGCAATGTGTTACCGCATTGTCGCGATGCAGTCTCATCTTTCCCCAGCATTAGCTGACTTTGTTGCTACCAGGCATGCGACTCCTGATAAGTCAAACGACGCGCCTGAATCCACATCAGTTAATGGCGACGACAAGACAGACGATCACCCAGTCGCTAACGGTGTGAGCAAGGATGTCGAGATGGCGGATAGTGATGAAAAGAAGGCTTCTCCTTCCCCATCCCCACCCAAGGACGACGCTGCAGAGGCCAAGGACAAGTCTGACAGTGCCGAGGCGAAAGAGCTGGGCGATAAGGAGTCGGGCGAATCCAAAGCTGCTGAAGACGAGCCAGCTGCTGCATCTGAAGATGTTGATATGGCAGATGCTTCACCAGCAGACAAACCTCAAGATGACAAGCCCGCGCAAGACGTGTCTGCTAAAAAATCTGTCGAGGAAGACGCTAAAGATGTTGATATGACAGAGAAGCCTGCTGATGCGCCTGAGAAGACCGACGCAACTGATGACAAGGCGACCACGTCAAAAAATGCTGTGGCCGATGCCCCTGAGGCCGACGAGCAGCCCGCCAGCCTATCTCAACTTACGATTGATGGCAATGATGTTGATGGCCCCAAGCCTTCTGTCGATAGCAATGATGTTGACGCCCCCAAACCCTCCACCGAAGTGTCAATGCAAGATGCGCCGGCCCTCGACACTTCTACTGGTTCCAAAGTCGCGCGTGAACGTGAGGAGGATTCCGCAGATGAGCCTGCACCCAAGCGAGCCAAGACAGAGCCCAAGTCTGAGGAACCTGCCGACGCTATGGCACCCGCTCCCAAGACTGAAATCGCTATTAAGAACGAAACAGCTCCCAACGAGTCGGCTCCTGAGCAGGAATTGTCACGCTTCTCTGGCCTTGAGCGATGGAACGATACCAAATATAAGGAGCAGAAGCTTACCGCTCATCAGCGACGCGAGTTCCGTAAGGTGCTTGGACGTGTGAAGAAGACCAAGTCGGGCGGGCACTTCAAAGATGCTGTCCCGAAGCTGTGGCCACAACTCGCCGATAGCTATCTGTCCAAGATCGATAAGCCAACTGATTTATCAGAGATTGACCGGACCCTGCGCGATGCCGTGTACACCACTATTGGCGACTTCCAAAATGACTTGGTTCTCATGTACGACAACACTCAAACCTTCAATGGCACCTTGCACGAAGTAACGACTTCGGCGTTCAATGCCATCCGAGATATTTGGGAGAACATCATTCAGATCCCGGCGGAAGAAGCGGTCAAGCCGAAGTCTGCCCCTAAGCCTAAACCTCCTCGTGAGCCGCGCATCAGCTCCTTGGGTGACTCAGTTGCCCGTAAACCATCTGCCGGACCTGGCACAAGTCCTGCTGCCGAGAGTGTGTCATCAAAGCCAAGGCATGGATCTCAAGAAGCTGCTGCGGTGGCGACGGCGTCAGAGTTGCGTCGTGCTTCCAATGCAACTGAAGGCGATCGTCCCAAGAGAACTGTTCGTGCTCCCAAATCCAAGGATATCGACTACACAACAAAGCCTTCGCGCAAAAAACTCAAGCCTGAGTTGCAGTTTTCCGAGGAAGTATTGAGTGAAATGATGCACCCAAAGAACACGGCACTCAACTCCTGGTTCATGGACCCTGTCGATGCCGAAGGATTGAACATCCCCCACTACTACTCCATCATTAAGAAGCCCATGGATCTCAACAAGATTTCCCGAATGCTGAAGAATGGTGATATAACCAGTGTCAAGGAGTTTGACAAGAGTGTGCGGTTGATCTTTACCAACTGCTACACCTTCAATGGCAGCGTTGACCAAGGAAACTCTGTGTCTTATGTAGCCTCACAGTTGGAAGGGTACTACAACAATTTGATGAAGGACAAGGATGCTTGGTTGGCAAGATATGCCAAGGCCAATGCTCCTGCTCCCGGTAGTGATGATGAGGACGAAGATGAAGATGAGGTTGAGGGCGTTGAACCTGCAGGCCCCCCTGGTGCGGACCCGACTAAGGAAGTGCGTGACCTGGAAGCCAAGTTGCGGGAAGAAAGCGGGAAGCTCACTGACCTTTTCGCCGCCGAGACGCCGAACGAGAGTATGATTTCCATTCAGCAGACCATTGTTGGTGTTGTGCAGGATAGTCTCCTCAAGGCGAAACAGGCCCTCAGTCAGTACCGCTCAAAGAATCAGGACAAGCCTACAAAGAAGGCCGCCAAGCCTAGCAAGCCCAAGCCCAGTGGCTCTGTGCCTCGCAAGCCTAGCGGAACTGTGCCCCATCCCAAGAAACCCAGTGGCTCCAAGAAGGCTGTCTCCAAGAAGACCCTGACAGCAGCGGACAAGGACGCGATTGCTTCGGCCATCAACGACCTTGACGGTGCACAACTCGATCGTGCCATCGATATCATCAAGCGAGACACAGGCCAGAACGTAAGTACCGATGACTTGCCGCAGCATCGAGCCATGTTAACATGCCTTTAGGAGAACACTGACGGAGAGCTGGAGCTGGATATTGACCAGCTTAGCAATGAGGCATTGCTCAAGCTGTGGGAACTGTGTAGGAAGGTGCTCCCAGGATTTGGTAAGGACTCTAACGTACCATCTTCTCCTGAAGCATCCCGAGCGGCGCCTCCCAAGCATTCCAAGTCGTCGTCGACGTCGGCAAAGCCCAAGAAGAACAAACCCATGAGTGCTCGTGAGCAGGAGGAGCGCATCGCACAGCTTCGCGGCCTTCGTGATCTGTACAGACCTGGCCAAGAGCCCGGAGACGCCCAGCCTGTGCTGCAAGCCCCCACACCCACCGCCGAATCCAGTGATGAATCGGATTCGGAGGAAGAGTAAGAAAAGATGACGTCGATTGACGGACGGATTGTATGAGTTGTATGACTTCCTTTTGGGAGCTTGGTAGCCAGTAGCCAAGTCGACCGGAGAGCGTGAGGCACCATTATACCCAGCCACGGCTACACCAGGTGTCATGCTTGCTCAAAGGAGTGGCATGGTATGGTCGGACTCGACCATGCCGCCTCGGACGAGGCAGACGCAAGCCAAGCCTGATGAGATTGGTAATGAGGACGTCGTAATGGTTCCTCAGTCACCGTTGGTCTCTGGGAACCAACGACAGCGACGCACACGCAGGTAGCTAAGGTGCATTATTAGAGGAAAAGACTTTCTGGTGAGGGAAAGTATCGAGGTAGTTTGGGAGTTGGCGAGCATGGTTTTGGGGAGATACCCGAGCAAGTGAGCGGAAGTGATAGCAGCAAAGCAAATTTGGATGCAGCTGGCATCCGGGTACCGCTTATCGGACGTGTGCTATGTTGAATGTATAAAATAAATCAACTTCAGAAACTCGACTTGAGAACTTTCGTAGTGGTGACGTGATGTGTGTGTGTCGTGTCCATGGTCAATGTCGCGTAATTGTTGTGGCTCTGTTGCTTGCTGGTGATGGGCGCGAAGTGAACTTCGGCCAAGTCGTTCCCGTGTCATTGTGGGTTCCGGCTTGTGACGGTGCGCATGTATGTGTATGTGTTCTGACGTGTTGTGTCGTGCTGGGAGACAGACAGATGCTCGTAACGTCAAGTATGGTGTAGGTGCAGACGTGAAGGATTCAACGGCGACTTTGACGCAATTAGGAATGTCGAATTACGACCAGCTGGGTCAATGATTGACATTACTGGCAATTTGCCTGATAAACTTTGTCTGGGATAAAGTAAAGTCTGTCTTGGTCCTTTGCACAAGGATGATGCCTCATAAGCTTTGAGTGAGTGTGAGGCGACGTGAGTAGAGGGAGGAGGATCCTGAGGCATCAGGTGTGTCGGTCGATTCAGTGATAAAATACCAAGATTCAACAGACCCTTTTGAAAGTGTATGGGAAGGCGCAATAGTAAGATAGATAGATGGTGAGTGAATCAGAGAGCGATGGATAGAGAAAGGGAGAGGAGAGAAAAGTGGGTGATGGTGATGGACTGAAGGCCATTTGATAAGGCCACAAGAGAGAAGAGATGGCAACGCGAAAAGTAAATGTCAAAATGGCCGATTGAATAGAAAGATATCGCAAACAAGACTCTTGGTGATATTGATCTTGTGAGAATATGGCAGAAGTAAAGGTATCAATGCGTATCAGACGAGTCCCTTGCGTCGGATGGTTGGCGTGCAGCAGATAAAGGGCATATGATCCGTCAAGGCGGGGTTGAGAGAATGTCAGCAGACAAAAGAGAGCTCATACATACCGGGCAAGATACTGTATCAAAAGGCGTAGAATTAAGACTCGGACGACTGATTCAAAGCGCAATAATAGATGTTGAATCGATGTTGTATGTCGCTGGCAAAAAGATGTGATTTTTTTCTCTTTTTTTTTTTTTTTTCTTTTGCAGACTGAAATTTGGGGGGTTTAAAACGAAGGTGGACTTTTTTTGGTGGGGGAAAGGATAAGGATACTGGGCTTGGGTTCGCCTCGTTAAAAAAAAGGTGACATGCCTATAATTTACACTGTACTTCGGGGGGGATTGGTTACCCTGTAAACACAAGACGCCCAAAAGATTTGGTGACTAATTAATTGGCTGACTTGGGCTTTTTTACCTTTCAAAAGAATTGTGATGTAAATTTGGAGTTGTTAAGAACAAGACACAATGTCATGGTATAGAACTACTATTGTTAACTGTTAGATGGTCGGGTTCCTTAATTAGATGGCCTCGAACTTGAACTGCTCGAGTCTACACCCTTTGTTATACCAGCACAGGAACATATGTATTGATGAAAGTCATCCTGAACATCTCGAGGTGGCTTTGTTGGACTATTCTGAACAACACACTTGAGAGAGTAAATATGTATTCAGACGTCGTACATATAAGACAGATATATATCTCAAGTAGAATGTATCAACATCAATCACAATTCACAAACACATCCAAAGCAAAAGCACAGCACAACATTCAAAATGTCTACCACAAGTTCCAACTCCTCTTCCTCCTACTCCTCCTCTCCCTACCTCTCCTTCCAATGGCCCCGTCCAGACAATCCCAACTTCGTCTGCTGGCACCGCGGCTTCGACAACCCAAACGCCAACATCATGGTCGCCCTCCTCGTCCCATGGATCCAATGGCCTAACAACCCCCTCGACGACGCCAACTCTCGCTGGACTGTCATTCAAGATAAAGCGCACCAGGCCGTTTGTCACTGGCGTCGAGCCCTCCGGGAAAAGGTCTCGGGCGAGGCGCATCAGAAGCACATGAAGCTCACGAGTATCATCCTCATGAATTCGCAGCTGAGACTGACCGTTGATAGCTTGGTTCAAGGTGAGGAGCACATGATGCTGTTCTATGGGTTCGTGGCGGATGAGTTGATGGGGATGGAGGATGTCAAGGATGTCAGGATGGGGAAGAGCGTTATCAAGTGGATTGGCTCTGGGGAGGATGCGTATCCTGTTGTGAGAAACTTTAAGTCGAGGGCCTGAGGTAGGTAAGTATGTGGTCTATATGCTGGACATGTAGAGCCTTGTATAATAGAGTGTTTATCATGAGATTCAACTGTGCCTATATGTGTATATTTGAAGTGGTAAATATGTTGCTTATATTGACCATTTAAATGTCTGTAGACGTCACTTTCAAGTTGGTTTGTTCTTCCACTTTTCGATGTGGGGCACAAACAAGATCAACCACCAACTTCTTTATATCAACAATTCTCACTCTTCCCAATCTTTACTGTCACGAACAAATACATAAATTTTACAATGTCGTCTCCTCCAGAACGTGCATCCGCACTCGTGCAATGGGCAACCTCCAACGGCGCCACCATCAATCCCTCAGTCCAAGTCTCTCATCTGCCCGAAACAGGCCTTTCATTCTGCGCAACAGCACCTACATCGCCCTTTGACACAATCGTCAGCATCCCTCCCTCTCTAACTCTCTCTTACCTCAACACTCTCCCTGGACGTGACGATCCTAAGCCTTTCAGTCCTGGGTTTCTGGCCAAGACTCCACCCCATGTCATTGGACGCTTCGTTTTCATCAAGCACTTTCTTCTCAAAGAGTCTTTCTGGACGCCGTATATACAGGCTCTCCCGCAGCCAAACGATGTCGATTCTTGGTCTTTGCCGCCTTTCTGGCCTGATGAAGATGCTGAGTTGTTTGAGGGGACGAATATCGAGGTCGGCGTCGCTAACATCAAAGCCAATGTGAAGCGCGAGTTCAGAGCGGCTTGCGATAACTTGGATAGGGACGATTGGGAACCTGAACTGTTGAAGCAATTTACTCTGCCGTTGTATCAGTGGGCGTACAGCATCTTTTCCAGCAGAAGTTTCCGACCAAGCCTTGTTCTGGGACCAGAGGACCAACAGCGTCTCCCCGAAGGCGTTAAACTGGACGACTTTTCTGTTCTCATGCCCCTCTTTGACGTGGGAAACCACGACATGACCACTCAAGTACGATGGGAGCGCGACGAGAAGAGCAGCGACTGCATTCTCAAGGTCGGAAAAGCGTATCAACCAGGAGAGCAGATCTTCAACAACTACAGCATGAAGACAAATGCTGAGCTACTACTCGGTTACGGATTCATGCTCCCAGAGACAGAGGAGCTACACAACGACTATGTCCACGTGCGAAAGCGCCAACCTACCCAAGGCGAAGCTACAGAAGAGTACTACATTTCCCTCCGCCCCATTCGGCACTCTAGCTCTCTCCTTGCACGAACCAAACAAGCCGTCCAACTAGATGAATCAACATCTGTAATTGGCGCCTTCCAGCACGTTCAGCACGACATGGTATGGGACATCTTCTGCACGCTTGCACCACCTGAGCAGCGCGCACAGTTCATATGTGAGGGCACAGAGCAGGAACAACAAAACAAGTTCTTTAGCGGACAGGTTAGTGAGGACGGACGGATGTTTATGCAGCAGACGGCGGCTATTATTCAGAACAAGGTTATGCAGGAGCTGGAGAGGTTGTTGGAGACGGATGTGGAAGTTGTTGGGGGAGGGGATTTGATGAGGAATCAACAATTGGCGCTGGATTATAGAGCGAGGTGTAGAAAGGTTCTTGAGAATACTCTTGAGGCTATGGATATGGATGAGTTGTTTGGTGAAGATGAGGAGGAGTAGAATAAGAAAGGGAGATATATCTCAACTAAAGCATTTAGACGGTACTCAAATCAGTAAAATAGTTACTACTTGATAGATAAAAGTGAATATACAAGATCAGGCTTGTTTGTTTGGTGGTTGTTATAGACTGGCTGACACTCATTCATCCACTCATTCACATTGGCTGCATATATTCCCACATGCAGATTTGGCTTCACATAAACTCCACTCACTAATCTACGACTTCAATTTACTCATCAACTCACCTTCAAACGATAACCGTCCAACGCTTGAAGAAAAAAGACCTTTCCAGTATCCAAGCCCTGCAGTACTCATCCTCCTTAAATCTTTCCATCATGGCAGCCTCAACTTCATCGCCCCGCAAACTCATCCAACTCATCACCGACATCGACAAGTTAGTCCCTCCCCAACCCCATCTACACCATCCCTAACAATCCCAGCGCCCCTTTGGACTTTGAATACAACTTTGAACCATACTACCGTCTCTTTCTCTCCCCGGATCCTCGTCCTCATGGCTTCATCCTCCCCGCCACAGTATCCCTCATGCCATGGCCCAACACCTTCACCATCGACCATTCAGCCCGCACCGTAACTCTCACCGAGCCACCATCTTCTTCATCGCTCACAGAGCACGCCAACGCAGCATTCCAAGAAGCCGTTGACAAAGCCATCGACCAAGATCTATTTCCTATTCTTCACAAGGAACACAGTGAATACTTCCGCGTAGTCGGCGCTAGGAGTTTCGTTCAGGTTGAGAGATTCGCTGCTCCTTTGTTCGGTATTGCTACACGCGGTGCTCATTTAACGGGTTATATCCGCGACGATAACGGAGAGATTAAAATCTGGGTCGCGAGACGAAGTCGCCATCTGTTTAGTTACCCAGGTCTTCTGGACAGCACCGTAGCCGGCGGCATAAAGGCTAGCGATACACCACTCGCATGCATCAAAGCCGAGTCCACAGAAGAAGCATGTCTTCCACCAAACCTGGTATCAACAAATCTCGAACCCGCGGGCGCTATAACGCTGGCCAACATTAACCCCAAGTCGAAGCTGTTTCACTCGGATATTATCTACGTGTTTGACTTGGAGATGCCGAGAGATGTGATTCCACGGCCTGGTGATGATGAAGTGGAAGAGTTTGTGCTTATGGGGTGTGGAGAAGTTGTTGAGAGGATGTTGAAGGGGGAGTTTAAACCGAATGTTTGTCCTGTTATGATTGATTTCCTTGTGAGGAGGGGATTTGTCACTGAGGAGAATGAAGCGGATTTTGAGGAGATCCAGAAGAGGTTGAGGAGAGAGATTCCTGTACCTATGGAGTCTGATGTTTAGTTCGTTATAGAGGCACAGCTCCTATGGGTTACAATATATAGAAAGGAGGCTGAAGCCACGGTCTTCTGCATTGCACACCCAGCAGCAACATATTCACAAATGGGGCTGTACTAAGACCAGCACATGGAGCACACAATGAGTTTAATTTACCATAGTCTAACCCAAACACCTAATCGTTATATATCATCCCTCACAATATCCATTTCTCAATGAAACTCAGCTTCAACTCTTCCGTACCGCACTCCATCAACCTTCAATTCAAAGCCCAAACCCGCGCTTTCAACTCTCATCTCGAGTGTAAAATCCAGATTATCAAACTCGACTCCCCTTGTGGTCGTCAACCTTGTAAACAGACTTCTCGGAACGGCGTTGAGGTCTGTTGTAAGAGTGCACACGTGGATCAGATCCCTCGTGTATGCTGCAGGTGGCTCATCCGCATCGCAAGCTATCAAGTCATCTGTGACGATGAGGGATTGGCCTGGGCGGAAGTTACGGGTGTAGTGGAATGCGATCGGGGCAAGTGGTGATAAAGCCTCGCCCTGTGATGCGTTAGTATGTATAGTTAATGAAACGTTAAAAAGGAACGTACCTTGGCGATGTGCCATTGCATCCGGTCAGATACCATCCATCGCTCCCACAGAGGAGACCAGTACCTCTCACTAACCGAATGCTTATCCTCATCATACACAGTAGCATACGAAGTTCCATAGTGCATTCTCGACTTACGAGAAATGACCATGTTACCTTCCAATCCTCTCAAAACAGCACCACGCACAACTGCCGTCCAAGCATACACAGGCTGCATCACTTCAATAGATCCCGTCTCCTGCGTAGAGTTGGCATTGGCGTGCGTAGGCCGCTCACTATAAGGAGGCGGAGCAGCGCTCGTAAAGTGAGACTTGAGACGACGATACAGATAGTCGCTCTGACCAAAGCCTCCTACCAGCACGATACCAGAGACGATACCGCCCTTTGATCGAAGACCTGAAACTTGGCCTTGGACAAGATCGCAGACTTCTTTCACCACGGGCTCGAAAATGTCTTTGACCTGCTCTGCTGTCAAAACTAAAAAGCCTGAGTCCAGCCCAGCTTCTTCATCGTCGGGAAGACCAGGGAATCTAGAGATATCAGTATCTGATGTTAGATGGGGAGAGGGATTGCAACATACGGAACGTTGACTTCCTGATGCTCATCCTCGTTAAAGTTTCGTTTAACAAACTCCTCAAAGTATCGGAGACCCATTTGCCACGTCTTGCCCTTTTTACTCTTCATCTCGTCAAAGCGCGTCTGACCGAGACGACCTCTAACATGTTCTTCGAAACGGTAGTTCAAAAAGGCACTTCCGCACAACCCTCCTGTTCCGACTGCAGACTCCTCGACCCGGAGTGGTTTGAGGGAGATGATCTTGTATGCGATTAAACTACTAACTGTCAGTGCCTAAAACCGTTTCAAGGGGGCAAAGCTAACTTACTCAACGGTACCACCTCCAGCGTCACAGACGATAAAGTTATCACCAACATTTAGATGGTTAGGTTGAATCGCCTTGAGTGTATACACAGCAGCAGCTTCAGGCTCACTAATCATCTGAATCTCAGATCTGGACCCCATACCCGCCCTCTCAGCAGCCTGCAGCGTAGTATTCTTGGCCGCATCACTCCAAACAGCCGGACATGTAAGTACAAATTCAACCTTTGTCGACGCCATAAACGACTCTCCATAGCGACGCGTAAGGGTATCCATAGTATGTTTGTAAACCTGAGTCAAGTAGTCACTCACAGCATCAACAACATTCTTGTTGAAACGCTTCAACTGAGCGGCTGTGTCGAGAGGGCTAACGTAAAAGGGGAGTTTCTGGGAGCGGTCGAGGAAGAGCTTGATGCAGCGCAGACGAGACTCTTCGGGCTTGAACTGGAAACCCCATTTCACAGTTGGTTCGGTTCCTTGGGGTGCATTGGGAGGGTAGCTGTAGGCGATCTCAGTCGGGACCTTGTCCGAGGTGATGCCATTTCCACCTGGCCATGTTTTGATGATTTCTATATCATCAGGGGTGGAAGTATAAACAGCAGCAACACTATAAAGGTCAGTATCTCATATAACCCCTAAGAGTCTTGATACTTACCCTGAGAAAGTAGTACCGAAATCGACACCAACGATCAAGCGATCGTTTAGAGGCGTCTGCTCTCTCACCAACTCCCTAACAGGCCCATTGATAGCTTCCGTGGAACTTGGCGGTGTATAACTGTTGAAGTAATTATTTCGACTTTCGCGATTGCGCTGACTGCTTATGCTCTGTCGAATTGGAAGATTGAGACTCATGATGAATGATTTTTCTTTTGCTAACAAGTTTGAGTCAAGTCCGTTTTATCATGAGTCCAACAACCGTTTTTTACCCCTCCCCCGCGTGAGATTGATTGATTGAGATGGCTGACCGTTTTTGTTCGTTTTGGTGGGATGATTGATAAACAGATGAGGATGAAGCTCAAGAAATAATAATGATGATTCAGTTATAAGAGTCAAGATTTCAAAGGTATTTTTCTCTCTCAACTCATCATTTGACTTGGTCGCTGAACTGGTGAAACGTCTATCGTTACGGTTCAATCTCAGATGAAGAGAAAAACAAACTTTCAAGAATCGCAAACAAATCCTGAAAGGAAAGGAAAAAGGAGAAGTCGTGTAACACGTTTTTAAAAGAGATACAGAGAGAGAAAGATCGTCTCTTGTTTTCGTAATGAACTACTCACAGCTTTCGTCGTCAGTTCTTGGCTCGAGCTGACTTGAGTGCTGCCTAAGGTAAGCGTCGTGATGTTCCTTCAACCACGTGACGTCTGACTGACTGATTGATTTCATCCTATCTCATCTCATCAGATCGACTCTCTTTCTGTTTGCTATTGTATATAGTGACATATTACATAGACTTCAATCACTTCAATCACTTCAAACCAACACAAACCAATGACAATACGATAGATGGTGAAGCATATGTATTTGCTTGTTCTTGTACATGGTCTAAACAATGCTAGGCAAATGATCCCATGCATGCCTGTCATCATCCTCAATGCAATAACTAACTAGGCTCACTACCTAAGCCACCTCATCTCCCATCAGTCTAATTGATTCGGTTGCCTCCCCGCTTGTTACAAATGCTGCCTCGCTATTCTGACTTTATCCCTCACTCGTAAAGGGAGGCCAAAACCTTCCTGACATAAATCTATGAGACATTCAACATTCTTCACTCACCATCAAAGGACCCTTTTTATCAAATCACAGTTGGGTCACCCTAGAATATGTCACAATGTAGAGCAGCAAGATGAAACAGTAATTGTTTTGTTATTTTTCCTTAATTAACCCTGTGGCTCCTCCTCACATCAAGGCATTCCATCTCTTGTTGCCGGGGTATATGATAATTATATACAGTTCTCTCATCATCAAGTCGCTAAATGGTTTTTGGCATCCTAGATAGACTTTGAAACAATTCTATTCGGTTGGCAATCTCCCAATGCATCGACTGAGACTGGCGACTGGTAAATACGCGCTGACCCTTTTGTACATCCTCCAATACGCAAATGTAGACTTCTTCCTGTCCATCTCCCAAGAGGCGTCCTGTTGACCCTTTTTGTGCATCCACCAAGCAGAGACAACTTAATATGACAAAGAGAAATGGCCGGTCATATTCAGCCCAAGAACCCAAGACTCCGTTTCCCCTTCTTATATATAGTGAGACAAAGGAAAGAAATGGATTGAGTGGTATGTGATATTGCTTCAAGCAGATTGCTGCAGCTGCGCTCGCCTGTGGTCTATAGGGGTATTTGATACTCAAGGTATACGAAATGAAAACAAGAGCAAACGGTTGCGGAAAGGGAGAGAGAGAAATTGCGAAGAGATAATAATAATAGTATGTGCAAAGGCGGCGTGAAATTCCGGCCGGGTATTTGGTGAAACGTCGAGCGTGCTGAAGAGAAGGGGGAATAAAGTATGTATAGTCAACCAATATGCCCAAAAGTCAAACAAACCCGCCCACGTTGCAACAATGTAAAAAAAGATCAAAAGAAAAGGGTTCCATGTCGTAACCCAACACCCAAACACCATGACCATGCGAGTTGATATCAAAATAACTTTTCCACGCCGCTGGACGTAATCGTAATAGGTTGCGCCCAAAATTTTATTCCTTAAAAGCGACTGCTAGCGGCCCATATACTGGCCGATGCCGACGCTGCCCATTCGCTCTCTTCATACGGTGGCGTGGGCCACTTGTATTGATCTGTCTTCTTGTTGAGATCGAGAGGCTTGGGAGTAATAGCTTGCCCATCGGCAAACAACACTTGGTTGCCGTTGGCTGAAGGTGAGGGAGTGGGGTATGGGTTCATCAACCCAATGTTGCTAGCCGATTGTCGAAGCGGCTTGTTTTGGTTTTGTTCCATTCGCTTCATGGCTCTTTGAGTCGTTGTCAAGGCCTCGTCCATAAGCTCTTCCTCCTCATCAGGAGCCTCGTACTGATGCACACCATGAGTCGCTTGGGCTCGTCGTGTGCGGCTGGAGATGGGACCACCCCGAGCAGCACCGATCAGGTTGTCTACTGACCGGGCTTGGTGTTGAGGTAGCGAGTGATGTCGCTTGAGGGTGCTGGTAGGCGAGATCTGGTGAGCGGGCGGAGCGGGAGGTTTTGAATCGAGGTTGGTCTGAACATCTCGGAGGGCCTTGTCAAGAGATTCGTAGACCTCGGACTTGGGAACGGGAGCCGGTTGTTGCGATTGGTCAATAACCATGGACGACCGGTTGCTACTCCAAGGGCCACATCCAACCTGGGCCTCCAGGTCGTCGTCATCATAGGAGGGTGAGACGGGGGTCTGATGTCGTCCCGAGAACCGCCTCGCACGCTTTCGGAGATGTGAAAAGAAGCTCTCCTTCTGTCCATTCGGAGGGGAGGCGAGGCCAGAATTCCCATTGAGAGCCCGTTCGGCTTGTTGCCGATGCATTTCTGTGTAGTTGTTTGTGCTTGAAGCGACAGAGAGCTGTCGGCCAAGTTTCTTGGTCTTCCCCTGGCCATGTCCATTAGCGTAAGCGTCGTCGTAGGTATTGTTGGCGCGGGCATTTACAGCATCAGGGATTGGCGAGATTGGCCGCGCAGTGGGAAGAATGGGCATGGGCGCCACGTTTGAAGGGCCGTTTGTCCAAGTAGCTCTCTTTCCGGCGGCAGGGCGGGCCTTTGCGGTGACGGGCTCGGGGGCAGGACGAGGACCAGCGGGCTCCTTGGGCTGGGTCTGCATGGTGGCCAGGTCGGTGCTCTCAGAACGGCCAATGAGGGACTTGCGGAACCAAGATTGCTTGACAGAAGTTGGGGTAGTAGAGGCCTCCTTGCTGCTTCGGCTGAGATCGGATTGCTTGCGGCCCAGGATTCGGGAAGCTGATGACTTGGGTCGAGTAGGATCGACGGCGTCGACGAAGTATTCGTGGGCGATGGCTTGTGACGATGTAGGGCGATTTTTGGGGTCCCACATCAAACACCAGGTAACGAACTGAGCCAGAGACGCAGGCCACTGGGGTGTTTGGAGAATGGTATCCATAGCATGAGGGGCCATCTTGGGGAATGAGAAACCCAGCTTGCCAGCTAACCTTGTGCCGTCACGCCAATCACCTCCACCGACTCGGTTGCCCGACTTGTTGTACCAGTTACCCGGGCTACCCATGATCTCACAGACTCGCCAAACTTGATCAACCTCGTTTCCACCAGGGAACAGCGGCTTCAGCGTAGCAATCTCAACAGCCATGGCACCAACGGCCCAGATGTCGACAGGGGCGGAGTACTCTCCCGCTCGCAGGAGGACCTCGGGAGCACGGTACCATCTTGTAGATACGTATGTGGTGTAGGGAAGTTTGGAGTGTGTCTCACGGGCGAGACCAAAGTCGGCGATCTTGACGGTGTAGGTGGGTGGGGTTGAAGGCGGAGTGACGAGAGCAGAGTATCGTCGGAAGGTGTTGCCAGCATCATTGTGGCCGGATGTTGTGACGAGAATGTTTTCGGGCTTGATGTCGCGGTGGAAGAAGTGGTGAGAGTGGATGTGTTCCAGACCCTGCATGATCTGGTAGAGGATGCTCTTGACGCTGCCGTTGTCAAGGCACTTGTGGTCTCGAGCCTTCATCAGTTGGTACAAGTTGCCCTCCATGTACTCCATAGCGATATGGAGCTTCTTAGAGTAGGGGTCCAAGAAGATGTCGAGAGCGGGAACCAGGTGTGGGTGGTGTGGCAGTGTGCGAAGGAAGACGACTTCACGAAGCTCCAAGCATGGTTGTAAAGACTCAAATGTCTTCTTCATAGTCTTGATGGCAACCTGGAATTGGTTAGCAGTTATCACACAAGTGGGTACACGTCGTATCGACTTACCACTGTACCTCGGCGAGCAACGTTGGCACCAGCCGTCCGGACTCTGCCCAGGACGACGCTACCGAAGCTACCATCGCCAATTTCCTTCAAAACTTCAAATCGATCCTCGAGAGAGAGATGCTGGCCGTTTGCACCCCGGTGGGTCAAATCACTTGGAACAGTCATGTTGTCGAGGTATGATCGAGACAGTCTATTGTCTAGATGCAGTGTGACACGCGAGGAGTCGGGGTCCTGGGGTACGCTGTTATTCGACGGGTTCTCGATGTTGACCGGCAGCGTAGAAAATATACCTAAACCAGGTCGGAGACGATAAGCTCTATCAAAGAGCTAGATATCGAGTTACCGGAGCATTCAGATGGGCGAGGTTGCTGGTGAAGACGACGAATGAAGGACGTGGGTGCGTGTGCAGAGCAATTGTATAGCGATAGGCAGGTAGCTAGGTCTGCTGTATATTTAATGGGTGGAGGGGATATAGTGGCGGTGTTCTTGGTTGGATGAAGTAAAGCAACGATGGACTGAACAGAACAATGGGATGTCGAGAAGGAGGGGATGTAAATGGGGAGAATTATTGAAGACGACGATGAGAATAAACGTCAATCAAGGAGATGAGATCGTCCCAGAGGGTCCAGGTTCCAGAAGAGCAAAAGGAGTGACTGAAGTGAGGGTGATTGCAGAAGTGGATAGGGTCGATATTAACGAAAAGGAGAGGGAAAGCTCTTGTCCAGGGCCATGGACCAGGGGGGGGAGTGGCTTGAACTTGCCGATCGAGGCAGGATTCTCAGTCCAGTCCACTAGTAGACCAGTCTTCAGAGAGGCCCCAGCGAACAGCTTCCCGCTCCAACGTTAGTGCAGTGTGATTAATGCTATGCGCTGAGTGTTGTATTGATTGATTGCCCCCAAACTGGTGAATGATTTGTTCAGGCCATGTCAATAAGCATCATTGTTGTTTTTATTTAACTTCTCGGATAAGTGAGGGGAAAGTTGAAGCGAAATGCAAGTGAGCCAAGCGAAAAGACTCTTCAGCGAATGATATAAAGCCAGGGAGAACGAGGGAAACCAGCAAGTCGCCCAGAACAGACCAAAAATTCAGAAGCCAAAGAACTTGAAGAAGAAGTGAGTGAGACGAGACGGGGTGTGCGCGAACGTGGGCGTGTCGTGGTATCCATCAAGTCAATGTAGAGGGTAGCTTGGGCCGGTGGAGTTCAGGTGCGGTGCAGGGAAGCCATGGAAAAAGAAGCAATGGAGACTCGTCCAGGATAGATGGGATGGGATAAGGAGGTCCAAGTCCAAGTACTTGCGAGCCATGGGCGGGACCTTGCAGAAACTTTCTGCCCTGTAAGAATGTGGCTGGGAAAAAAGGTATTCATGTCGTCAGACCATGGTAGCTTTTTTCTCTGACTATGTCACTCTACAGCGCTGGACTGCCCACTTTAAGTGCCCTGGTCCAAGAAATGGAAAACCAGCACAGCACAGCAACACCATCGGTTCAGGCTCGAAATGCCAAGATGGGTGTACGTACCCGCGCTCCGGTGGGCACTTTTACACCTGAAAGGTTTGGAAAGACGGAACCCGACGGACGGTATAGAACTGAACAGTGAACAGTGGCCTATAATCGCTGTAATGCTAGGGAGCAGAGGGTGGTCTTCAGCAGACTTGCTAACCCAAGCCTTATAAACTTAGTTCGAGTCACGCCAACCAAGGTACAGGTACTTAACTTTAGGCTGCTCTCAAGCTACAAAGTCAAGTACATGGTTCAAACATATCCTGTCCTACAAAATAACCTCCAGCATGCATTTCTATCATGCCATGGGCCAAGGGAGAAAAGTTCCCAAGGATAGTAAGATCAAATCGGCGCGAACTTGCGGTAGTTACCAAATGAATTCCGACGCTCTGGATAGAAACATTAAATGTCCCAGACAACCAAGGAATGAATATAAGGTCCCACGAGCAACGACCAGAGATTCATGGTGTGCAAGGTTTTGGGAATGGAGCACTCGAAGGGTCAGAGGGTCTATTTTCATAGTGTCGTGTGGCCCTCTCTACTCTCAACTCTGACGGGGACTGGCTGCTCGCTGGTATGGACTAGAATGACTGGCTTCCCCAAGTAGCATACGACGAATAGCAATGAGTCGTGATATATCACGGGGAGATTTCAGACCTCCAACTTGAGCCCATTCGGCTCTTTGGAAATAAGGGTCACAGTCCCCAGTGGTCCCAGATAAACGGAAATCAGCTTTCTCTCACACAACAAGGCCTGGTTGGAACAGGATGACAGAACAATTGGGGACGAAACTCAAAGAAACGACCTAGGACCGCCGCGGGAGAGCTCCCCTGGATCCCCTAGAAGCTTTCTAGGATTTTTTGGACCGTTTGACCCAGAGCAACACCGGCCATATGACGGCGTCGTCGACCATTTCCAACTTACCTACCTATTGGGGGGACCTTTTGGGACTGTTGCTAATATGGTACAGATCAACTTCCTAGTGCCCAACTTGACCCAAAAACCAATCCCAATCTCGCGACCAGACAAAAAGGGCCCGCCTCTATTTTCCCACGTTTTAAATAACCTCTTTTCGGGCATAGCTCTCCGCGTTGCAAATTGTCGCAATTTGGGCGCAAATCGGGGATGGATACTCACTTCACAGCGTTTTGCCAGTCGTGGAGCTTTTGATAGGCGCGCAGGGTCAAGGAGATGAGCAATTCAACCTATCTTGTCTCCCATGACCACCACCTCCATGCCTTTTGACATTGGATCGCCAAAAGCGCTCGGCAAATAATAAATATCACGGGTGATAGATATTGGTAGTGTTACAATGCGGCGTTTATTGCTGATGCTCGTTGGTGAAGCTTGACTTTTTGATGAGCCAAGCAAAATGCTAAGATTGGACCAACGCCCAATCCTACCAAACGCGTCTTGTACAGGTCTGACAGACGCGTTCTCGTTCACTGCCTACCTACAACCGCGTGCTACTCTGCTCAGCCTCGGCGGATTATCGTGGCCTCGCGCCACAGACCCTTGGATGTACAGTTACAGCCGTCTATCTATGGATACGGATGGATGGTCAGGAATACGGCGAGACCATATCGACTTGTTCGAAGCGAAACGTCAAATCTTATCCTTGCATGTGGTCTGAACATGAACAATCACTGGGCTCATTCGTGTGGCGCTCGTCAAATTCCATCTGCAAGAGCCTCCAAGTGTCCATGTACTGTCTCGGGGTCGCATGAAATGGCTTCTCAGGCTGCCCCTCGTTCATCCCCCAAACCCAACATTAGGTGCACTCTTTAGAACCCTCGCGGGCTAACTGGTACGTGCGGAGGCCGTCCGTCTCTGACTCTCAGCGGCCGGGGGGGCATTAATCAAACAACCTGTCTAGCTTTGACGCTTTTCCTTCTGCCGGGACGTGCCCTTGGGATTATGCTTCCCAGGGGCCTGGAATAGAATTTCTGAGAAAAAAGGGGGAGGGGACAAGAAGAGGGGAGATATCAACGAGGGGCATTGATTGCAGCATTCAAAGTGACGAAACACGGCTGAGGGGACAAAGTTAAACCTGCTTGGGAATTAATTGCTTTACAAACTTACAAAGGGACGGTTTGAAGCTGTGGTTATGGAAACAAGGACCAGCTTTTTCCGAAACAAACGGGCGGACCCTTGTTGCACACGTGTACAGGTCCGTTGGTAGTGCGAATTTATGCAGCGCCATTCAGGGCATAACTGGGACATAAGACGCCACAAAGTCTTGTAACCGTTGAGCTGAAGGCACTGTCCCTGCTTTCACAAGTCGATCATGACGGATAAACCTGTGAGCCCTAAAGTGGTTCCTGGGGGCGAAGACTCACTCAGTCCCAAGCAAGTTCCTCTCGGGCAGATCGATGATATTGTCCGGCAACATGGTGTCATCGTGCCTGAGCTTGAGTGCAGGTTTATTAACAAATGCAACGTCATGTGGAAGTTGATATGACTATCATCACAAATCATCTCTTCTCTGTATCAGCAACAGGGTCGTGCTCGATCTGATATTATCGTCTTACTCGGCATAAGAATCTCCAAGAGTACGGATACGGGAGATGTTCTATCCAGGGTTTGAGAAGGTCTGGTCTGAATTTTCCTCTCATCCATGCGAGCGAGATTGTTCCTCTGAGAACCCTTACAGAGCAGTCCATGTACATAGAGTAATTATGGCTACACCAACCCAACCTCTAACCCACCAGTCTTGGAACCAACCGTCCGGGGTGTGGGGCCGCTGCCAGGGGCAAGCCGCCGGACCGTGGACTCGACATGGAGGGCCCAGGTCAATTTCACTTCACATCACTTTCGCCTGCGCTGCTCGTTAATTACCAAACATCTTTTCATGCCTGATTATGAGTGGATAGCCTATCCATTCGATCGGTACTTTCCAGTGAGCTGCTGCAGGTACCAAATACTCAGGTACCAGTCCAAAACTGCTGCCCTAACTAGTATCTCTGAAACCCTGGACTGGGGACTTGGACTCGCTCGCTCGCTTCCTCGTGAATAGCAACTCCCCTTACAATGTACAGAGTACCGTGCATTCGACTACTCTTGTCCCTCTCGGGGCACGTTTCCCGATCCTGGACTCGCCTGTCACGATGCCGCAGGATCATCGACCCAATGCAAAGGACACACGCCCGGGGAACGGAGATTGCCTGCGACAGAACCACTGATGAGCCTGGTCACGATGATACTGTACGGTAGCATTCCCGGGTTGCCCGGTGTCACGGAAAAATCCATCAGACCTTCTCGAAGGAAAGGTTATCCTGGCCCAGCAGGACGGACGACTTGGCTAGCCTAGACGTCGATCCATCTCATAGAGAAGTGCAGTTGTGGTGCTTGTCACGCCGTTCCTTGGTTGTCATTGAGATTACCTGAGCCCCTCTTCCCTCCCCCCTCCATTATCGTTGCTTTTCTATTGTTATCTCACAAAATGTGATAGATGAGTGTCATCCCTCACAGTTGTCTCTTGTTCAAACAGGTAGTATTTGCGTTGCATGAAACGCGGCGAGACCTGAGGAGCCGCCGCGTCTGTTACCCAAGCCTCGCATCATGCAACTTCTGTTGGTGGCAGGGCAAAAAATAAACGTTGATGTAAGGGACTGGACTGACTGGGTCGCAAGCGTTTCGAATCAGCGAGCAGCGGCGGGGTTGAACTCTGATGCCATTGTCCCTGCATTTATTTTACTGCCAAACCTTCAATCAAGGTCCGCCGTCACGGCCCAAGTCTGTCCGGGAGTTCCCTGTGCGACAGAGGCGACACGTCTGGTCTGTCACTGAGCGACCAGATGCACAGATGGTAGATGATGCGAGCGAACCCGCGACTCAGATCTCTCACAGGTCCGTTCGCGTAGTTTTTGAGGGACCTATAGTGGTAACTGAAGGGATCATTATCGTTCTTTTTTCAGTGCCTGCTTGACCTTGCAGATGACCTGCCGTAGCATATGGCCTGCAGTATGAGGGCCCTAGGCGCCGAAACGCGGCACGCACAGATGGAGGTTGGGCTACAGACAATGAATGGTTTCTTTTTGACGCGATGGGTAATTGTGACCGGTTTCTTGACCAACATTGAGAGCTGATGAGCTCACTCACTACCAACAACATCATGGCGCAGTTTGGTTACACACTCAGGGCCCGTACCTGATTCAGCCTTGACGTGCCGTGCCGTGTCAAAAAGAGGGAAACGTGTGTGTGGTGCCTCGATCCCATTCGATTTAGCTCAAACCTTGGTTGTCGTCATTGCACTGTTTCTTTTCTTACGCGTTGCCTTGAGTTGTGTCTGTTTGAGGTGGCTCGGCTCACATCATCTCTGTCGTCTACAGAGTACTGCTGGTGCTGACCATTTCTACTCACTGCGTTGACTCAATTGGCTTTGGGAGGGATCGTGATGGAGCCTGCGCCACACGAGTAATGGCAATCAATGCCTGTCAATAGTATTTCGTATTCCCAGCCCTCGTCCTAGTCAGGTCTGGTTTTGGTCTCGCAATGCCTCACTTTTTGGGTTTTCACATAGTTTTCCTTCCCCTGCCACCCACCACCTCCTCGCTTCTTTGGAAAGGTATGGATGGCATGGACAGCGGCCGAGCAAAGCCTAGGCAAAGTCAACTCAACTCAACTCTCTGTTGACATTTGTGGAGTGCAGCAATGTCCAAAGGGTTCTTCCCGATGGGACGCCCCGTGTTGCTCCACCGTCGGTAGCCTCAAGCCCGTTGGCTTTTCTTTAGCGTGCTGTCCAACCGCACCGTCGACGGTAAAGACCTGTAAAACTCAGCCTATCCAATCGTCTGAGAATTTTAGTGGTGATGGCTAGATGGATTGATTTAGGCTTTTCTGCTGATCGGCAGCATACCGGTGCTGTATTCGTTGAATTGAGTGAGTAATGTTCAGGGCAGAGTTTTTCCCATCAAATTCTTTACCATTAGCATGAAGCATTAGAAAGAAGTTTGTAATGCTAAGAGTTGGCTGGCTGGGGATGCCCCAGTCACCGCATTGTCGGGTCCTATCTTGACGTGTTCCGTTTCTCTAGGGACCAATGTTGATGTGATGCATCATCACCCAGCCGGAACCTGAGCTGGCACTTCCGTATTGGCCGGGTTTAAAGCGAGGCAGGCATCTTCTTTTACGTGGACTTGGTTGCGAATGTGGCGATATCGTCCACCTTGGAAGGATGTACATATTGTATCCCGAGAGCTATGGTAGTCGATCTTAGCCCGCTTGGATCATCTGTCACGGTGGCATCGTTCGTGGTGAAGTCATGGACGACGATTGGACGCGACAACGCGACACGTCGATCTATTTTGTTTTCTTTCGATAATCACGATGATCACTCACTGGGCCCAGTGACGCTCCAAGCAACCGATGTTATCTCCAAGCACGGCTTCAGGGTCCAGCTGCATTCGGCGGGCTGATCATTCCCAGAGAATCAGCCCGTGAGAGGGACAGTCCGCAAGGGATGTCACTTGTTACCAGTTTTTGTTTCATCACAAAAAAAAAGCAAATACCATGGTTTTCTCAAATGTTGCCGGGTGATTCTTTGTCACGTCGTTTTGAATGTCTAGCTCCAGCCCATTGCTTGGGCTTGCAGAAGCCCAAATCCCAAGCCTACCTACCCCAGATCTTGTGACCAAGATCAGTATGGTTGGGCCTGATCTGGAAGACCTCAAACCCTTATCGGCAAAGGGTATCTTCATACGGACTAGACCTGTCCTTGCCGCAGTAACTTGGTGGCCAGCATGTGTCTCTGGCGGGTTTCGCGATCAGAAAGTGAAGCTTACTTCCCCATAGTATATGGGCCGTTTGTCATGGGTACGCTGGTGATGGATACCTGCTCTACCGTAGCTACGCCTTTAGTAACGAATAGTCTGCGGATATCGTAGTCGCTTGACACGTCTTGTTCAAAATCACTGCAGCAACATGGTCTGACCCCAGCATGTACAGTAAAAGTTTTTGATGCTTGCTTGTCGGCTAAGGCGGTCACTTGCAGAGTCTGCTTATCCAGCCACGCGATCAAGACCAATGCCTTCTCGAGAGGCGCAGGGTAGTTACAGGATTATAACCATGCGGTCTGGCAGATTCTGTAGTCTTTATGCGGTAGCGAGGCGACCGGAAGCCGAGGATATTGTACACATACGAAGCGCGGTACACTGCTTGACCTAAGCACATGCAGTCATCGAGATAATGCAGTACAGACATGCGACGCAAAGCCTCATGGTGGTCAAGGTAACAGTTTCGAACCGTCGACTTGATTATCATGCCAATAGGTGATCGGTCATCTGGGGTTCGGCATCAAGTTTTAGCTCAGCGCTATGTGAGGTTCCGCTCAAGCGGTGAAGACTCGATCAATTCATGATTTCTGTAGGGTAGATGGCGGTGAAAATGTCGGAAGAGATCAGGTATCTCGCTAGCAGCCTGTGCCGCGCAAGGAGGGTGTTTGAATAGAGAAACGACATGCATAATATCGTTTCTTTTCCAGGACAAGGTTAATATGGACGTTGTCAGTACGTAGGGTAGAGAATGATGTTGAAGATTGCCATGTGGTGGGTGAACATCGCGCGTGGGCTATTTTGAGCCTCATCCACCTACAATGAGATCAGCACAGGTATGCTTAGATGCGACTCAGATACTCGAACGCAGAGGCCTTCGGACTAATGCACGTATAATATGACAGCGGCGCACGAGAACCGAGTGGCAGGCATTATCATCGGGAAGACGCATCTGCAAAAGAGCTAAGAAGGTAAGGGGTCGGTATCAACGGGATGATACAAACAGACACTGTTGAACAATAGTCAAATTATGTAAGTTGACTAGACAGTTACTATATGGTATGAATCTGATATGCATTAAGCACAAGGATTACGCAATTAAAGCGCAATTCTCCGCCTAGTCGTAGTGTTTGCATCTTTACAGTGCAGCAAGCGGATGTTATTGGTCGTACCTTTAAGGGGTAGTAGACAATTAACGACTTAAATTGACAGTAGAAGAGATACAAACCTATCGTCTTGGTCTTTATCTTCAGACTGAACTGTTCCATTCAGTCCTAAGATTGTAAAATCTTAACCCGCCTTTCTAACTTGCCTTCTCCCCTAGGGGTTGATGTGACAATGGCCATTTGATTAGTCAAGGCATACCTCCTGAGGGCCTTCAGCATGCCTCTTCCTGGGAGAATTGACTTCCACTTCTCCTCAGCTGATCGTAGCACAAGGGGATGAGAGTTGGGGAAGTTACTCAACCTTCTCGAAAAGGCAACCCCTGCTATTGCCCTAAGCAAAGCCGACGATAACGAGATCAGCCAAAGTGACATCGATGAGTTCTTGGATGACGACGAGGAGATTTGGGAGGATTTCTCAGACGATGAACTTCTGGGGGACATCCAAGACGATGAATCTTCGGGGGATCTCTAAATAAGGATTTGAGGAGAACATTGGATGATTTCACGAAGGATTCGAATTAAAGATACATTTTAGCTATGTATGAAGGCATTTTCACCTCGAACATCTCCCCTTACCACTGGTTTGTTTACAGACGCTTTGTTCAAGTTTCTTAAAGCAGGTATCTTGTCATGTTCTTTCCTTTGATCTATCTAGTTTCTTTACTCTAAGATAGCACGGAGTTCCTGAATTTGCTGCAGCACAGCTGATCGACTGGTACCTCCCCTAGCCGATTTCGCCTCAACACTCGACTCATATTCAAATGCCTTCGTAATATCCGCTGTAAATCGAGAATCAATAGCTTGCAGTTGCTCCAGGGTTAGCTTGTCCATTGAGGTTTCCGTGTTTTCCGATAGCGCAACAACGCGTCCAGAAATGTGATGAGCTTCCCTGAATGGACATCCGTTTCGCACTAGCCACTCCGCGACATCAGTGGCAAGCATCGTCTTATCCAAGGCAGCCAACATCCGCTCAGGTCGCACAGTCATAGTAGCGATAACCCCACTAGCGATGCCCAGACTATCCGAAACAGTTGAGACTGAATCCAGCATGGGTTCCCATCCCTCCTGAAGGTCCTTGTTGTAGCAAGTTGGCAAGCCTTTCACGCTCTATCGAGTATCTGTTAGTGACTGCTTTTGATCCGCTCCTGATCACTCATGAGCTGATATGTCTGTATTCGAACTCACCATCATCAGTCCAGCCAGTTGACCGAAAGCACGACCTGACTTGCCGCGCAAGAGTTCCAAACTGTCGGCGTTCTTCTTATTCGGCATTAAACTGAACGTGTATTAGTGTTATGGGATGTTTAGGGGTCGCAATGGATATAACGAACCTGCTGCCGGTACTGTAAAGATCTGCCAAACGACAAAATCCAAACTCGGAAGTGGAGTATAGGATAAGATCTTCAGCCCACCTGCTCATATGGCTAGTAAATAGGGAATTCCAGCTCAGGAACTCGATAATAAAGTCACGATCGCCTGACGTGTTCATCGAGTTCATGGTGATTCCGCTAAAACCAAGCTCTGCGGCGATTGCGTCTCGATCGATGCCAAACACATTACCAGCTAATGCGCCACAGCCAAGTGGGCTAAGGTTGACCCTTTCGAAGACCTGGCGCAATCGCTCGAGATCCTGCTTGAACGAAGAAGCATGTGACATTATCCACTGACTCCAGCGAACTGGCTGAGCTCGTTGTAGGTGAGTGTAACCGGGCATGAGGTAGTCGCTAGGGATGTTAGTCAGTAAGGGGCTTTGTCCGTAAGCAGTGCTAAGCTTACATTTCATCCTCGGCGCGTTTGGTGAGGACTTGAAGGAAAGTAACAAGTTGGCTGTCGATTTCACGGATGCGGTCACGTAGCCACATGCGCATATCACAGACGACCTGCTCGTTGCGGCTGCGACCTGTGTGCAGCTTGCCAGCGGTGTCCTTTCCGATGACCTCTCCTAATCGACGCTCGTTTGCAGTATGAATCTGATTAATTGTATTAGCCTCGGGAGGTTAAGTGGTGTAGGCCAGCGTCTCACGTCTTCGTCATTCGGCATAATAGCAAAGGTTCCCTGCTTCCATTCTTCCATTACTTTAAGCAGACCCTGCTCGATTGTCTTGAATTCATCTTCGGTAATAATGCCGACCTTTGAGTTGGCTCTGGCGAAAGCAATCGATCCAAGAATATCCTCTTTATAGAGAGCCTTGTCGTATCCGATAGAGGCATTGTACTTGTGCATAAGCGGATCAATCCCACCTAGGCATCACAAAGTTAGTATACTGGATGCGAAGCTTGTGTCCAGGGACAATTGAACCTGTAAACCTGCCACCCCAGAGCATATTGGTTGCTGGTGCGTCCGCCTTCTTTTCAGACATGTTGGAGTATTTGTTCTCGGCGCTCGTTACGATCGTTGCGTTTGTTACTTCGTTGTAGAGCCAATTGAGGGCATAGGCCGTGTTTATAGCAATCGACGTACAAATTGAGGGACGCGATTCAATTCGGATGATGTAACTTGCTTGAAAAGGTCGAGAACGAGGGGCAGTCAAAACTTTGTGGGCCGACACCGGCGGTGTTAGTCACCGCACGTGAGGACCTATTGTAGCACGGGTCCTATGCCTTGAAAATCGATGGACCTTGAGGCTCTGTGTTCCTATGATGGACAACCAAGCCAATGCAAGCTAATGCAAGCCAATGCAAGCCATATTGCCAGTTTAAAGCAATCTTATACATTGCACTTCCTAAAAGTGACCTAGAGTTAGATATTTACAGATTATATAGGTTATTTACAACACAAAATGCATTAAACTCGGTTTCACTAGTACAAATATCTACCACCAAATAATGGCTATGTAAGTGAGTGGCGGAGAGAGTAATACATCTCCCTCCCTTGCTAGGTATGACTATTACTGGTCCAGCCAAGTGTCGATGCAAAGCACTGTTAGGCAGGCATTTGGATGTTGAGGTAATGAAGAGGATCGCCAGAAACTAGGCGCGACCAATTTACCTACTCCTCGTCCCTAGCACGTCCAGCCGGATTCTAAACCATGGCGAATGTTGCATAAAATAGAGGGAAGCATAGTGCAGATTCAAGCCGTGTGGGTAAGAGGTGAGTATGCAGCCTGTGAGCGGGAGAGGGACGTTGAGGTGACTATCCTGTTGTGTTAAACTTGCATCTCTTCATAATTAGCATCAAGGCATAAGAGAGATACCCCGTCTAAGCCTTAGAAGCCACTGTACTGTTTAAGACTTATGCATAGGTGGTGATCCCCGACTGTAGCTACCCGGAGCGATATGCTGCCTGTGATAATGTCTTGTAGGTGCCTTGCACCTGGCAAGTAGCCATTAGGAAGTAACACTGAGAAAAAGCTATCGTAATTAGCAGAGCAAACAGAAGATAGATAACAAACAGTTTCTGCCTGAGAAGAACATAGGCGGAATGCACGAGCCAGCTGCTGTTTGGTGGCAGTGACAGTGAATCACCGACCCGAGTGCTTGCCTACAAATAACTCCTCAATTCTCAACCACAAATCTTCTTCACCTTTCTGCTTTTACCATCCACACACATACATACACATTCACTACAAAGAAGCATACACTAAACACACGGCACAAACCACCATGCCCAAAGCCAACGAGTACCGCTGCTCCGTTGGCGGCGAATGGAAGATTCTTGATGCCTTCTCCAAGAGTCAACAGAGGCGTGGCAAACTCGGTGATCATAAGAACTCTGGGATGATCTGCATGGAGCACAGTCAGCCAGTTCGCGCTGAGCTCACCTGCGCAGTCTGTTACAGGGCTAGGGTTATTGACGAATTCTCTCCTGCTGAGCGCAAATCTGACGACCCAGTATGTTACTAATGCAGTCTTAAATAGGCATCACCCACTGACATTCTCTAGCGTTGCAGACAATGTGTGGCTTGGGACACAGAGCAAGAATATGGTATCGTCCCTATCCAGCTGGCTACCGGACATGTATCTATCGAGGAGCCAGCACTCCGTGACTACTCTGCACCAACAAACACCGCTGTCTTCTTCGAGCCTGAGACTCTCCCCGGTGTAAGTCGTATAGCCTCGACAGGAGAGTATAAACTGTTGACATAATATAGGCCCCTATCACCAGTCCCCAGAGCCTTGGCCTAATGCCTAATGAGACTATGAACAGGGCATTCTTCCAAGTTGTTGGCACCCCGCAAGGCGATACCAGCTCAGTCATCGGCAACTCGGAGACCTCTGCTCAAGTGACCATAGCGTCGCACTCGGAGACAGCCAGTGTTGTGAATGAGAACAGGTCGACCGCATCAGGCCGTCTCCCTCCACACCTTCGAGGCCGTCTTGCCAACCACACATCGTCGGCCACGTCCAGCCAGATTGCGGATCCCCTGCCTGAGCCGCACACTCTGTTGAACAAGAGTCTGACAATGGATCAAGGCCCTGTTACAAAGAGCGTGACAAGCACCACGACTGTGGGAATGACGCTCCCCCCTCATCTTCTAGGTAAGAAGAAGCGAGAGCAAAGCAGCGAAGCCAGCAACTCTGGTGTGGAAGGGAGCACCACTGGCAGTATTTCCACTGCTACAACCCTGCGAAAGGAACATGAGGAGATAACCGCCTCCCGCAGAATTAACTTCAACGCCTGGGACTCCCAGGGTGCTCAGCACAGAGCCTCCAAGAACCCTACCGAGGCCTCCAGCACTGCCTCTGTCGCTTCATCTTCCAGCAAGACCTACCAGGACTCCAACCTCATCGGCAACTGGGACGAAGTTCCCGACGTTCCCGTTGCCCCGATGCCACAGACTCGTGGTGGCAGCAGCAAGTGGCCCAAGGCCAGCGAAGTAAGTGGTATTGAAGTTTGATGTTGAGCTTGTCGACTAACCCATGATACAGCTCCGATTCACCCAGGCCGAGCTCAGGCTGCAAGAGCGAACTTTGGTGCGCCCAAAATAGGAAGAGCCTAACGATGGAGACTGTTGCAAGGACTTGGACGGATAGCAACGGGTTCGATCCAAACGTGCCCGACGTGCCCGACAGTAAAGGGACAGCTGTTCCTTACCCAGAGACCCCGAGTCGGTCTTTTGTTTCCCCCCTGATTTCCCCTGATATCCCAGTCCACTCGCAAACAGAGGGAAATGGTTGATTGTAGAAAAGTTTAGTAATTGATTCTCTACTTTACCATTTGTCTCGTAAAATGAATGATGCTGTCACGCAGTGAACCTGCTGCTCATTGTGAGTTTGCCACTGAACGTCAGTGACGCAGAACAAGAGTAACCCAGAAAAAACAAAATGCAATGATATTTCCTACCCATGACCAAGACTCCCTTAGAAGTATTTTTGTTCCATATACATGCTTAAGATAGTTCTGCCTTCAAGACAGTCCTTTGTTCATCTCTTCGAGCTTGATCTCCCTTTCCATATGCATCATGTACAAAATGTACCCTTTCATCGTTACTAAAAGAACGATGCTTCGTCTACCTCCCCATGTTTTCGATCCAGGGAAGGGATTTTACCTAGAATAAAAAAAAACCATACCGCAGCCTAACAACCTTCTCACTTTCCAAACATGCGTGCGACGACACGCTTTGTTAGGCCGTATAAATTCCCAACGTTGGCTGTCAGACCAGACGTTGACCCTTCTGGTTTTGCGAACCATGTGCTGTTGCGCTCCTGCGCGTAGGGATCTTCGTCCTCCGATTCGAGCTGCCTCTTTCCTCCTCTTTCAAATAACCAAATCTCCTGTGCGTTTCTGTTTGTGTGATATTCCTCCGGGCATATCGTCGTCGTTAGCCTCGTGGGCATGTTGTAGTTCTTAATCGCCATCTTCCTCCTCCTCCTTCTGTTGTTTCTCGCAATAGTTGCTGATGATATAGTAGCATCACGATATATTTTCGTTTCTGTTTTGCTCCGGCGCACGGCTCTTCCGCGGGCGATGATGATTCCCTTTGTGTAAGAAAAAAACCCATTAGACTTCCTGTGGACTGCTATAGTTGCTTCGTGGAGGCGCGTTGACCAACGCCTCGGCGTCGCCCACCTGTTTCCGTTCCGATATCTCTCGGTTTCGGCTCTGTAGTCGTTTGCGAAGAACCCAAGGGGGAACCTGGAGGTTCTGTGCGCCGGCGCTAAGTGATTGCTATTGGAGAGGTTCGGAGGACGAGGATAAACGGTTAAGGTGGAGGTAGACATCGGTACCGTATCTGTAGATAAGGTTAATCATGACATTGCTCATGATGACGGGGGCGCAGGAGATTCTGTAAACTGTCAAGCATAAACTTACCCTTCCATGCTGATGAGTTTCAAGTCACCACCAAAGTAGCGGGCGTATAAACGTGAGATGGGCAATCCATAACCAAAACCGGCCATTGGGGCCTTGAAGTCGCTCTTGTCAAAATCGGGATCTAAGCTCGGTGTGCGGTCGACAGTGGTGTACATATAAGTCCAAACAAGAGGAATGGCGCTTCGAGGAATACCGCCACCCTCGTCAGAAATCTTGATGGTGATATCCTCTTTGCCCTCAGCTACGATGACCTTTGTAACAGGGAATGCCTGCTTCTCCATGCCGTGGGTCTCGACGACGGCGCGCAGAGAGTTCTTGAGGGTCTCGAAGAGCATGTGCGACAGATGGCCGGGAACGTACATAAAGTTCAAGTTGGGGTTGCAGACAAGTTGGACCTTGGGGGCTTCAAAGAGACCGTAGTGATCCTCGCAGACGAAACGGGCGTTCTCAATGGCTTCTTGGGCTAGATCTTGGACGTTGGTCTTTGTGCAGATGATACCAACATAGGTGGGGTCGCGATGATGGCTCTGGTCTGTCAAGGCAATGTGCTGGCCGATGAGCATACGGATACCGATACGGGACATGTAGAAGCGGTCGAGGAACGATTGAATGGTGCTGTCAATTTGCATGCGCTGGCGACGGCGCTTGTATTCTAGGATGCCCTGAGCCATGGTGGTAACGACGCCATCGTGACGGCGCTTGATTTGGTGCAGAGTCTGGGCAAAACGTTGGTTGTACAGGTGAAGATCGGCGGGCCAGTCGCTTGTGTCGTCAACAACAGCAAAGTATCGGCGCGTGAGGCTCTTGTTCTTGCCATTGTTGTTTTGGAGACCGCCCCAACCGTCGGACTCGCCCTCGTCAATGGATGGATTGGGGGTTGCGGCAGGAAGACGGAAAGCATTGCGACCGATAGCTTTACTTGGTTTCATGAGACGAGTTTTGACATCCGAGGGTAGTTCTGGCCGAGGTAGCTGTGTGATTTCCTACATTGAGTTAGCATGGCATTCTTGGGAAATGGGCTTGGAAAAGGCATACCTCGAACGATTGGGCGTACCAGTCTTTAACCCTGATTACGGATGGCATCTCATTGAGGCCATCTGGAAGCTCGTCGAGTTCTTGCACGCGATGAGCTAAACGGATAGGAAGCTCCTCGGCTAAGAATTGAGAAGCTCGGAATAGAGTGCCTTGAAGCAATCAAAGTCAACAATTTCCCTCAATGGACTCATGAATAAGCAACAACATACCGACTGAGGGTTTCTCGCCAAACTGCACCATCTGGCGCAAGCTGACGCCGGTGGCGGGAAACCGAGCATAGTGACGGATGGTGTCCATCAGACGCTCTGAAGCTCTCCACGACATGTTGGGAAGACGTGGGTCGAATCAGAGAACAAAAGATAAAGTTGTCTAGCGTGACGGTGTTGTAGAGAAGTAGGAATCGGACTCGGACGAGGCAGCTCGGGCGGACGGAGGCAGAGACCGGGATCCCGCTGCGGGAGAGCGTCCGAGAGAGTTTTGGATGGTGGAGAAGCTCACGGCGTCGTCATTGAATAGTCAATCAAGACGAGAAGAGTCGAGCGACTGGATCGTCAGAGGGGAATTGACGTGGAGGGACGAAAAAAGGGACAAGAAAGGAAGGATGAGGTGAGGTTGGTTCGGGGAAGAGAGTAGCAAGTAACAATGATGGCGGCCCCGCGTATGTATGGGGATGAAGATGGAGACGGACAGGCGTGCGAATAGCAGGAGAAGCCGAGGTACGTACAACAGGTCTCGTGCTTCAACAACGAACAATTAATATATTTTTTTAGATAGTGTCGCGTGAGATTAACTAGACGCGCACACAAAAATGGAATAATTCGGAGTGGGAAGCAGTAGACAATGGAAGAAGACGGGGGTTAGAATTAAAGGTTGAAGACACGGAACTGCTCGGGAAGAGTCCAGTGATTGTAGACGATTCTTCCGGGGAACTGAACAGAGTTCAATACAGACAAAAACGTCATTCTAGTGGAGGAAAGACGGTCCAATTACTGTTATCTGTGCTTGGCTTTGGACATGTGGGATCAAATAGTAACTATGGGGAAGTATTTCTATTAAAGAGTAGAGGGGGTTAGTTACAAGCACATGATGGAGACCTCCATACATCATCAACCCGGAGACATGGAACAAGACAACTTTCTGTGGGATTGGATTACGGGGTTATGGGGGGCTATGATGATTGAGTATTCGAATTACGTTGAAATTTTAGAGTCTACAAAAGTAAAGAGCACTCATTATCTTGATCATGACTTTGTATATCAGTCACAGCAATTTGTTTGTAGTTCAAGCATGTCATGGTTCCCCTCATCACCGCCGGTCTCCGAGCTCCAATGTCGGGGCACGGATTTCTCAGCTCGGGACAAGATTCGGTCGGTATGGGATGTCTCATGTCAGACCACGGAAGTAACTTTGCATACCAACATACCATCATTCCCATAATCTTGTAGTATTTATGGATATACCTGGGGACATAAATGTTTCTCACAGTAAAGACACTACAGACCTCGGCCTAGACTGTGGTTTACAACGTAGAACACCATTACGGAGATAACAATATCTCGTTCTATGGCCTCATTTTGTTACCATTGCTGTTGAACTTGCTTATTTGACCTAGTGGGTAGTAGAAGTATTAACCTTTAATCCTCAGACGACAAAAATAAATAACCTAAGAAGTATAATCTAATCAGCATAAAGTGACCTGATAATTTAGTCTCTTATGCTCCTGGCGGCTAACTTTTCTAGTACCCTGATGTCGACCTACGAAAGAGAAGCTTATGGCATGACTGTGACAGACAATACCTACGTCAATCTGATCCAACATTGGTGTAAATTGTGATCACGAGAGTCTTTGTTGCATTGTAGAGCTCCTACCCAACCAGCCCGACATAAGACTCGGCACGCGGATAGAATCTCGATTTACTGCAGTCTCTTCTGATCTCGGCCAAGTCATCTGGAAAGGTTCCCCAGACTTTTGAACCCAACTTGGTATGGAGAGATGACCCTTTTGTACAAGTTGACTGACCTAGACCTAGATACCCCACACCTCAGCACAGGCACGCCATCGAGGACACGGACTAGCTGTGTTGTAAGTTGACGATAATATCAAGTCATGTTATGATTGTAGTAGTTAGTATGGGCGAGTGCAAGCAAGCTATCGTGAATATCGTGAGTTCATGCAAGCACTTGAAGTCTGTACTACGTGGTGAGACATTCAGGTCAGGTACAGTCATGTGCCAACATTCGAGACAGCGCATAGCTATGATGAAGTAGAGTACTCACAGCTCTACTCCAACTCATAGCTTTGTCAGTTTCAAGGAAATGCTAAGACTCAAAAGCCCTCATCCGAATTTGCTCAAGAAGACCCAGTGCTATGCGCTGTCATCCGACTTTCGGAATACCCAAATGGGTTGATGATGACTCGATCAATTCACTCATTCACGTGACTGGGTAGGAAGAATCAAGTTTACCTTCTGGAGAGACAAAGGCACCGCAACGTAGCTGCCCAGCAACAAAGACAAAAAGCGCCTCATTTTTGTACCAACTCATCACTAAGAAAGTGAACAACTCAATCGTACATGAAAGTTGGGCGTCTAGCAGCAAGACAAGGTACGGCATCGGGAAGCGTATCGAAGACATGACGTACCTTGCTTTCGATGTTATTTAATTGGTTCGGATTAAATGTGGGTCTTATTTCCATTTCCATGTCCCTTGCCGTTGATTGTCGTCCATTCATTGAGTTTCCCCGCCCTCTCAACGGGACGGAAGGTCTAAAAGAAGTGGCAGATAACTTGATAAGATATGCTTATGTTACCTTGATCGGATAAAAGAACAGTTGAAAGAGCAACAGCATTTTTGGTGACTTGTAAAACCGATAAATTTATCGACAATTTTACCTCTGAGAGTCATATTTCGGTTCTCCTTCCTTCCGCCCCCCTTTTTTCTTCTACCTTTGACAGGCCCTGAACAGCGCCAGGTCAGGTCAGGTCAGGCTGGCCTGGCTCCTCCTTGCGCTGCGGCCCACGCGGGGCCCTTTAATTTTTCCATCTCTGCTCTGCTGGTTGGTGGACGTGGCCAGGGAGTCGGTGAAGCTGGGATCCCTTACTTGGGCTCCACTCTTGAACACGTCGGTCGTGGTTCTGAGCTGGTGCTCATTTATTTTAGGCGGGTTCTGGAAGTCGAGCCTCGCTTCGCTTCTCTTAAGTTAAGAGCGCGTAAAAAGGTCTTGCTTGCGGGAAACATTGGAGCTTTGTCTTTTGTGTGTGTGTGTGTTAACTGTTGCTTTGCGCGCGTCTGTTTCTGTACTACCTTACCCATCGTCGCTTACCCCAAAGTCTCAAATACTACCACCAATCGAGGCAAAAAAGACATCAATCAACAAAGACAATACAACACTTCAATACAATAACAACAATATATCATGGATCTCGCTTCCATTGACGAAGATCCTGCTGCCGCACTTGCTGCAGTAGAGGCCGACGCCGCGTCTTCAGTCTCGGATCAGCAGTACATCTTCACAACACCAGATCGCAAGCACCCTCTATCTTCAAGTCCATCATCCAAATCCACAACACCCGGATATTTCTCTTATGGAACCATCGACAGCAATTACCGCAGTGAATTTCGAGACCGATACCACGACGACCAAGACATTCCAGGTCTAAGAACCCCCTCGTTATTGTCTAGCCCGAGTGTGGCTTCCAGTCTCGGATTCTCCACCGGCCGCGTGAGCCCTCAAAAGAGAGAACAGTCCAACCATTCGAGATTATCCTCTATAAACGACTCATCCCGAAACTCCTCTCCCTCTGAGCGCCGGAATAACCGACCGCGCAACAGTCGCGATGTTTTGGCGCAAAGGTTGAGCCAGCTCGCCCATGAGCTCACCACGGGCGAAGATGATCTTCTCGACGATAGTGGCGTCGACATTCTCACTGCGCAACTGGATCAGCTGGAAGGGACAAAGATGCTTAAGAAGACCGTCTCATTTTCCGTGCCATCAACACCGTCGCCCCGGCCAAATATCCGACGACCCGTGAGTCTGGATATGTACAGCCCCGGTGAATCCATCTTCGGTACCCCAGGTTCGGCCTTTAAGACACGCTTTTCAGATCTGGGTGCATCTATTAGAAGGGATCCCGCACCAGAACCGACACCAGAGCCTGATCCTCCACCAAACCTGGGAATGACGGTAGCGCAGGCGAAGAAGGTTATTCAGGAAGTCACACAACTCAACGAGGAGATGTCACAACTCGTTGAAAACCTCAAGGCTCGTCAAGAAGAGTCTGATGTATGTCGAAACTCTCACTGTTACCCATCCAATTACTTACAATTCTGCAGCATATTCAAGGCCTTCTCATTGAGCGTGCCGAGCGTGCTGCTCAGCGTATTATCTTCCTCCAGAATCGTATATCTCATCTGTAAGTCTACCTTTCACACACACTGCCAACCTTTCTAACATTCAACAGCGAGCAAGAATTGCGCGAGAATGATGATGAACTTCAGTATCTTCGCATTTGTCTCAAGGCTGTCGAGATTCAAATGCCCGCACACCCCGACAAAGAACTCCAAAGATGCATATCCTCATTCAAGAAAGATTACCAAGCCCTCAAACGAAAACGTGTCAACCGCTCCAGTATCGCCAGTTTATCCAGTCTCGGTTCTCCATATCCTGGATCACCAGCATGACATCGGCTTTCTTTTTCGGGACGAAATAGCAGCAATGCACAACAACGCTTATACGACTCACGACGTACTTAATCTCTCACTATAATTGCGCGCTCACGCCTTAACGCTTTACGACGTTTCGCTTTATTCTTTTTTTCTATACGATTCGTTCACAATTCAGCCAAATTAATGACCAAAGTCATATATTTTTTACTGTCTCAACTTCGTAATGCTACCTTTGATTACACCACCGCAATCCATCAACATCGAATACCCTTTCTCGGAAGCAAGCACGTTTGTGTGTCTCTTTCTCTCCCTCTCTCTTGCATAAAACTGGTGCATTGCGGCATAGCGATCGTTTTTTTGTTCACATTTGGCAGCAATGCCTACTCAAAACATTTTAATGGCAAGGTATCTACTGGAAACCCACACAGCTTTGGTTTCTTCACATTGTTAAAGTCGGACTTCTTTTTCTTCCACTGTTCGACAATTCATGATAGCAGGCATGACAATAAAAAGGGGATATATGAGTTTTCCTGATCAGATAGCATCAATTGATAGACTGGACATGTCTTTGTGTTCGCAAATTAGCATCGACCTAACGTTGACGTGGATCCTTTAAGCGAGCCCTATGCTCAATATAACATCCCTGACCGTGTTGTTGATCAATCTCCATCAATATTAATGCAAACAATGCTTGACGATAAGGCACCCTAGTTCCGCGTCCCCCGCGTTCAGGAACATCCCAGCTAGTTCATAGCACATGAGTCCTAAGGAACAGTCCCCAGTTCACTCAATCCGTAGCATCAAGTCGTACTCTTCCAGCATCAATGATCTCTTTTATCAGCATGTCGATCACGAATGAGTTGTGCTCTGCCAGACCACGTGGATGTAAGTCGTCGTAAATGCATTTCTTTTGAAACGATCATCGGAGGGACAGAACACAGAAGCAACGTGCAACGAACGGAGTAGTTGTATTTCATGAGAAGACTAGTTAGAGCCTCTTCAAAGTTCCACATCAAGCGATCGATCATCATACGCTACCAGAACACCATGTAAGAATGGAATGAAGTTGTTGTAAAGAAAAAGAAAAAGTCATATATTGCATCAATTTTGTCGCGTAAAGACGTAAATTCCTTGACAAAGAAGATTATAAAGAAAGAAAAAATAGAAAAGGTTCAAGAGCTGATCCTCCCAACATAAGACTCCGAGACTTTTACATAGAAATATACCCCCCCAAAATAGTGAAGAAAAATATGTTGCTTGAAATAGAGGGGAAAATGTCAACGAGCTCGCTCATCGCTTCCGCTAGAGTAAGGGGTTCGGTAATGGCCTCCGTCATCCACAACAGCATTTCGCATCGGTCGTGGATTCAAGCGCAGGTATTCATCATAAGTCATCCCGTTCGGATCTTTGCCTGTCTCTTCAAAGATCAGACTTGATCGACGATCACCATCTCTACGAGGTAATGTCCGAGGAATCGATTCGAGGGATGACTTTGAATCGCGACTTGGGGAATACCGGTATTCTTTGTCCCGACTGCGTCGACTGCTGCCGTTTCGATGACCAGGAGAAGGTGAATCGTAGTTATCAGCCGCGCTGGCACCACCGTCAAGTGATGAAGTGGAGTGGCGATAGCGGCTGGACGGGATAGGACTTCTGGATCTGTGGCTTGAGCCTGGAGGTATAGGAGAGGAGTCCTTAGAAGGGCGAACAGTGCTGTCTGAATTGACCCGAGGCACGAAAGCGGAGCGAGATAACGGTGGTGTCTTGTGGCTATCCTTGGAACCTCGACGATATTTGGTGTCTCGATCCCGGTAGTCATCCGGTCTGTACCGTCCTGCCTTGTCTTCCTTTGACGACGATTTGTAAACATCCTCAGATGAAGTCCGTCTGAGATCAGACTCATTCTCCTCGGTACGCTTGATCCATCCAGTGATGGCATCGACCACATCATCATAGGTCTCGCGATCACGAATCACCGGAAGAAGATGTCGAGAAAGCTGTTTCGGTAGCCTTTCAGGCTTGCCGTCTTCAAAAGCGCCATCGGTGATGATTGGAAGATCAGCCATGATGAGGTTCAAGCGCTTGGCTTCCTGCTCAGGGAACGCTTGGATCTGGCAAGTCATCCATCGCTCGAAACCAGCTGGTGTGAGAGATGGGATGTGAGGCATGCCGCCTGGTCGTCTTTGGACAAGGTGGTTCTCACATCGTAGGTGTTGATACATAGTTTCAAGGTTATCTAAAGCTCCGTGTGGTCGACAGTCAAAGATTTCTGGTACGGTTAGATGGGCTGTGTCTGCGAAGAGAGCTTATACATACGCTGGAATGGAAATGTTTCTGTGTCAAGCTTGTATTCATGGTAGAATACCTTGAGCTTTTCCGGTGTGACGACGAGTGAGTTGCGAGGACTATATTCGACAATCTATATAATGTCAGCTTAAGTAACAGAACTAAAATGCCGAGACATCCTACCAAATAGTTGGCAATTCCCCGGAGAACCTGTCCGAGCCTGGGAGTAGGGTCGCCTCTATCATCAAACAGCCGTCCCCATTTCAGGTCTACTGCGGATAGTGTTGGACCCTGTTTTGCTGGATCAGAAGGTATCGCTGATCGTGATGCTGGACGCGGCGGCACCGAATGCCGAGGTTCAGGCTCTTCATTCAAGATGATGGGAGACTTTGAGAATCGAACAGAAGGTCGTGCTTTTGAGGTGGTAGGTTGAGGCGGCAGTGGAACTGATTGCGGTCGTGTTGGATACTGCTGATACTGGTGCTGGTGGTTGGATGAGGTAGAGTCGGAGATATAGGATGTTGAAGGACTACCGGTGTTACCGAGGGAGCTGCGGCTGGATGAGATGGGATCATTGGGTTTGCTGTTGGAACTGGGTTTGTTGCTGGACTCGGATGAATAAGTCGCTTGCTCAGGTTTCTTTGTGTTCTCTCGAGCAGGTTCTTGATGAGCCGGTTGTTGAGAAGGAGTGGGCTTGACGGGATTTGTCTTGGGACTGGGTGGTTCTGAAGACGAGGGTGTACTGTTTGCTGGTGAATGATCTTCGACGACTGTAAACCTAGTCAATAAAATAATACTGATATAATCAAAGTCGTTGACTCACGCTCAGACTTGACTTTCTCAAAGATCTCATCAAACCATTTCGTCTTCATCTCATCAATCGTCAACTTCCTCACCAAATCTTCGACCTGTTCTTTAGACATGTCTGCGCTGAGCCGCTTCTTCATATGACTATCAGTCGAAGTAGTTGAGCCGGAAGTAATGGATTCATCATCTTTCGGGGCGGTCTTTCTCTGGGGTATTTGAATGCTGCCAGTCTCCGCCTTGTGCACCCTCCCAGTAGGCGTTCCTCCATTCATAGCCAACGAAGAGATCGGAGATGGCGATGGTCCAGCAAGCATAGTAACCTCACACGGCAGTAGCTCACTTTTTGTTGATGGGAGGAAGAACACAGCATGTAAGAGAGAGAAAAGAAGAATGAAAGTTGGTAACACACGAGAAGGAGAAGAAGGAATAGGTGAAAGATAGAGGGAATACAAACAAGAAGTAGATAAAAGGCAATAAGTGCAGCTTCATCAACAAGAGAGAAGAGATAAAAGAAGTGCAGTAATTGATAACAAGAATGAGGAGGTGAGCTGAGCTGAGTAAAGCAGAGTAGGATAAGTAAGTCTGGGCTGATGGAGGGACGAAATGTTGGGCTTATACATGCAGAAACATTAACACCAAATAAATTATCAGACTACTACAGAATAGAAACTTGATCATGACACAAAATGGACCATCTTTGACCGCAACAAGACAAGGATCGCCATCTGCAGAATGGAGTAAATGGGTTACGCAGCAGGGCCCTGAGGCCCGCTGGTACCGTAGAGAGAAAAGGTTACCACGAGTAAGGGTCTCACGGTGATGGTGACAAGATAGGAAGTGATCGTGGTGCTAGGTTGCGTTGCTTGGTCGGGCGAGCTGAAGGAAGCGAGGAAGCATTTCATGAGGGTACAAGTTGCAGCTTGATAGATCCCTGCATGTTGGCGTCAGGCTATCCCGATATGACATACATGGTTCTATCTCTGGCTGCAACTATAACGGTACTATGGTATTAACAAGAGGCGATTATCAACTATTTATGGTATACGAATGCAAGAATAAACTTGACATGAAACCCACAGCTTTTCATTAACAGAAAAGACTTATAGCTCGTAGAATTTCTATGATAGTTTGGAGTAAACATGTCACAACTAAAAAAAAACCCTGATTTCCCCCTCCATATGTCAGAATGCCCCTCTCATCAAGTCACTCACCCAACCCACCACACCAAAGGACCCTTTATCCCAAAGAACCACGCTCCCCCTCTTCATTGGGCCGTAATTGTTCACGAGGTTGATCGTCAATGCCAAACCGTCTTTTCCAATTGGAACACGCACTAAAACTTGCCCATATCCCGCAAAAACACTCATTGGATGACTTGATCCCACGAGGCGAGAGAGGCGAAACAATGAATGTGAAAATTTAAAAGAAATATGTATGTACGCCTAATAAACTGCAACATGAAACACAAGAGGAAAAAATAAAGATACAAAGAAACATGGTGAGTGGAACATGGAAACAGAAATGACATAGGGGATGCATATGATGCGAGTGAGATCCTCCCCCCAAGGCTCGGCAGATGTTCTGACCAACCAGATAGATTTGTAATCTGGAAATGTTGAATCATTGACGGACAAGTGTTTAACGTCTACTCAATAGAAGACAAGAGAGAGACCCACGATCTCCAATGTATCCAACGGTTCACATTGGAGCGTTTCAACGCGATTGCCGAGGATGCAGATAGAGTTGCGGTCTGGGAAGAGTCTTGCCATTTGCGAAACATTTTGACACGTTAACCGCGTTACGCAGCATAGGAACAGGTATAAACTAGTCAGGAACACATTATCCTATTCGTCATAACCTGGAGAAGTCTACTGTACCAGATCACGATCTAGAATTCGCCATTCGCCTCACAACATGATTGGCACTTGGACATGTTTATCATTCGATTCGATTCTAAACATCAAGCAACTATAGCAACGATAATCCCTTCACAGCGCCGATATGGCTTGTACTGCAGATGTCAATACATGATAAGCGTCCTATGGTGGTTAGAACGCCAACGCCTGCTCCCGTAAAACAAAAGTGCAGTTCCTGACAGCCACTGATTTACGCCTCCATTTCCGTTTAGTTTCCCAAAAACACTTACGCCTTGTACAACAGATCTAAGAATCCACTCGCCAGATCGACAACAACGCTCTTGTTGGGCAAAGAGCCAGCAACACCGTACAATGCTGAGGCGTCACCCATGGCCTTACCATGGGTACCCTTGCCCTCAACTAGACGAACACGCTCCTTCTCGCGCTCCTCCTCAACGACAGCCTCGAGGTCGGCGATGAGATTCTTCCAGACCTTGGTGATGGGCAGAGTGACGGCGACGTGGATAGCAGGAGGGCTCTGAAGAGCGTTGAGATGCCACCCCTTGGCACCCATACCGTCGGCAATATCGTAGACGTTGAGATTGCGAGCTGTGAATGCAACAACAGAGACAAGAGGCTTTCCCATGATCTCAAGCTCGCCACCCAATGCTGGGGTGGTCTGGATAGCCTCGGTGATCTTCTTGGCGGTTCCCACGATCTTGGTGCATGCATCGATGTAACCGGACTCACCCATGGTCATCAAACTAGCCCAGCAACCAGCGATGAGGGCACCAGGTCGAGAACCAGCCATACCGGGAGAAGCGTAGACACCACCGGACCAATCAGGGGAAACAAAGTACTGGAACTTTCGATGCTCGGCCGTTCGGTAGAGGACAGTCGAGTTACCTTTGGGCGCAAAACCGTACTTGTGAGTATCACAGCTGATACTGGTAACACCCTTCAGTCGGAAGTCAAACAGCAGAGTTTCAAAACCAGCACGCTCGAGGAAGGGGACCAGGAAGGATCCCAGACAGCAGTCAACGTGAAGCCAGAGGTTCTTGCGGAGGGCAAGCTTGGACAGAGCAGAGATGTCGTCGATGATACCGTGAGGGAAGTTGGGAGCAGAGCCGACTAGCATAATCGTGTTGGGGTTGATTAGACGGCGAACAGCGTTGACGTCAACCTGGTACTCGGGAGCTGGGCATGCGACGAGGTGGACCTTGATCTTGAAGTACTCAGCAGCCTTGCGGAAAGCAGTGTGACCAGTCTCGGGGAGAATCCTGTTATGTATGGTCAGTATTGGTGCTTAGCGACGATACTTGAAATTGACTTACATCTCGGGCTCTGTCACTCCACGCTCAGCATAAGCCTTTTGGCGAGCAGCCAGACAAGCCATCAAGATACTGTCAGTTCCTCCGCTAGTAGATGTACCAGCGGCTCCAGGAGGGGCGTGGAACATGCTCAGAACCATGGCCACAACTTCAGCCTCCATCTTGCGCACACCAGGGAAGACATCGGGATGAATGGGATTGGCAACGGTGAACTTTCCATACGCCTCAGTCTGCAGAGCCAACAGCTCATCCTCTCCGTGGTACACAGCACCAGAGACATAACCATCCTCCCAGCGCGTGTGGTCCATGTTGGCGAGGTTCTCGAGCTCGGAGCGCACGACATCATGAGAGAATCCCTCCTTTGGTAGCGTGAGGTAGCGAATCTGGTCTTTGGGAACTAGCTTATCGGATAGCTTAACCAAGGATTCGCTGACCTGCTGCTGGACCTTACCTCGCACGCCGGGGGCTCGAAGGAAGTAACCGTAGAGGATGCGGCGGATGTTGGTGTATAGCTCGACGACGGAGCCGATAATACCACGACCTCTGAGCTGCCAGAATGCGCGACGGGTCCATCGCCAAAAGAAAAGAAAGAGGAGGATGTTGCGCAATCTATAATAGAGATATGTGTGGTTAGTATTTGCGACGCCAATTGTTCAGTTGAGGTCTAGAGGCGCATCATGACGATGCATCGCAAGTGGCATCATGACTTACAGATCGAGGTTTAGCAAAGGCCAAGACACATTATGTCTACCGCGCGTGACAGACTCAATACCACCGCGCAAGTTGGCAGGAAGACGGGAGAGACTCCCAACATGAGGAGGAGAAGCCATTATTCTGTTTTAGTAATTGAAACAAGAGACACAAACAATAACAAAGGACTAATTGAACAACTTTTTGAAAAAGGGAGGAGGCTCCAGGTTTAAATAAAACCCGAGCAGAAGGAAGCTTGACGTCGTTAATATCGCGGGGCATAGCGACTACTTGATTATTTCTTAGCGCATTCCGTCTCCATCACATGCCTAGGCGGGGAGCACCGGCCTCCGCGGGGACCTTGTAACCCCTAAAGTTATAGTGCTCGAACCCTCCAACGCGTCCCCCTTCTCTCCACTGTAAACGGTTCGTGAGCCGAGGCGAGCGACCCTCTGTTGGGGATATCCTTGTCTCGACGCCGTAATTGTACATGACAAGATGCCTGCTTTGAAGCACTTTTTTGTATCTGGTGATGCGTGTTGTCTCGTTTGGAATATAATTTGTGTATCATTATATGTGATAAACTACCCTGTTCGGGCCAAAACACCCGCTGCAATGCAGCTCTATGCTGTGATAAGAGTTCCTTTGTCTGTACAACCCCATGTTCAGGATATCTTCGCAGCAAGTCTAGGCACACTGAGCCGGGTTAGCTAGATTTTAGTGGGAAGATCGGACGGGCGCGGAGGGGGTTTCATCAACAAGTGCCGGGTTACAAAGTATAATCGATCAGAATGACCATACAAGGATCCGAATATCTCTCGGGTTCTGGCGTAAGAGATCTAGGAGATCTTCAAGACAAACTCGCACTCGCATCCATAGTTACAAACGATTGGTCAATAAGATGTACAGAATGTGAGCTAACAACCTGCTTGCTGGAACTATTCAACTTCATCAAACATATTTGCCGAAGAGAGGCAAGCTTTGCGGCTGTATTATCCTTGTTCATCGTACAAGAGGTCCCAGCTCCTTTCCGGTGATCAACTGCGGCGGCAACTTCTAGAATTAGAATACGAAGCGCTAATAAGAGTCTCCGGCTAAGCTCGCCGAACAAAATCCCACTGCTTGGATCACAAATTTACGCTGGTGATTCTCTGAACATATCCTCATACAACCAAGTCGACAATACATAGTATAGATGCCCAGTTTCAACATATAGTTAAATGCAACCGATAAATGACCAACAAACGCCAAGAAAATAACCCATTGGCCTTTTCCCTTCTCCAATAAGCAAGCCCCCCTCCGAGTATATCACAAAACGCCCAATGACCTTTGCTCAAATGCCTATGTCATGTCATGATGCTCATTTCCTCTTCTACGCAACCTCATTACCAAACTTTTTTCTCAGCGACTGCTGGTAAACATGCGACATCTTATCGCACGATGCCTGACCTGTGACGGTACAGTCAACCATGAGTGTCACAAAGTCTCCGTCCCTGTAGGCATTGCCCTCCTTGTTACGGCCGTACGAGGCAATTGTGCGTTGAGGGACGAGGGTGAGTTTGGAGAGGATGGTTGGGTGCCACTGAACGATGTGTTCCTGCGGGGATATTAGCTCAGACTCGATGTCAGTGTACTCGGTTGAACTTACAAGAGCATGACGCTCAGCCTTTTCAAAGTTGTAGCTTCGGTAGAGAGGGTCCATCCAAGTTTCGATGAAGAACTTTGCCCAATCACCATTCTTAAGGACATAACTATTAGTGACTAGTCCAACTTCATCCTGGCTGAGGACGAGGTTCACGTCTTGGCCCTTGAGATGGGAAAACGTTTTGATGATGCTGTCCGGGGGCACGACAGACCAATCCCTGATCATGAGGCCCTCTAGTGTTGCCGGCTCCATCACTTGCTCTTCCAATGTCTTGTCTAGCTCCATGATGTAAGCGTTTTGGTCGAGGAACCACACATATGTGGCATCAGGGTATTTCGAGAGCGCATGGCGCATTGCCATGACCTTGGCCCAAGACTTGGGAGATTCGCCCGTGTTGTAGTCGCTAACTTTTACAACCATGGCTTCATATCCTAAGGCCAGATATTAGTCCCTATCTGCAAATCCAACGCCCATGATTTCCTTACCGTGTCTTTTGGCATACTGCTCGCGGTTGTTTCGAATCGATTCCAGATAAGAGGTACTGTACTCTGAATGATCGGAGACTGTAACCACAACCACTGGGGGGTTTCCTGATGGTGCGTGCTCGCGGTAAGGCGTGCCGGCCTTCGACCCGAGAAGAAGATAAAGCAGCCCGACAACGCCTAGAAAACAAAAAAGAACGGTTCTTTTGCGAAGTCGTCGTAGAATTGGTGGTATATTCCCTGAGCGTCGCCCGAAGGGGGGTGGGTTGGAGTTCTTTCGAGGAGGGTATGCGAACTGCATGATAGGCGAGTTGTAAATTAATTTCGATCGATTCGAGATATTTGCGAGTCGCGAGAAATGCTATGCTGCCCCGAATGGCCGAGAACAGCTAATGCGACAGTTGAAGTATTTCTTAATCGTGGAGACTTGGGAAGAGAATCAGAGTCTCGTATAAGCTCGATGACCGCCCGCTGTATATGTTGGGTTCAAAAGAGAGATCTTTGACTGTTGTAGAGGTAAGGAAACGAGCGAAGGTGAGCAATCAGATCCGTCCGCAATGGGTGTTAAGGAGCCATGGTTGGCGCAGTCAATTGATGATAGATTGGCTTTTTGTCCAGCCCCGACCGAATTCATGAGTGATGGCCCACATCAATTGTCTGCTACCCGTTTTCAGATGCAGGGGTTAGGACCCCAAATTCCAACGTCATCTCGGTGTCGGGGGGATAAATATCCGACTTAAATGCCATGACAAAATAGAGAATACGATATCAGTTCGTGTTGACCGACGTTGGGAATAATAGGCTGGTTTCTCACCACGCCTGCGATTTAACACGAGAGAAAACATACATATTACACGGCGGTAAGAATGTGGATTGCACGTCGTTCCCATTATTCAGGCGAATGATTATTTAGGAACTGTATATGGGAATGGAGATAGGGTCATCATTCGACCGTCAATTAATATTTAAAGGATAGGTAGGTATGTATCAACCAACATTCGACAATCTGCTCACTGCTAATGTACGAGGGTAGTGTACCCAGCAGATGCCTCACACCGTTATGAACGCCCAAGGGCATCACGATGCGTGAATGAAGGCTGACAATCTCATGCTGGCCAGCGAGAGAAGAACCAAAACGATCCCTCTCTCAAGGCACAACCGAGCGTAAATCTTTGCACACAGACTAGTCGACTTGACACGGAAGAGCAAGGTCTAGGCAACTTAAGAGTGTGCAAATACATACACGATGCAAAGCATTTGGGTCATGAACAAAACAAAAGGCCCTTTCCGGGATAAAAGCCCGGAGAGCTTCATTGGTCTTTCTTACTCTCATCTTCGTCATCATCATCGTCTTCCCCGATATCGACAACCCTGTCGCTCACATTCTTGAGGATACGAGCGCTCAGCTTCTGAACAAATTTCCAAATGCCCATGAGAAATGTGAATGCGCCGATAAGAACAAAGATCAGGCTGATGTTCTCGACACGGTTTCGACCAGTGCCTCCTCTCCTACCACCACCTGCCACCCCGCTGTTTCGCAGCTGCCACCAATGAAACGGGTTCACGGTAAACATTGTCTTGAATAGCCCAACAATTCCAAGAGAGAAGAATCCCTTGGTGAAGTGCTCGATCCACGAGGTGGGCTCTGGTGGTGGAGGTCGCCTCAGAGCTTCGATATCTGTTACCACGCTTGTGACAGTCTCACCGAGGGTTCCAATTGGGTCGGACCATAGATCGAAAAGAGGATCCGCAATGAAGCCAAGCAAGAAGATGCTCAGTATACAACAGCACAGGGTCAAGCCGACCTGTGCCCACTTGCTGCTTAAAACAGAGCCCCAGTGTAGTCGGGAAATGCGATAAGTGAACTTGCAGGTTGGACACTGCCAATAGTTCCGGGCTTCCATAGGGTTTGCAAGTCTCCATGCATTGAGGCACCCTTCGTGGACATATTTTTGTGATCCCTTACACTTGCATGGTGATAACAACCTTCCCAATTCCGGGTCGTCAGAGACGTATGTAGGTCGAGATGATCCTGTCTGAATGCCAAAAGTGGTCGACTGATCAGGAAACCTGGGCTCTTCAGCATCGAAGCAGATGCGACAAGTGCGCGTGCCATAGCGCTTGTTCCCAGGCGCAGGGCCTGGTGCCTGTTGAGATGACGTTGACGTCTCCTCTCGCGATGTGGTATCTGCTTGAGGAGTCCAAGCATATTGCGATGATCGACGAGGCTCTGGTTCGGGTTCATGAGGAGTAGAGTTGTCTCCTACCGAGGACCAATCCCAAGTAGGACGCGGATCCATGATGGTTTACGTAGACCTGTGGATGTGAAAGAAATAGAGGTAGTGACAGCAGAACAAAACAAAAAATGCGGAATGTGCGAATACGTAGTTGGCCGTTTGAGGCGTGCCAGGCGCAACCTACATGTTTTTGCAAAGCTGAAAGTTAAATGAGACTGACAGGAGAGCGGGGAAGCAAACGCTCGCCAAGATCATGACAAGGACATGTAACATGCAAGAGGCCAGGTCAGCCTCTTTTTGTAGGAGAAGATTGAAGAAGAAAGCCGAACCAGCCGTTCACCAAACTGTTAGAAGAGCTCTGCTCTTGTGTGGAGCCGCCGTTCGGACTTCGGATAATCTGTTGCCCCGCATATAGCAGCTCTGGGCGGTTGAGCTAGACGCGCAGCTGGGCCTGCCTAGAGGCTACAGCTGCTTTGGCCAAACACCAAAGCTCCAGTTGTAGCCTTGCTCGATATCTCCTTGTCAACCCCACGAATTGATAAACGACCATAGTTCAACCATCACCACATTCAAACCGAGTTTATCAACACACAATATTGAACTATGGCGGATCGTTACTCCTTCTCCCTCACAACCTTCTCCCCCAGGTATGTTTCGGTGACGACACTGCTATCTTGCTATGGGAACATCATGGCTGACAATGTTATAGCGGAAAGCTGGTGCAGATTGGTACGTAATTACTTTGTGCATAGCTTGGGAGCTTTTGCAATCGAAGCTTCTTACAATCAACTCGAACCAGAACTAACATGACGAAATAGAGTATGCACTCAACGCAGTAAACCAGGGTATTACTGCCCTTGGCATCAAAGGTTCGCGCCGCCTCCAAGGTCCTGACGAGCTCCTACTGACCAGAAAAAGCTACCAACGGTATCGTCATTGCCACCGAAAAGAAGTCATCCTCTCCTCTCGCCGACCAGAGCTCCCTCTCAAAGATCAGCGACATCACCCCCAACATCGGCATGGTATACTCCGGCATGGGCCCCGACTACCGAGTATTGGTGGACCGAGCACGCAAGGTTTCGCATACTGAGTACAAGCGCATCTACAACGAGTATCCCCCTACCAGAATATTGGTGCAGGACGTCGCCCGAGTTATGCAGGAGGCCACCCAATCAGCCGGTGTACGACCTTACGGAGTCAGTCTTTTGATTGCTGGTTGGGACGAGGGCATTGAGCCTGAGGATGAGGAGAAGACCTCCCTGGAGGATAGCGAGGAGAAGAAGGTCAACAGAAAGACCGGAGGCATTCACAAGGGAGGCCCCATGCTGTACCAGGTCGACCCCTCTGGTAGTTACTACCCATGGAAGGCCACAGCCATTGGCAAGAGTGCAACCAAGGCCAAGACTTTCTTGGAGAAGCGATACTCGGAAGAGCTTGAGCTTGAGGATGCCATCCACATTGCCCTGTTGACCTTGAAGGACAATATTGAGGGTGAGATGAACGGTGACAGCATCGAGATCGGTAAGCTTCAACACTCTAATAGGCGGGATTATGCTAACATGTTGCAGGTATTGTTGGTGCCCCCGCAGATCACCTTCTGGGTCTCGAGGGCGTCGAGGGGGCTACCGGACCCCGTTTCAGAAAGCTGACCCCTCAAGAGATTGAGGATTACCTGACGAGTCTATGATTACCCTTATGCAGATGAACACAACGAGAAGCCTTGTACAATAGAGGGTCACTAGGCTCAATGGAGCTGGTTCTGATAGAAGGGCAGCTCATTCTGAGCTTCGACATTATTATGATTGCATCTTTGCTGTGACTATAAAAGATGCCCTTGGACCAGCCTCAACAGCCACCGCCTCCTCTTCTGGAGGAAGTATAAAATCTATTTTTGACCACAATGCAATACTTGTTACGGATTTGCCAAGACCAATCTGACCATCAGTGTTATTTCCTGTAACATAAATGCAACCATCAGTAGTAAGGGCGATCGCATGTGACTCTCCAATTGCAAAGTCTTGTACATCTTTATCTCCATCGACTTCCACGTAGCTTGGTATAGAACCAAGATCAGTGAATGCGGCGTGTCGACTTTGTGAACCGGGTGGTTTCATACCCCAGAGGTACATTCCGCCGCTTTCTGTTAGTGCTCCGATGGCGTATCCTCTTGCAGACACCTTCTTGATGGATTCACCAAGGTCATTGAGATCTTCTACGGCATTGGGTACGTTGGCAGGACTAAAGACTTGTTAGTATTGCACCGGTATATGATTTTAAAACACATACCGTGACTCGTCAACCTCGCGGCCAAGGCAGTCTCGAAATCGAGGATCACCACAGCTCAGAACAATCCCATTCTCAAGAAGAACCACGAAACCGGTATCATAAGCTTCTATTTGGCGGACCGGAGATTCACAAGGCCAGGTTTCAGTGCACTTGTCGGCCTTCCATGCAGATAAAGACGCATACTGAACAATGGTTGAGCCATGAACAGACAAGATTTTTCCATCTCCTGATTCGGCATTTGGTGTGTCGAACAGGCAAGTTTTGGCTTCACGATAGAGAAGCTTGTTGGGGTATGACCCGGCAAACGCCCATGTCTTATTTCGTTGCACTATCAAATGTTAGAGTGGTGATCAATGATGTAGATATAGTATTTACCTGCGGTATAATGTATCTTTGGAACAATATGTTCAATCGTCTTGTCTGTTAGAACTTTTGTGAAAGTGAACAAATCGTCAGACTCTTGGTCACTCGGTGAGGATTCAAAATCAAGCTGGTTCCATGCGTTGAAGCCCGTTGCGTATAAACTCATGGCTTTGTCCGAGGAGGACGAAATTATCGGCAATTGCATGATTAAAGAGTAATAGTTGTGCCCTAACAGTTGTAAGGTTTCAGAGTATGGTAAGCAGGTGGAAAGTGAAAAGTGCTGAGCTTCAAAATATTGACTGGTGTATGCATACGCTACACTAATCCAACCACATCAAATAGCTTGGCAGCGTATATTATTTTAATTTAGTGAATTTGAACTTCATAGTTGAGATCGGATCAAATGATACATATTAATCGTTTATTTTTCTTTGTTTGTGCTATTCAAGTTGGACTCGTTGGTAGTCCTACGTCGAGTATGAGACATCGCTAGCAAACAAAGAGAGCCACATTCAGGGCATCCAATCAAGAGAAATCTCATCCAGAACAATAGAATACCCAGCTTGGAAAAACAACAGCCAGACAAAGTTAAGACGATTTCAGTAGTAAATAACATCAATCGGCTATTAAGTTGGACCCAAATTAGAGTTGACCTATTGTATGTTTCTTTTCAACCTCTTCGCCTCTAAACTCCAACTGAAATATTGGGCAATTCCGCTCTACACAGCAATCCACGCATATCTCGTTGGCCGTGAATCACTGCCGCCTCGGACCTGTTGGCTGGCCTCCTATAATAGACCTCTTCCTGCGCCTCCTACACAGATCATAAGCCTCCCTCCCATTTCCATTTTTATTGCAGAGTGCCTTCTGTAACGGTATTAAGTCCCGGTCGACCTCCTGCACTCACAACTAAGTATCAGTCACAGGCACGACTACGCCTTCCCTACAAAGAACTCTACCTCTTTATATCACTCGCTCGGGACCTGGCTCTCGCAACATCACTCCTACACATTCTCTTTTTGTTATCCGCCGAACCATCATATTTTAGCATCTTTCTGTATGCTTTTGAGAACCCATCGTTACATAAGACGTCTTACTTCTCACAGTTTTGATCATCTACTTTTTATCAGAATAAACTCATCTTGGGGGCCTGCCTTTCACAAACTGAGATTAGCCCACAGGGGTCTTCAACAGATCAGAATGTCTTCCACAGATAAGGTCATGGTGGACGCATATTCTATCCCAGACTCCGAGATCAAAACACTAGGATCCTCAGTTGTTGAGATATCTGTTGCCGACGGGAGGGAGACAATAACCAATGTTCCTGACGCGGAAACACTCATATCTATTGACTCCGATGATAAGTTCATTGAGGAAGAGCAAGACGATGAGGTCGAGGATCAGCAGGTGACACCCAGCTCAGAGGTGGTAAATCCCCGCGGTTACCAGCGAGAGATGTTGGAACGGAGCCTCGAAAGGAATATCATCGTTGCAGTAAGTTATTCCGAGTATCATCCATTTGAAATCATTCGCTGACTTGATAAGATGGACACAGGAAGCGGTAAAACTCAAGTGTATGTTGTTTTCATGTCATCAAAACAAGAGGGAGACTGACTGATTGTGACTCGCAGGGCCGTGATGCGCATCCAACACGAACTTGACACATGTGCACCAGACAAGGTCGGTGAACAAAGAAACATCCCTTTACAGACAAAACTAACAAAGGGAGATCGTCTGGTTCTTAGGCAAGACAGTATCGCTATGCGAACAGCAGTACGACGTTCTTCAAATACAAATGCCGTCGGTGTCAATGAGACTGCTGACTGGGCAGTTAAACATTGACACATGGTCTGAGGATGTCTGGCCCCGTATCCTCCACGGGACTCGCGTTGTTGTCTCAACCTTTGACGTCCTGCGAGATGCACTGGACCATGCATTTGTCAGGATAGACATGCTGTCTCTTATCGTGTTCGATGAAGGTGGGATAACGCCGACACTGGTAGTACTATTACTGACTTGCTTGCAGTTCACAATTGCGTGAAGAATAGCGGTGGTCGAAAGATCATGGTGAATCACTATCACAGACACAAGAGTGCTGGCATGCCCGTGCCTGTTATTCTGGGTTTAACAGCTAGCCCGGTGCAGTCGAGGTCGAGGCACGATGAGATCCGCGAGCTCGAAATCACCATGGATGCGATATGTATCACTCCAACGGTTAATCGGGAAGAGCTACTCCGTCACGTCAATAAGCCCGATCTTTCCCGGGTACTGTACGATGTAGAAGAACATCCAGCTCGAACCCCCTTAATGCAGACTCTACGGTCTGAATACTTGGCGATGGACATCACAAAAGATCCAAGTATCACAAAAATCCGAGAGCTCATCGCTAAGAACGCGAGCACCGGACCTGAAGTACTATCTTTGTTGATGAAACACGGGACCTTCTCTCAGAAGCAGCTGAAGGCGTTTTGGAACAAAAGCAAGGACATTCTTAGTGAACTTGGACCTTGGGCCGCCGACAAGTACATCTCTGACTTGGTCAATATATTCCTACAGAGGGTCGACTCGTCATCGAAACTCAACGATGCCTGGAACAACGAGGACAGAACCTATCTCGCAGGGCATATGAGACAGATCGCTGCTAGTCCCCATCAACCCAAACTACCGGCCACACACAACTTGTCTGACAAGACGAACAAACTAATTCATGAACTCCTTACAGCTGATGAGGACACGGTCGGTATCATATTCGTCAGATCGAGGGTTGCCGCCAACGTCCTTGGCTCTCTGTTAAAAGAGCACCCTGAGATTCGAAAGCGGTATCGTGCCAGTTCAGTAGTGGGATTTTCATCTACAAAAGTTCATAAGCAGAACATCCATGAATATATGCCTAGTTCAAGTACCGAGACATTGCGCGACTTCAAATCAGGTGTCATCAATCTTCTGGTTTCGACGAGTGTCCTTGAAGAGGGCATCGACGTTGCGGCGTGCAACCTCGTCGTCTGTTTCGACGAGACAACCACCCTCAAATCCCACATCCAACGCCGCGGACGGGCTCGCAGAAAGAATTCAAAGATGATTGTACTTACTAAATCTACATCTGACGTTCAGGAATGGGATTCTCTAGAGGCTGAGATGAAGAGTCAGTATGAGCAGGAAAGAGAAGAGTTGGACAGACTAGAGATAGAGGCTCGCACTGAAGCGACGAGCTCGATGTCCTTGGTTATTCCAAATACAGGAGCCAGACTGGATCTCGAGAACGCTCGCCAACACCTCGAACATTTCTGCAGCAAGGTGTTCCGACGGGACTACGTGGATCAAAGACCTGTGTACGTTTACCAAAAGACAGAACAGGGAACAGCACCTCCGGGTTTTAGCGCCACGGTTACTCTTCCGGCTGCTCTGCCTCGGCACCTCCGCAAGACCCAGGGCAGAGGCGGATGGAGATCTGAAAAGAATGCACAGAAAGAGGCAGCTTTCGTTGCATTCGTCGGGCTGTACCAAGAAGGACTGATTGGTGATCACCTCCTTCCCCTTAACGCGGACTCGAAAGGAGCAGAAGAAGAGGTGCAGCTCACTCGACCCGAACTTCTATTCAACCCATGGCGAGACGTTGCACAAAAATGGCAGACAGCCAATGATAAATGGCTCTATTCTTATGAGTTCTTCGACCACGAGTACGTTACTCCTCTTCGTTTCAATATTGCCCTGCCTGTGGAGCTTCCTCAACCTCGTGACATCACCGTCTATCCCCAAGAAGGACTTACGTGGCATGTCAAATGCACCTCAATCAAGAGAATCTCCCATGCAGAATGCTTGGACTTGCCGGATCATACATCTATCCTATTAGCGATGCATTTTGGCCACCGCTGGAACGTGGAAGACAGGGATCATGTGATCAAACTCATCTATGAGAATAGGGACCTTTCTCTGGATCGTATCGGATCCATACCCTTCAATGAAAGCATTGATGCTGTATTGGAAAAAAGAGTTCTAGTTCGGGACGCTAGAAAGACCCCCTACCACTACGTCCGAACGATCCCCTCAAAACCGCTCAAAGAGCAAGTCAAGCATCCATTTTCAGAATACGAAGATGCTCCAGAAGAACAATATCTCGTTGTAGAGCAATGGACGCGCAGATCGGACCTATTGCATGATTTTTTTCACGGCCAGACTCGGAGCGCCAGTACCAAACCGTACCGCTGGGTTATCCCCATTTCCCAAGCGACCGTCGATGAGGTTCCTCGCCGTGCCGCTAAGTGCGGCATGCTTATTCCTTGCATCATTCATGAATTGGAGGTTCAGCTCATCACGTCGGAACTGTCCTCGACAATATTGGCGCCAGTGGGTATAACAGACTTGCAGTTGGTGATCGAAGCCATCAGCTCACGTAGCGCTGCGGAGCCTGTTGAATATGAACGTCTTGAGTTCTTGGGTGATTCAATTTTGAAGTTTTGCACGGTTACTCAGGCGTACTCTGAACGTAAGTCTCTCAAATCCTTCCACCGTTGCCTATACTGATCAGTGTTAAAGACCCCTTTTGGCCGGAAGGCCTCCTCAACCATTTCAAAGATCAGCTAGTCTCCAATAACCGATTGACTCGTATGTGCCTCGAGACAGGCCTATCGAAATTTATTATAACCAACCCGTACACTGGTCTCAAATGGCGACCGCTGTATCAGGACGACTTTCTAGATGTGAAGCCAGCCGAGGGCGCATCAAGGTTTATTGGCCCAAAGGTTCTTGCTGATGTGGTCGAAGCACTTGTTGGAGCCTCTTACCAGGATGGAGGTATGAACAAAGCTCTGGAGTGTATCAAAGTCTTCTTAGGCTCCAAGTGCAACTGGTATAATGACGGAGTCGCCAGGGACATACTATTCCGAGAAGCACTTAGCGACGTACAATTACCCCCCACGATGGAGCCTTTGGAAGAGCTAATTGGGTACACATTTGAGAAGAAGTCTCTACTCATTGAGGCAATGACCCACGGATCTTATGCGGCTGATACGCAGCAGCGATCTTATGAACAACTCGAGTTTCTTGGAGATGCGGTTCTCGACTGTATCGTCGTAACCCGGATGTACCAGTTCGATCCACCAGTGCCCCATGGACGCCTACACATGATCAAGACCGCCATGGTTAATGCTGAGTTCCTCGCGTTTACAAACATGCAATACGGATTGCTTCGACCCGATATCGAATTCGAGGACGGCGAGCCAGTATCCACAGAAGTATCTCTTCCCATTTGGAAATTCATGCGCCACAACTCTCAAGAGATGGGTAGAATTATGAAAGAAACCCAAGCAAGATTTGAGAGTCTTCAAGATGAAATCAATGCGGCTAGAATGAATGGTACACATTATCCATGGACACTTCTCGCACGTCTCCATCCCAAGAAATTCTACTCCGATCTTATAGAAGCTGTTCTGGGTGCCATTTGGGTTGATTCGGGAAACATGGAAACATGCACAGCCTTCCTTCACAAATTCGGCATCTTGCCCTACCTCGACCGGATTCTCAATGACAATATCCACGTACAACACCCCAAAGAAGAGCTCACCAAACTATCGGTCAACGAGAAAATGTTCTATGACTGTACTCTGGTTGACGGACCTATCAAGGAGTACCTCTGCACAGTCAAGGTTGGAGATCGTATCGTGGGAGTCGTGTCAGGGGCACTCAATAAGATTGAGGCCACGGCCAAGGCTGCCGAAGAGGCCGTAAACCTTTTGAAAGCGGAGCAGAGACGGGCAGAACAAGCGGCGCAGGATGAAGTGGAGCGGTTTCTTGTTGCAATGGACCTTTCTTAGGTAGACACGAGACAGAGGGAGGGCCGTAGAAGGCTTATAGAAACAGGCCATTGCTTGTAACATCACTGAGCTATATAGAATTGAATTTGGTATCTTGATGTTCTTTTGTTCTATCTAGACTTGCTTTCCAAGTTCTTCCAAGATAGTGTTCACTGTCCACTCAAATGTCATTTCAATATCTCCATCAGCACCCCCATCACTCTGCACTTTGATCCCTTCCCTATCCAGAACATCCTTCTTGAACTCCTCCTCTACATTACCATTCTCAAACATCCAAGCATGTTCCTCTACATAATTGGGCCAAACGATCTTATCCACGTAACCCGGAGGATCCGCCCAAAATCCTTCAAGAGTGACATATCCATCTCTAGCCTCTCTTCTCGCTTTGGCTTTTGCATACGTCGTTCTCAAAAAGAGTTTGATGTCTAAATTAGGCTTTACAGCGGCCATGGAGGGTGAAAAAAGAAGAAATCCGTCCAGGAGACACAGACGAAGGTTATTGCGGAGCGGGTGGTCTGGTCCTAGAGCAGCGTCTACTTTGGCGCGCTGGGCTTCAATTATAGCATCTGGGACAGGACACTTTCCCACAGAGTTCTTATCCTCCTTAGAATCAAGACTAGGCTATCGAGTGTAAGTCAATGAGGTTAAACGTTATGGTATGGGACTTACAGGAAAGGCAGCGTGTTGGCGGATATAAGCGAGGGATTCAGCCATGGCAGGGATATCGAGAGACTCGGCACAATCCCAGTCTAAAAGACCATTCTTTGTAGGCAATCTAAACTGCTATTAGCCAAGATTCATAGGTATAGTTTGTAGGGTAACATACTCATTCTCGGGTCTATAAAAGTCATCTTCATGCAGGATAAAAGTGTTGGGGAAAATGTCCCGCAGTAGTCTCGCAAGAGTGGTTTTCCCGCTTGAAGAACATCCTGAGATGCCTACTATGAGAGCGTTGTTTTCGCTCATTATAATGTCAAGTCATTCAGAAACGAGTATTGCGTAATAAGATGCGAGTTGTGTTTAAGAGTTGCTTTTGATGTGGTTCAGATGTGGTTGGTTGGACAAACTTTATGTTACTATAGGACTACTGGAAAAGTGGGCTGAAGGGTAAGCTCTCGGTTCTCAGTCATGGGTTTGATGTCCTTACCAGACTTTGTTTACGAATCAACTCTTACAAATTGCGGTTCTTAGTGTACCATTATGCGAAGCGTATCAGCACCCTATTCATCAGCTGGTCTTGTCCGCGGTTGTATAGGGCTGGATCAATGAACCAACAATCAGTACGGACGTGAATGTTCAGCCAACAACCAAGCATATTTGGTGAGATAAGGTCAATGTCACCACGCAGAGAATATGGACATGTTGTGTAGTCAACTATATATGATTCAACACTCTTCTTCTTCTTCTTCTACATTTTCTGCAACTTCTCTTTATGACATGCCATGTCTTTTCCCAGGCTTATCAGAGCTGAGTGACAGTCTAAAGAAGGCTACAGGGTAAACTAGCTTCGGCGGAGCTTTCCTTCTCATTAATTCCCATGTAGCATGCAGGGGAGGGCTTGATAGTGGCGTCCGTCAGCCGCTATGGATAGACTTGCAGGGGGTTTCTATGGTTGCACAAACCTCTAAGATCTTGGCTTGTAGTACTTGGATATTGTTGTGTTTGGCTTTTTGGTAACATGTTCTGAACACAAGCTATGCTATGTCTCGAGTGTCCAAAAGATCATGTTTACTATGGTCCTACGCATGTGCTTTTGAGATAAGAGTCTCAGCACTATTTCAACTAATTACCCGTCCAATCCTTTCCATGTTGAGTCTAGTCAAAGAATGGAACAAGACGAACCACAGACTACAACTGTGACATTGGGTCAAACGACTTGCTAGCAAGAGATGAAAGCCACTCCTCATTTTGGATAAAAATGTCTCTACGTGCGACAACACTTTGCTACTATTGGTACATTCGCATGGAAGAGGTTGCTAGAGTTGACTTGTGCGAATCAGACTTAGACTTAGACTTAACTTGGAGCCCGAGTCAAGGGATGCGAAGCAAGGGAGGATTATATGTATGTACTACATGCTGTACCCGTGTAAGTCGAGCCAACAACGAAATATTCCAGTTGGCTACACGACCATTTCTTTTTCTGCCTCGGCGCTATCTATCTTGGCTTCACATGTGTTCTCGCCATTCTCGACGATGATTTGAGCTGAAAGACTTGCTTCTGAGGACGCCAAGATATCAAGATGATGGTTATGTGAAACAGATTTGACTCATATAACAAGATTCCAACAAACAAATTGACCATCCTTACCCAGCAATTCCCGATCGATACATACCAGACGCCTCTCCCGTACACATCTCCCTTGGAAACAGCCCTTCTTTCCGCCGCCACCCCTATTTAAAACATCATGGGACAATATTCGAAGTCTTTGCAACCAACAACAATGTTGAAGCCTTCAGTCTCCTTCACGGAGAAAGCGCAGCCCCTCAGGAGGAGGGTTGCGGAAAAGGTCGAGTGGGTGAAGGCTCATGCACCAGAGGTTGTAAAGTCGCGAGCTTTTCGAAAGACAACGACCATCCTTGCTGCTTTTACTTTGGTCGTCTCGCTCATTGTTCTTACGGGAAAGTACACCAACGCTGGGTGGTTCATACCAAAGGTTATCCAAAAGATTGGACGGTATCCGACGTGTGAGAGCAAGGGGATCAATGGAACAAGAGAGATTTGGGATGTGTCGAGGCACAAGTACGAAAACCTTCGAGATGATAAGTTTACGTACGTTCCCTCCATCTCCTCGACTGCGAAAATGCTAACGTTGAATCTGTTACAGCATCGCCATGCAAACTTACCAACGACCAAAGGAACTTGAAGAGACTCTCAGCATCATCCTAAGCGAGGATGTACCTTCACTTCTCGAGGTAGTCATCGTCTGGAACGACGTCGAAAACTACCCACCACCAGACTTTGTTTCCAAGTACGGTGTCCCAGTTCGATACCGAAAGTCGAAGCGCAACAGCCTCAACGAGAAGCTCTGGCCCGATCCTGAGTACAAGACACAGGCGATTCTGCTCTCAGACGATGATGTCTACTACCGTCCCAACGATCTCGAATTTGTCTTCCAGACATGGCGAAAGTTCGGCAGGAATCGAATGGTTGGCGCTCTCGCTCGGTGTTCACCTGTGGACACGTTCGGATACCATCGTTACACCTTTTGCTCTAGCAAGAAGGGCCAGGACGACTATAACATGGTTTTGACAAACCTTGCATTTTCGCATATCTCGTTCCTCGACTATTATTCGTCCAACGATACCATCATGACGCAGATCAGGGAATATGTTGATGAGGGCTTCAACTGCGAGGACCTTGCGCTGAACTATGTCCACGGACTGCTCACCGGCGAAGGGCCTCTTCTCATCAATGGACATGAAAAGTATTACAATTTTGTCCCCAAAGTCGGGATTAGCATGAAGAAGGGTCATATGGAGGCGCGAAGTGCTTGTCTCAATCACTTTTCCAAGTTGTTTGGCTGTCACCCCTTGGTTGACGAGACAGGATACATCCAGCGTGGTGTCCTAGTGATGTGAGATCTCAACAGGACTAGAGAAGATATAATAACTTGTTTACATCACAGTAATACCATTACCATGTGTAAGAGGAGTGTGTATAGCAGTTTTCCCACTGGAAGTTGGAACTTCGAACGGCTGCGCCGGGAATACTTTATGCCATTGGTAATGTCGTTATCGGTTTAATGAGAGTTATTGATGAAGTGATTCAAGGATAAAAGCAAGTAATTTCATATTCTTCGAAACATCATGATACAAACTGAAACGTTCTTGAGATTTTCCTCGACATAGTCATTGTCATAGCTGCCCCACGTGATGTAACCAACCTAGCTCCATCACAAACCACCAAACAGTATCACAAGCTAAACCAGCCTTTCAACCCAATTCTATTCGCTACCCTCTTTGTCAATCACCATGAATCAAGGCGAGCAAACAGGAGTAATCATCTCCACGGCCGTCGTGGCCGTCCTCACAGGCTACGCTTTCGGTATCTATACCATCCGTGGCTATCTCATTTCGCCTTCCCTAGTCGAAGAGCGTCGGCGCGCCCTGCACGATCCTGTCGAGAGCGACGAAAGCGATGTTGACGAAGACGATACTGTGCTCGACCATGCACCCAACTGGGCCAACGGCCCCGACGCCGATCGCAAGCAGGGCTTGAAGGCTGCCGATGAGGAGAAGAAGGAGCCTGTTGTTAAGGATAACGGCGAGGAGTGCAAGCTTGTTCTTGTCGTGCGAACAGATCTCGGCATGACAAAGGGTATGTTGGATATATCCCATAAATTCGACGAAAAACGCTAACTGTCAACTTTCATAGGCAAAATCGCTGCTCAATGCTCCCATGCTACCCTCGCATGCTACAAGTCTCTCGTCCGCGCTCCCGCCAACTCTCCCCAAGCCCAGATCCTCAAGCGATGGGAGCGTCTCGGCCAGGCCAAGATCGCTGTGCAAGTCAAGAGCCAGGACGAAATCCTCGAGCTCCGACGCAAGGCACGATCTCTGGGTCTCACTGCTGAAGTGATCCAGGACGCTGGCCGAACACAGATCGAGGCGGGTAGCATGACGGTGCTGGGCGTTGGACCTGCTCCTCGCAGCCTTGTCGACCAGGTCACTGGTGGACTGAAGCTGCTCTAAATAACGGAACGAATAGAGACGTCAGATTTGAGGGTGTACACATACGAAGATATGCACTGGATTACGAATTGGGACCGGATTCTTAAAAGTACTACAATTATAGACATTCAAGCGAATATTTGATAGATTAAAAAAAAGACAGCACTTTTTCACTTGTGAGAATCGTGTTTTCTGTGATAAAGGGTATTATTCGCATTCGCATTTGTACATGAAAGTCTATTACTCCTTTTTGGCAAACCTTGACAACGCCGGTCCCAGATCGGCCTCGGCCTCGAGCTCCTTCTTGTTCTTCTTGACCTGCTGCTCGTTCCAAATCTCGTCCACGTGCATTCTCTTCTCGTCGATAATGTTCTTCTTTCGCTGCTTGCGCAGGTACTTCTTGAGCGCACCATTCTTGCCTCTTGCTCGCTTGCGGATCTCCTCGGCGATGTCTGCAGCAGGAGCGTCAAGGTCCTTTTCGGCACGACGCTGCTTCTCGGATCGCAAGTCCAGGGTTCCGATGTAGTTGGGGTCGAGGGCAATCATATCGGGCTGCAGCTTGTTGAGCAGACCCTTGACTTCGGACTCTTGTCGTTGCTTGGCAGTCTCGAATGGGTTGACTTCCAGAGCGTCGTAGTTGGCCTCACCAGCACCAGGAACAATGATGGAGGAGAAGCCAGAGTCGTGACCGATACCGAGAACATCTTCAAAGGGACACCATCGTACGCGCTCAATGCGCTTACCCTCACCACCCCACGCCATGTAAGGGCTCTGAACCTTTTCTTGGACAGGGGCGTTCTTATCGAAGAGACCCTTCCAGATGGTTGTTTGAGTACCCCAACCAATAGCTGTCAAGCCTGTATCGGAGATTGCCACTGACGAAGCTGGTTGGCGTGTGAAGTAACTGTTGACTTCGCGCAACATTCTGAGATCCCAAACTGCCATCTTCTGATCTTGGCCCGTCGAGACCATGTATCGACCTTCACGATCGACGGCCAGATCTCGAACGGGTCCTCGGTGTGCTAACAGCTTGACGAGAGGGTCTGATGAATTAGGTGACCATAGTGTAACCGCTCCGTTCTGGTGGCCGACGTGTAAAACGGCGTTCCAGGGGTTTTGTTTGAGGGCGCAAGGTTGGCCTAATCGGGTAGGAATCTCGGCGACTAATTGACCAGTTGACGTATCCTGATATTTGAGGAAACCTGAAGAGCCCTGATATTCGTTAGTAACAGAAAATTTGTGCGAAAATGTAGGTACTTACAACTGTTGCTAAGAGGTAGTGGTACGGCAGAAACTCCATGTGAGACACCTCCTGGTGTTTTTTCAGGGTGTGCAGTTCCACGCCATTGTGATCGTAGATGTAGACGTACTTCTTCTGCGCGACAGCAAAGTACTGGTTGTTGTGTAGCCATTTCACGTCCCGGATCGTCTCGTTCAACTGCAGCTCACAGCCAAGCTTGCCTTCTCGCCAATCCATTGTCGCAACATGTCCCTTTCGACCACCGAGCAACAGGTCCCGCCCATTCCTCGAGTAATCAAACTGGTAGGGTCCTAGTTGATCCAGCGTAAGTTCGAATCGCTTCTGCGCAGTGCCCACCGCTACACCAGAGGTAATATCGTCTTGTCGGACCTTGTATGTTCGTTCCAGCTCGTCCTCGGCCTCGAGAAAACCCGACGTGTGCTCGAGCAAAATCTCTGCATCCTTGGCCTTGAGTGTAGCATCCTCGTACTTGCTCTCGAGATGCTTCAAGTTTCTGCGAAGCTTCTTGTCCTTGATCGCCTTGAGGTTGACCTTCTTGCCTCGACCGTAGGCCTTGTGGGCTTCTCGAATTCGACGAGCACGTTCTCGGTCACTGCGAGGAACGAGTTCCGTTCGGGCGCCTTCAACGGCGAGTGCGCCATTGTCGCGCACTTTGGAAGTGGTCGTATCAACTCTGTCGACCTCCATATTTTTGTATCGTGGACGCGCTCACTTAAGAAAAAGGTAACTTGAAGCTGGACGGCAGAATGGATTGGCATACAACTTTCCTTATCGACAAAAAAATTCACAGCTTATCGTGTAGAGTCTATTGGCTGAGTGGCTCCACTATGAGATGACAGAATAAACCATCTTTATACTATAACCGCCATGTCATGTCCAAGTGACGGTATATCTAGTAGAATCAGGTGAATAATTAAATTCGATGCTGTAAGTCGTCAGTATTAACATGATTAGATGAGCTATAGATGCAAATTTGAATAGATTATGATCTCAATTCATTTTCTCGTCTCAAGACGAATAAGACTCGGGACTAAATGTATAAGGGTTTCTTTATGTCCAGCCATCAACCGCCACTATCGATAAACACAAAAATATTTTGGATTTAACCCCGCCATCACCGCCTACAATATCGACGATATTGCCATCATTCTGCCTGTAATTCACACGGAATTCGATATTTTTCTGTCGCTCAATCTGGCTTCGCTACCATTTCGATTTAAAGCCGGAGGCGAAAGCAAGATGCCTACCGCAGTGGCTCACTCCCATAGGCCGACCACCAAGGTCACACACAAGTCCTTCAAGTCAAGGGCTGCCTCCAAGCATGAGTTGAGAGACCGCGCAAAGGGTAGGACTCCTTCCTTCATGTATTAAACCAAAAGAATCGCCATTCTAACATTTCTACAGGTCGAATTTCCAACGAAAAGGGAAACCGAAAGACTCCTCACCAACAAGTCATGTCCAAATTCGACCGACGCAACCAGGCTAAGCAGGCTCGTTTGAACAAGCACAAGGAACAAGTCAAGGAGAACTTGGTTTTCGCTGGAAAGGATGGCGCTCCTCGACATGTCGCTCTTATCCCTCTTTGCGCTGGCACCGATCTGAACGCCACGATCAAGCACTTGAACAACAGTGTCGATATCGAAGACAACGCTGAAGGCGGCAACTATCGAGTGTCGGTCGATCGATTTAAGCAAAAGCTTCAGTACATTCCTATCGAGCGAGACTTGAACGCCTGTCTTGATGCCGCCCGAGTGGCCGATTTCGTTATTGTCGTTCTGTCCGCTGATGTCGAGGTTGACGAGCTTGGAGAGTTGATCTTGCGCAGTGTCGAAAGCCAGGGCATGTCCACTCTCTTCACTATTGTTGAGGGTCTTGACAAGGTCGAGCCCGCTAAGCAGCGACAGAGCGTTTTGGGATCTCTCAGGTCCTTCATCACTCACTTCCACCCTGAGCAGGAGAAGCTCTACAGCATCGAGAACCGACAGGAATGCGCCAACCTTATGCGATCACTATGCAACACAACACCCAAGGGTATCCGATGGAGAGATGACAGGAGTTGGATGCTTGCTGAAGATATCAAGTTCGCCTACTCTGAGTCCGAGCCCACAGTTATCACCGGTATTGTTCGTGGCAAGGGTCTCAAGGCCGATCGTCTCGTCCAAATTGGCGATTGGGGAACTTTCCAGATTGAGAAGATCGAGTCTGCTCCTCTGCCTAAGCAGGTTAAGAAGAGGGGCGAGGAGATGACCATCGATCCCGAAGAGGCTGGCAAGGTTCTGGATGAGTCCACTGCCGACCGTGATGAGTTGGTGGAGTTGGCCCCCGAGGAGGTCATGATGGACGCTGATGTTGCTGAGATGGAGGCCGATCAAAGCGAGAAGAAGGGTGTTCTTCTCGATGACCATCACTACTTCACAGACGAAGAGGAGGAGGCGAGAAAGATCAAGAAGCGAGTGCCCAAGGGTACATCCAACTACCAGTCAGCCTGGTATCTGGAGGACGTCTCTGACTCTGAGTCTGATATGGAGGATTACGAGATGCCTGATGAGGATGCTGAACAAGCCCGCCCTGAGGATGGTATTGAGGGTTACGCCCCTGCACCAGGTACTGAGGGGGCTCCTTCAGAATATCCCCAGTCGGAGATGATGATTGAGCCAGATGAAGAGGAAGACATGAAGCAGCTCACAAAATATCGTGAAGGCAAGCGAACTGAGGAGCTGGATGATATGGAGTTTCCTGACGAGATTGAGCTGCACCCTGGTGTTCTAGCTCGCGAGCGTCTGGCTCGTTACCGTGGTCTCAAGAGTCTGCGAACAAGTAAGTGGCAGGAGTCTGAGGATCGTGCACATGAACCTGAGGAGTGGAGGCGTCTTCTCCAAGTCCCCAACTACCAATCTTCTAAGTCACAAGTCACAAGGGAGGCCTTGGTCGGTGGAGTTGAGCCTGGAACCCGTGTTCACATCTACATCAAGGGTATTTCTCCCATCCAGGAGAAGACCTACGATCCCAAGAAGCCATTGACACTCTTCTCTCTTCTACGACATGAGAACAAGAAGACTGCTGTCAACTACCTGTTCAACCTTAGCTCTGACTTTACCAAGTCCATCAAGGCCAAGGAGGAGCTCATCGTCCAGTGTGGACCTCGCCGCATGGTGATCAAGCCCCTATACTCTCAGCCTGGACAGACACCAAACGATGTCCACAAGTACTGCCGATTCATCCACCCTGGACAATCAGCCATTGCGACTTTCATGGGTCCTCTAACATGGGGTGCCGTGCCTGTGCTATTCTTCAAGCGAACCACCGCCGAGGATGTCGAGAGGAACGAGGAGGAAGATGGCCCTCACATTGGCATGTCTCTCATCGGTACAGGAACCGCCATCCCACCCTCAACATCTCGCGTCATCGCAAAGCGCATCATCCTTACCGGCCACCCCTACCATATCAACAAGAGAATTGTCACCATCCGATACATGTTCTTCAACAGAGAAGACGTCGAGTGGTTCAAGGCCCTGCCACTGTGGACCAGGCGAGGACGCAGCGGTTTCATCAAGGAGCCTCTTGGTACACATGGTTACTTCAAGGCTACATTCGATGGACGTATCAACCCTCAAGACTCCATTGGTGTCAGTTTGTACAAGCGGGTGTGGCCACGAAATGCCATTCCCGTGGAGGGACCGCTACTGGATTTTGCTACTAGCAAGATGCAGGCGGACGGCGATATGATGATGGATGACCAGGCATAGATTATCACGACACTCGGTATACCTTAGATTTAAAAAGTTGGCGTTTTTTGTTTTCCCTTTTACATAAATATTTCCAATATCGCCGTTCATTTTAGTGATTATGTGATGTTATTCTTATTCCAGCTGCTCGAGGCCCTCTGTTGGTCTTGGGCCTCCCTTGCTTCGTCTCTGTTCCTCTGCACCACTAGCCTTCCATGCGCTCTTGATCAAGTTGATGATGTGTTCTACACCAACATCATTCTTGACCTGCGCAAAGACCGTGGGTCCTCCCTCTCGAATCTTTCTAGCATCCCTCTCCATAACGCCCAGATCGGCGCCAATGAGCTCTGCCAGGTCGGTCTTGTTCACAACCAACAGATCACTCTGTGTAATACCAGGTCCACCCTTTCTGGGGATCTTGTCGCCACCGCTGACATCGATAACGTAGATGATGAAATCGGCCAATTCACGGCTGTAGTTCGCTGCGAGGTTATCACCTCCCGACTCAATGAGGAGCAAATCGGTATCGAACTCGCGGTGCAAGTCTTCCAGCGCAGCAAGGTTCTGAGAGATATCCTCTCGGACAGCGGCGTGAGGGCAACCACCGGTCTCAATGGCACGGATACGAGAAGGTGGGAGAGCCTTGTTTCGGGTAAGGAACTCTGCGTCTTCGCGGGTAAAGATGTCGTTTGTCACAGCAGCGAGAGAGTATTCCTTTCGGAGAGCGAGGGAGAGGGCGAGCATGAGAGCGGTCTTTCCGGAGCCGACGGGACTGGCAGATGTTAGTTAAATGTTGTAAGCAATTAAGGTTAACGGTTGGTCTTACCCTCCGATTCCAATTGTAAAGGCTCGCTCTGACCACTCTCGTCCCTCAACGATGGGCATCTCGCGACCTAGAAAGCTACCAGGTCCATCAAGGATCTCATGCGAGTGGCCATGCTCCTGCGCATTGAAACCATCATGGGAATGAGTTTGTCCATCGTGAGAGTGCGACATATTGAATTGAATAAATATGTGGTTATTTGAAGAGAAAGTCAGACAGCTGTTGTGAGCTCTATCGCGGGAATTGAAGAGGGGAAAGACGCTTTTGATAAGACGTTGGAAAGTTGCCCTTATCAGTTTGACAGGTCAAGCTCTAGAGGTAAGGGACGTACGTGGGGGAGGGGTTGAGGGGCAAGTAGCAAGGTGGGACTTATTCAAAAACACCAAAAACCTCCGGCGGCCGGCGGCGCGAGCGGGCGGTTGAGGCGCCGGGAAAAGTGGAGTTCGACTTACACTGATATCCAGGGTACTTTCAAGTACCTATTGAACAATTACTATATATAAAGAAACAAAGAGTTTATCTTACAGTACTTGGGCCAACTTTATGGCACGACAGTAGATCTGCCAAGTTTCGTTCTGATTGAGGAGTAAATACCGAGCGATGTACCTATCATTGTTGATCTTGTTTCAGCCACCTTTTTCTGTCTTATATTATAACGAATACATAACAAACACCCTTGTAATTACAATTGCTATGGGCGAAATAATAAAGCCGGTCAGCTGCTTCTTACTGCAACGGACGAAATACTCCGTCGTTTACTGCCACGGCACGCATAGAGCAAAGCCGTCTGAACCCAACAGTCTTGTACAACCTTGGCACCGCGTTGTCATGGCCAAGACCAAGCTAGGAACGTAACACAAAAAATAAATCCTTCGTGACGGGCGGTTATGACGGATGAATTTGTGGATCGCACAAAGCGTAGAAACATGTTGTCACAGAAAAGCAACCATGCAGGCCTCGATTAATGCTGAGAGCTCAAGTGTGAGTAATGGGGAGAAGTTTGCATATTGACCTCGCACAAGGGCGGTAGATCGTTATAACTCAAATGCAGCTGTCCGCTTGTTGAGATCCAGCAATATCTTTATCGCTTGAAATAGGTGGTGTGAGTGGTCCAAAAGTGTAAGTGAGACAACTGCGTTAATCCTGTTGCGTGGTTTAATTTCTATTCTCGCGGTGGTCTGATCGGACGCGGAGAACCTGTAACCAACATATTGTGAGAAGTGATGAGATATGATGATGCCGCTACGCGAAGTTCCTCTTTGGCCACGTATATCTGTCAGTTCTCGTATTTTGTAGGTCAAGTACCCGATGAAGATTGAGATTTACAATACGGACACTTATAATTGTGTTTCTTGGCACCGGCAAGTCCTATGCTAAGCTAGGTAAAGCAGTTGATTTGATTATGGCGATTCGGGGATTACTTTGTTGAAGACGGTCAGTTGAACAGCTCATATCATGACCAGAGAGTTACACAGCATTTTGCCTTGCAGCTCGTGGAACTGAACTATGTATTCACCGTTGATAGTACGACGACACGGTCTGTCTTCAAGGTCAATAGCCAACCCATTGCCCTGGAGCCCGTTCCTAGATCTATCTAGTGTCTCAAGTACCGATACTGCATGAAACGGTGTCCAATCATATTGACGCGGCACATCTTCTCGTCGTTTGATACTACACAGCAGATCGATTTAGCCCAATACAGCCATTGCATTTTGAACTATTTATCACCTGCAGCATCGTATGATCAATGTAAGGCGACTTTGACATATATCGACTTTTTGAGACGCCCTATTCCGTGTCATTGCCGCCCGGTATCAGCGGAGCGCAAGCTGTTGTCGCTCGTTTGCACCCCTGTTGTGCGTGCTCGATCCAAACATTCTCAGGTCTCTTCTCTCTTTGGGCCGATCTCTCCCCGCCAGTTCTTGGCCACGCGCCCTCAAAAGTGGTCTTTCACGGCCACTTGGGTCTGATCTTGAAATATGACAGATCCCATCGGAACTCATTTGCAGCATGGAGCATATGATCTCGATATATGCAGGCGCTCGTCTTTTCCCATGCCAACCATTCAGCGTCGACACGGCGTTCGATCCCTACCAGGGCAGAGGAGGCTTTTGTAGTTTTACTTTGTTTATGTTCTCTCCCGAAAAGTTATATAATGTCGAGTCGATTCTGAAGAACTCGACTTGTTCACAGAATGACTCTCCAGACTTTGACGTCCAACCTTTTTGATCATTCGCAGCTCACCATTTTGGGTTTGAGAGTGAAAGAATTCTGTATCAACTATTGGTAAAGCTACCACAGTTGTCTCAATACCTGTTCCTTTCGAGTCTATACGTTCACATATCCCAACAACACTGCGTTGCGTTACGTATTGGTCTATCATGGACTCTACCAACTCGCCTACTCGGGCAGTCCAAACAAGCGGTCAGAAGCAGTCAGTAATTAATGACATCTTTCTAGCCCTCCTATACTGACTTAGTCAACCCAATTTAGGCACGAGCCTCATAGTCTGATGCTTAATGTGCACATCTACGACGTCTCTTCCATCCAAGAGCGACTCTATTGTGGAGCCGAAGCCACCACCAACTCACCAGAAGCAATCAATGGCACTACTGCTGTTAGCACCAAACTCAATGTTTTGAAGAGTCAAATCATTAATATTGACATGATCATGGGGACTTCTGCTCGCATTCCTAACCGACTGTAAGAGAGGATCACAAAGTGTATATACCGGGCATTTTTATCAATCAATAGTAACTGTTGTCGAGTTATTCAAAACTGTGTGCAAGTTCAGGAATAGTGAGCAGTGACTTTCAGTAGCTTAATAGCTAGTCTTCTCAACAATTCTCTTTGTATTTTAAGACAATTTATCTGGCCCAAGACTCAAAGCTGGACATGCCGGGTGGTTCGCCGGTGCTCCGTTCAAGAGACTCCACTTGTTCCCGAATCCACGGAAGATGGTGGGTACCCATACTTCGGAGCGGATCTGCTCAACCAGTTGTCTACCCCAACAATTCTAAGTGTCTGGTACTATCGTTCATAGTCGTGCAGGCGTCCCGTTGCCTTGCGGGTTTACGTCAATTTATTTAATTGTTCTTGCAGCCCATATCTCAGGCCGTCTCAAGCCGATCCGGCATCAGCTTGGGAACCACGGAGCCCGGAGCTGCGACATGTACAAAAGTCGACGCTCTCCCCAGACATTGGCTTTTCTAGAATTCCTCTTGTACATCAGTGCAGTCTATCTCCAACATGGTAGCAATTAACTTCTGCATTTCCTACCCAATTCTTCTCGATCCTAGCATCGCGCAGAACTCGAAGTATACACTCAATTAGTCCTGTCACTGCCCACCATTTCAGCCCTCGTTATTCCTATTGCAACGAGCATAATGCCTTCGGAAGGCTGCCCTCTTTCTTCAGATGCCATTAGATGTAAAGAAGAGCAAGTAAAATCAGAATGGCACATCCGCCTACAAACTGAACTAACCCAGCACATTCAGACCCTCTGACACGGGCACCATGCTGAATCGGTTCATCCACGATACCTCCTCCCTTCAGGATCGTCTTATTCAGACTCAGCTCTGCATATGGGACCCTTATATCCACAAATACTCTGCTGGTCTTTGTATTAGTGCGCCACAGCAAGATACAACTCCAGATCAGAGTAAGCTTTAAATAATGCCTTGATGTGTTATGCGTGCCAAATGTTTCGTTTCTCGCCGAATCTTTTCTTTTCTTCCAGCTCGATGATACCTTCTCTACCAGTATATGCCTCTCAATTTGAATACATGGTCGTACAGGTCGGCCTTGAGGGTAGATGCGATGGCACATACCATATCACTTTAAACATTTAAATACCCCAAGTCACGTTACTAGAATCACCTTCATGATTATTATATGCATTCATGTACTGGTACACGGTGTTTAATGTGCAAGTTAATTCGCTCTTTAATTACCTACAACACATAAAGTTCTGCCAAATCTGACTTGTACCACAGCACAGACAGGTCAATGAACGTCTCGCCGTAACTTATTACAGCGTCTCCCCTTAAATTAGGCACAGAATAGCTAACAGCTTATGATGTGAAATATACTTCTGACTAATATTCGTGTGGTGTAGCCTAAATAATGGAAATAGGGACAACACCTTCAGTTAGCTTCAAGTGTCTCTAGTCAAATCGAATGAGATCCTGCTTGTTAACTACCGCAAGATGTCAGATGTGAACATAGTCTCATTCAAACACATTCGGTTAGTGTTGTTATACATTACCTCATATCTTGTGATAGTCTACCTCCCCGGAAGTCGACTATGTAAGACGTCAGTAACAACTCGTACGGAGGAAAGGTGAGGATAACATCGGTTGTTCAAGGATGTATCACCCAAGCTGAGATTTTTCTGTTAGTTAGCCCTGCGTCGAGATCTATCATATTTAAGTGCTCACCGCTACGAGTTGGGGAAATGGGTGGCCTCAAAATGTTGCTAAAGTGTTGCTTTGCGGACGAGGCTGAGCTGCGGTTTTCAGCAGAGCCTCATCAAAGTATCATTATTTCCCTTTGTTCCCTCTTTTCTCCGCTTAAACAAGATTAATATCAGCACGTCAACTAGGCGAGGTTATGCAAGCAGTGCAGAATCTAGTTTCGTATCGTCAGATCCGCTGCGGGAGCTTTGGTTGCATAAGCACGTGGGAGGGTAGATACTGCATCTAAAGAGATATATATCATCATCGAGCCCAACAAGTACAATATTTCCCAGGTATCTAACACTTCACCGCTTGTCTAAAAATCTTCAGCAGGACAAAAATGCAGATGCGGACATGTAGTGGTGGGCTGGTTCATTGGCTTACATGTTGGTTGTGTCTCTCTGTCTTTGTACACAACGTTTTCGGAAATCATTACTTGTTCAAGGTACGCAACGCGGGGAGCTTTCAATCTTCCTAAAAGGGGAGGTGGAAGTCCCAAAGGACCAGGTCCCTGGTTACACACCAACACATGACTGCATGTCCTCTGCTCTGCATACGTCAAACGGCAATATTTTCCTTCGGTGTAAAGATGGATGTTATCACCGCCTTTTACTTTGGCTTCTGACCGAGTCTCAATCTTGATTTAACTGTTGTTTATGAGTTGCACTTCTGTTGCCAACGAGGTTGAAGTCGGGATCACCGGTCAAGTTGGGCTGTGTCTTGAGCTGCGGGCGTATCGTTGCCCGGAATGTTAGATGGTGGGTGAACTGTTGAGGCCTTCATGAGAAGCTTTGATATCAGGAACAAATCTTTCATTGTAGACACCAATTGTCTTGAGCTCGTATATAAGAGACATTGGATTGTCGGTTCCATTCAGTGATTCCTATATATTTCAGTCATGACCTTCTCGAGACACGGCACAAGTTATCAGACTTCTCATGGTGTAATACCATTGCCTTACAACTCATTATCCTAAATTTTCTTCTACTACGCTCCTTAGAATACATTGTCAGCCTGTTTCCTTGTACTCTCAATCCACTTACACCACTCTCTTACATCATGCCGTCCAACTCAAGCCAGGCTCCCACCACTACCACCGGGGATATCACACAGTGAGGTGACACTCTGCCTTGTATCTTACCACAGCTCTAACAGTTTTGCAGAACCAAGATCGAGGCACCCATGATGGTTTACTACATCCATGATACTACACCACTCTGGGATCGTCTTCTCATAAGGGCTATGGCTGAGGATAAGCAGTCATCTCAAGGGGGAGCTGGTTATTCGGGGTCGAAGGACTCAAAGCTATAAACCACTTTCCTCAGGGAATCAAACTATATGTACAATGAATGGGTGGTAACATTTGATTCCATAGATCTTCTTATTCCATCGTTGGTATACCTCAATAAGAGACAAGCGCACCTCCGTCTGAATGGCCGTTTCACATGTGCAAAGAGAGACAACTGGATTAGACTTCAGTCAACTCATTCATTCCTAGTGCCAATATGGCTAGTTTTTTACGTTCACCCAGTTCTGGTTGAAGCCTTTGTTAGTAATCGATCTTAGGTGTCCATGGAAAATGACCCCTGAATCAGCCTGGCTTGTTCAACATGACGATCAAGGACTACACCTCATAGCTTGCCATATACACAACTTGGCGAGGAAATCATTGCAATGAAGAGACAGGAAATGCGTCTATTTTACGCCTCATGATGTACATTTTTGCACAGATATAATTACACGTTATTCGTACCGCTTTTGGCACGTCATCCACTATCCAAACCTCGGCCGCACATCGTCTACTTTTTTCGTTTATTGGGTTGGGGGTGTTGTCGTTGATGAGGGTAATGAAGCATCTGTAGCAGCAACCTCTGATACACCAGCCTTCTTGAGAGCAGCGTCCTTGCGCTGCGCAATAATAGCACCAAGCTTCTCCAGCATCTCGTCGTTGAGCTCGGGCTCGCCCTCCGCGGCACGCTTCTCGCGCTGCATCTCGTGGAACTCCTGCAAAGGAGTCTGCATAGACTTGACAGACTCCAGACGGGCCTGCTCCGACATGGCCTCGGTCTCCTTCTGCTGCACGTACCAGTCCTCATGGCGTGTTCGGAACTTGGAGAACTTGTTACGGAGTTCGTCTATAATGTTTTCGGGCATGGGCGGGGATAGAAGGTTATAGTAGAATGTTCGCTCCTCTACAGTCTCTCGGATAGTGTCGCCGTCGAATGATTCCGCTTCGGGGACTTGCACCTCGGGCCACGGGATGACGACGTTGATTCCAGGGACAAGTCGGTCCCATTTGTATCCGTGCTCCCATCGATCGAGCGTCATGTTGGGGGACTTCATGTTTGGTGGAATGGACTTGAGCTCCTTAATAACGACGTCTCTTGTGACTCCGGTTTCGGGGTTGGTGATAGGATAGACCAGGCGAATAGCATCGATGGCGAGGGGCATAGGTTGAGAGCGGCTGTCGTTTCCAAACATGCCTGCAGAGATAGCCTGGTTATGTTAGTTTTTATGAAGTCCCTGTGCAGTCGATATGCTTACCCGGTTGTGGTTCTCAAGAGTAACAAGCCCCGCCTGGAGGTTGATCGACTTGATGCGATCAATCTTTCCCTTGTCTGGACCATCCATGATAACCACTCGGTCAGAAACAGCAAGGTTAAGCTGCTTCACACCACCAGCCCAGGCACATCGCTTCATCAATATCTCAGGTCGAGGGCTGTAGAGGCCGTAGTTGGACCAATCCGTTCGTACGCCCTCAGTGAACATGCCATAACCATTGAATCCCAGATCACGCTTGGGGGCGATAGGACCCAACTCCCAATCCTCCTGTCGAGCACGGCGCGCATCCTGAAGATTCTGTCGGACCTCAGAGACAGCCGCTCGAATGGCCTGTCGGTTTCGAAGTTTATAGTTGGTCTGTTCGCTTTTGGCGGCCTTTTCGGCTCGTTTGCCGGCCTGGCGCTGGGCCTGGGCGACCCGCTTGGCGAGCTTCTGCATGGCGAAAAATGAGCTGCGGGGATTTATAGAAGGGATTCGCAGGCTTTAGCAGCTCATTGAGTGGATTGAAGCTGTCGACGCCGAGTTGTCGCTTTGGGCGTGACGATAATTCGTTGTGGAGTGGATGGTTGAGCTGGAAATTCTCGACCATCAAACGGAATTAGCCGCATTAGTGTGTGGGTGCGGGTAATCAGAACGCACTGTATTCCGCACTATGCTCATGATAGCTTCATGTCGTACATGCGAACCCATGATGGCTATTGGCATACCCTGTATCAATACTACTTATAAAGTGATATTCAATGTCATACAACTTCGTTTGTCTATTAGAGCAGTTTCATAAATTTCAAGGTCTAGTTTCGATCATCCACACATTGTTCCGCATCCAAATCGCGAAGCGGTACCACTTGCATCAATATATGAAGGAATTCATCCCTGTATCAATTCAGTTCCTAACTTCATACAAAGGTCTTGGTTCTTAGCGGCGTCCAATATACTGATATTCGACTCGAACTCAGTATCTTATTGCAACTGCGGCCAAACTCAACATAGCGAAATGCATTACAACGAAGCACACATATGCAGGTTGTGATATCATCCATATGATAAGGATGCATGTATAGCACTTAATTGGCTATTCAGCACTGCTAGGCAGGATATATCACAAGACCACATGCTAGGTATATCAAAGGGTCCAAAGTTCCGTTCCTACCTATATTGAAAGAAATGCCTGAGGGATCACACTTATTTGTTCATACAAATCATAAAAAGATTGATGAATTATGTGTGGATAAGAGATTCATTGTGAATCGTGGGTATCTCATACATATGATTCAAAAGTGGCAATCTATCATCATCTAGGATTAAAGGTAATGCATATCCGAATGTGCAGCACAAGTCAATCAGGGTCCTTGGTCCTTACTCAACGATCAGGGGAGGTTGAGTGAAAGTCCTACCTATGGAGCAGCGTAGGACTTTTCCGCCCACTACAAACTCTATGACTGGACGCTCCGTGTTCTGGGTATCTGGCTTAGCAAGCGGAGACACGGGATGGCACAGCACAGCTCAGCACGGAGTTCCGCTGTACATTGCATGATGGACCAGGGTAGGAAGCTTGTGCCAGCTTCACTTTGCATGGTGAAAGACGACCGTGATTGATGACGAAGCGGATGTTTGATCAAGAAGACTCCCTTCAACATCAAAAATCAGACTCACAAGATATTAAATAGCATTGCTCATATTCTAGGTGGAACTTGCCGAGATGACTTGTGATAAACATCAAACGCTGACTACGGGGGATAATCTCATGCCACAGTCATGACTAGACACAATTGTTGATGTTGGCCGCCAGATCCCGGCCAGAAATCTCCTAGAAATCTCCCAAAGGGAGAACACCGGCCTAGAATTCAAATTGTGACCATGGGCTTGTGGCTGGATGTTGTTTATTAGTTTCGTCCTGTTCATATGACAAGCCGAGCCACGGTTTCAGCATCGGAGCTATGGAGCCTAAAGCGTTCCATCGTCTGGATAAGATGATACAATTCAAGTCAAGTTTAAAGCCAACAGCAGCAGTTCTGAAGCAAGACTCTGTTTGGTGGGCCAAGGACTGGCGTGCACGTCAGACCGATAGAAAATAGTGCAAAAACGTGATGATTGTGAATGATGATGGCGTTTGGCGGTGGAAGACAAACGGGCAAAGAGTCAAAGATCCAAAGCTTTCGTGAAAAGTATCTCACTGGGTTGCCATATCCTCCCAATTAAATGAAAACGGTTCGACAAACGGCCAGCCTTGTTACATTACTCTTGGCCCTTTGATATTCTCCGTCATCTAAGACCAGTGACTGGCTCAGTTTGAGTGTTATAGTAGACAGACCCTTATCTCATCTCGTCATCATTGTCACTGGCATTGCTCACTCTCTCTATCCGAGTCGTTCCAGACTCACGCAAATGGAAGACGACGCAACACGACGCAACCTTGGGGGGTGAGAGCAATTCAAGTAAACTAGCTTAACTTCCATGTTATGCAGGAGATGGAAGCAACTACAGATGGATTGGACGCCAAAAGCTGCCACTGAAAGTTTCCATGGCGGAGCACTCTCGGTAAGATAAAATGGGCCAGTTAATTCCCCCGCCAGGGAAATAGCCCAGCCCGCCCTAGGATCTTTGGCTGTACACTGTCTACACTGTGAAGGAACTCCACTAATCACTCACTGAATAGGGGACGGTGTTAGCGGTTGTTGCCACCCACCAGGCGAAGCCAGGGCCACGAGACGCAGTTGGCTGCCTCAGGAAAGGACAGACGTGGACCCTTTTTCCGCGTAATGTGACAAGAAAGAAAGTACATTTGTGTGGTAATATCGGTGAAAGAGTACATACGGAAGTAAGGTGACGACAGGTCCAGGGGAAAGAACACATTCATCATCATATCAAAGAGACCCCAGCAAGCTCGCAGCCCCAGCAACAGGACATGCACAAATTCAAACATGGAACAAAAGCTCACAACCTGGTTTGTTGTAAACATTACCAGGGCTGTTTTGTTTTGTTGCTTTTGATCCCTGAGTCGAACAAAGATGTTCAGGAGAGGGCTTATCAGAACCTCAAGCTGCACTTGACTCAGCCTTCACTTTAGATCTAACTCAAAGAATAGGAAGGAATAGACTGACGGTGAGACAGCTAGGACAAACGCTGCATGCTGACCTCAGTCACCGTTGGTATGTATTTTGGACCATGTTCTAGAAAATAGACCAAACAAGCCCTGCCAGCAGGGTATTTTCAGCTGTCATTGTCTGTTAAGTGCCTATCAAAACACAGTGCGAATTATACACGCCCGTCCCGGCTTTCATCATCCTCAACAACCCTGCTTGACCCCCCCAGCACCTCTTGACCTCTGACACCTGGTACCTGGTTTCTAGTGCACATCACATCGTATTCAGAGGTACCTCTAGTCCTGTTGACCTGCCCTGGCTGCCTGTTGTCCTGTGCTTGCCCGTTGTCCTATCCAGCCAGTCCTGTCCAGTAGCTGGTCGGGTCCTGGAAAAAAAACCAAGCCCAAGCCTATTTCACCCAAAACCAAACCCCCTTCTACTCGTTGTCTCTCTCTCTCTCTTGCCTTGCCGCGTCCACTCTCCTCTTATCCCATCCCCATCGACCCGCAGCCGCCGCTCTCCGCGAAACTCACAACCTGCACCATCCATCTCCCAAGCTCAACTCAAGCTCAAGCTCGCATTCTACGCCAGCAAATTCGTCCATTTCTCACAACTTCTTCACCCAAAAACACCTCTAATCAATAACCATGGCTGAGATCCGCCGAA